GAGCACACCACCGTCCACGGTCAAAATCTGGCCGTTGACGTATGAGTTCTTGGTGAGGAAGATGACGGCCTGTGCCATCTCCGCATCGCTTCCCGCACGTCCATGTGGGACATGGCCCTTCTCCTGGATCTTCTCGTCTGGCAGGTCGCTCTTCTGGTTCTCATCACTCTCTTTTGCCGTCATCTCCGAGGGGAAGTAGCCAGGGGCAATGCTGTTCACCCTAATGCGAAGCTGTTGGAACTCAGCCGACATGAGCTTGCTCAGGTGAACGGTTCCGCCCTACAAAAACTACGTGTCAGCATCTTCCTTCAATCATCGACCCTTATAGAACTGACCTTGGCAGCGTTGTAGCTGAAGTGGCCCTGTGCATTCTTCATGATTCCTGACATGGAAGAGATAACGATGACGGAGGCGGAGAGGTGGCCGTGGCTCTCGGTTCCAGCTTGGAGGAGCGGCAGAAGGGCGACAGTGGTGAAGTATACGGCCGTGACATCGGTGTTGTAAGTCTCAGCCCAGCCCTCGAATGTCTCGTTGTCGAATAGCTTCTTCTTCATATCAGTAGCATCGTCGGCGTCTGGGATACCCTTCTCGCCTGAGATACCGGCTGCTGCAATAAGAAGGTTGATGTATTTCTCCTTGGACGCCAGCTCCTGATACATGCGCTCCAAATCGTCCTTCTTAGTCACATCGCAAGGTGCAAGTGGTATGATCTGGCCGCCTTGATCCGGGCTGTGTGACTTTGCTGCGGTATCAAGAGCTAATAACAATCAGCAAAATCATTCGTCTGATTGAAGGGGTCAAGAATCGGCCTTACCCTCTTGGCGTCGACTGGTAATGTATACCTGCTAGATGTTAGAGGCGCTCAGTCACAAGAATAACAGACGTACTTTCGCACCGTTTGCGGCGAGTGCTTGAGCAGCCATAAGGCCAATACCAGAGCCGCCTCCAGTCACTACGCACACATAGTCCTTGACCGAGAAGAGCTTCGCAACATGAAGATCTGAAGTGTTTGCTTTAGGAGGCATTGTGATTCAAAGCTAGATTTTCGGTATGACTAAAGGAGGAAACTTTGTTGTAATTCAAAGACACGAATAGATTTGACGATTGAGAGTAAAGACGAAGAGTAAGACGTTCGTAAAAAACGCGTAGCACTTCTGTTGGTGTAGTTTAGCCTATGACGTACAGCCATAAACAGCCCACCTATCCCAATTAAGCTTAGACTGTTCGCGCTCTTGCCCGCGGACCACAAGTTCTCTTGCCCCATCTGGGCTCGTGCAAAGCGTCTGCCGTTCAGCCTCAGCTCCAACCTCGGAATGTCCGCGCTATCGATTTGGGGACTGCGCCGCTGCTAGTGTGGCTGAATCCTTCAGCGCCTTCCATCGTTCCTGCTCTATCTGACTTTTCTTGTTCGCATGTCATGTCACCGATCGTGATTTAGCACTGCCACCGTCAGGCGCCTCATACACGTGCCAGGGCCCTCAAGAGCTGGAGATTATTCTTTTGTTCATATCCTGGATAAATCTTCACGCATGCAGCTGCCATTGTTAAACTTCGCTACATCCACTACTTGGAAAGCATCCACAGCCTCGAATGGCAGCCTCCATGTCGGAACCATCAACCGACCTCACGTTTTCACCAGGGAAGGCTAGTCAGCTCTGGCCCGAGCCTTTGGATACCCCCGGATTGATACCGCGCCATCTCAAACGTTCTGCGACGGGTCAGTTTCCTATCTTGGAAGTCATTCAGCGTTTACTATATCGACTTAAGCCAAGCGGCGTTGGCGATCTTGAAAAGATACTCGCTCTTGTCGGCCTCTACCAAGCTGCGCAACCTGTGTACAAGCATTTGAAAGGCCTCTTCATATGGGCTTTCACTGTTCAAGTCACCATACCCGAGACCGATCCAGTAGCTAGAGAAGTTCTGGCCTGGATGGGGGCGGAGGTAATACTGAACAGCCATACAAGGAGTGCTATGCTAGTCACAGGAGGTTTGCAAGACCCGAACGATGATTTCCATCGTCGTATGATGGTTGCTCGCAACCCTGGGGCTGCAGCGGACAAAGCTGACGAAGAAGTCCTATGCCTTCCACCGATTGGTACACGACTATTCTGGGTTGGCTTTATGTTGGGTTGGATACCTCGCCCGTATGTATTCTCTCGTCGAGGTGGATTTGGTTACCGAAATAACAGTGGTATGACGGGTAACATACTCGACGACAGCGGTCAGCTCCAGAATTCACTCACCGTCATGACCCTTGGATGGAGCCTCAAGCCGCTTCGGGATTTTACTAGGCTTTGTCACGACTTCAGAATCAAGAACCTTACGGGTACTACGACAGTGTATTTTGCGGGTGATCGCACGGACCCTTACGGGAACGGCTGGCAGTCAGTCTCCAAGGCCATTCGAAGGCTCGACACCATTGACATGGATGAAAAAGTCAAATCGGATCTAGTAAGAGACGCAGAATACTACTACAGCGATGAGTCGCGTTCATTCTTCGCCGACTGTGGCATCCCATACCGGCGAGGTTACCTCTTTCATGGCCCACCAGGCACCGGCAAGAGCTCGTTCAGTGCTGCATTGGCAGGCCATCTCAGCTGTGACATCTACCACATCAACTTGTCAACCGGTAGCATCAGCGATGGAACACTTCACCGCCTGTTTCTAGGTCTTCCACGTAAGTGTGTAGTCGTGTTGGAAGACATCGACTCTGCTGGTATCGGTCGCGAACAAGGACCTTCAGATGATCGAACGGAAGCACTTCAGCATGCGCAGGCAGCCATCGATGAGATTCATAGTTCTTCGGGTGCTATGGGGCCTCCACCGCCAGCTTCGAAACGTAGTCGTACTGCCCGCCGAAACAATACAGTTACACTGAGCGGTTTGTTGAACGCCATTGATGGAAATGCTTCTCAAGAAGGTAGACTTTTGATAATGACCTCTAATGCCCCTGATACTTTGGATGAGGCTTTGACACGTCCTGGTCGCATTGACAAGAAAGTCTACTTCGGAAACATGGACGCTAGCGCTGGGAAGAGTATTTTCAAACGCTTGATTGGACGATCTGCTCTCGCTCGTGACTCGGCTTTTACCATGGAACAGGTTGAGCAATGGGCAACAGAGTTTTCGGATAGGATGCCGAATGATATCTTCTCCCCAGCGCAGGTGCAGAACTACCTCCAAGGCTGTCGAGGCGACCCTATCAAAGCCCTGGATGGCATTGAAGCCTGGATTGCGGAGCACAAACGCGATGCTCAGGGACTGGATGATCCCAATAATACTACTCGGGATGGCGTAGCCTCCAACGTTCTTGTCAAAGATATGCCGGATCTAACGGTGTAGAACAATCTTGTCCTATGCGGGACTATCGGTCGATGATCCTGCACAGACTTAGTTAGCATTCCCAAAAACATGACATCTCCAGCAGTTCTACCATACAGTGTCTCCCTAAGACGCGTATATAGTACTCAGAGGCGCAACGCAAGGCAAGGATTCCATAAGGTCTGGGCTAAGAGGCGCGTAGATCGCTTTCCAGAGCGCCATATGAACTCAAAAGCAATGTGCGTAGGTTTTTGAGGACTGTCATACACCATGAAAGATATTCTTGTTCCTCTGTCATGCGCATTGCTATCTGGGCTGGAAGAGGGGTTATGCTGCCTCCAGTGAACGTTGGCTATCTGACGTTTCCATCGTTACATACGGCAAAATTCATACTTAACGTAGTGAATGCATCGGCGTATACCTACCCAGTAAAATGTGAAGCAAATCATCTTGAAACCTTCATCTGATTTCTTCTGCGCTTGATTTACCCGGCCTTTCGACCATTCTCTTCTCTCATATCTGCCCTTCCAACCGCAACGAAAGTCAACTAATCAGCGCTATATCAGCCACCATGCCTATCGAAACCCACTACTCGATACTTGGCATCAGCCGTGCAGCCTCCACTGATGATATAGAAGCTGCATACCGTGCCATCTTACTGGCGAACCACCCAGACAAGATCAAGCATTTGGACCCTTTTCAACGTACTTTAGCCGAAGCCCGTCTTCGAGCAGGCAAAACTGCTTACGAAGTACTTATCGACCCCAAAAAAAGCTAAGAAGTACGATGACGAAATGGGGATCTGGGGCTCTTTTGGTAACGCCCAAACTTGGAGGAGGCCGTGGGAGCCTCATGTTGCGTCTGTCGATGCGTCTGAGCCTGTACCTCCTCGGCGGCCCACCGGCCAAGGGACTACTAATGATGCTGAAGAACACAAATTTGCGGACGCAAAAGAAGAAGAGACTAGGCCTTATGCTGGAGGAAGTAGTGAAGGATTCCCTGACCCTCACTCTCTGCATGACATCCGTTCCGTCTGGAAAAAGCCCCAATACCATGCCGCCTTGGAAGTTTGGCTTCAATTTCGATACGACTGGTTATCCTGCGGCTTGGGGTCGCAAACGCGGTACGTGTATGATTTTTCACGATGGATAAGCAGAGTGTCGAGGAGACGCCGGAGGATGTGCTCAAGAATGAAGAGGGGTTGGCGGTGAATGCTTTTTGTGGATTGGGCGACGAGAAGCTTATGGGTGTAACGTATAAGACGGTTAGGATTTGGAGAATGGTTGCTGTAGGGTATAGAAAGAATGGTTTTCTGGAGGGGTAGTGTATACCTTCACAGGGGTTTGCACAGGCCAGGAGAGTTACTACGACGTGGCTAGATTAACGGAAGTATCACGTATGATGTGCAGTATATGCCCAACGCCGGCTGACTTCATATGATACCAGACTTATAGTGTTTCATTGTAGTGACCGTGTATTCTTCATAACCCATAGGGACGATGGACTTCTTCAAAAGAAAACTATAGAGCTAAGATGGAATGTCCAACACCTCTAAGACGACACCTCGTCCGCGATTATTCTCCACTCCCTTGTAGAAGCTACGGCCCTGGACAGTGAGCCGGCTATCAGCTCAGCAGGCTTCAAGCTGTAGCGTTTGGTTCCGTACCCCAACTGAGCGTTCATAAGCCACTGTAGATGATGGCAACCGCAAAGCTGGTAAACAGAGGAACCAGACCTGGTGAGCTGTTTGCTGCCGCAGACTTGGCATCCAGTCGCTCGAGGCAGTAATCAATGGTGTAGCTTGAATTCTCAGAGGTGAGGCTGCAACCAAACGGAACTTCGTATCCAAATGACTTGGTCTCGCATACCTCCTGGTTCTGCTCGAGATCGTTCAATTGGTCTAAAGTATACACGGCGTTACCGATTATGACTGGACCAGTGCAGTTGAAGAATTTTCCGGTCGCTCCAAACATAATGCTGAGCAGTTTCGCTGGCAGGGCTTGTGGTCCTGGAATTGCCCCAGCGATGGCGACTATGCCTTCGACAAAACCTGGTGAAGCATTAGTAGTGACATAACGTACATTGGCTGGATGCATACTGAAAGCTAACTGCTCATCTGCATCAACCATGTTCAAGCCGCCAATGGCTACGGACAAATTTGAAGCAGTGGCAGGAACGTCAATTTCCTGTGTGAACTTGACGGTGTCGTTTGGCTTAACAATACCACCTGCATGGACCTTGCCCACTAGCCAGGAGTTTTTGATAGTATTATTGCCCGTCGTTGAGGCGATAGCTAGAAGCAGGTCATCATCGCTCCTGCCACGGACCTCCTCAACGCGCACTTCCTTGATGATGAAACTGTAGCGGCCAGCGATAGCCACGTTTGCTAAGAGCAGAAGGGATAGCAACAGCCCCTGAAAAGTCGACAAAGGCATAGTATCTACAGCGGGAGGGTGGTACTTCCAAGAGGAGTGAAGTGTAGAGATTGAGGGAAAGCAAATTGAAAAATTGCAGCTGATGCAGACGAGTCTCAGAATTTTGTAGCAGTACAGGTCAGATTTGCACCCCATCGACCAGGGCATCTTGCTCTACTTAAGTTGATGTGTTCAGCCTAACGTAAAGATGCTGACGTCAAAGCTAAGCTCCAATGGATGTAGATTTACACACCGAAAGTGGGTGGTAGACCATGGGAAAGCGAATATAGGATTCGATCGAGCCGTTTGCGGCCATCAACATGCGACGTGCATGCACCCTTGCCAATGAATGTAGCTGGCCCCCCAATTTCGCACAATATACGCCATGATGGTGTGATTGAATGACTCCGCCGCGATGGCTTTCGGGCTGTGTCGTCGTATACAGGAACCAAATGTGTCTACTCGCCTGTAGTCTTGCATGTCATGAGCACTCGAAGCTCACCTGAAATCAAATCTTCCAGAGTACTTGAGCAGGGTGATACATCCTGGGCGACAGTTTGTATACACCAGGGTGCATCCTTTGTCGGTATGCCGGTACCTTGTTCACCGTGAATGAGTTTGAAGCCATTTGCTTTCTATGCTGGAGCACTTAAAAACACCTCAATTCTCAACCTTGTCATGCAGAGCTCGTCGCGCGGGCCAAGAGTAACCAGCATCCCCTCATTTCAGATAAAAGAACTGAGAAGAGAACATGGTGAGTCGGTATTGACGTAGGTGGTATTTTGTGACGTGACGCAAGTGACAGTTTTCAGCATCTGAGACCTTCGACAACAGACTGTCTCAAGCGAAGCATAGTCGCTAGCGATCGTGACTTCACCATTATAAGGAGCAACACCAACTCAAGATGAGATGCTAAAAGGGTCTAGCCCGTTTTTTCGGGTAATGCCTGACCGGTCAAACTGTTTATCCGGCGTTCCAGTTAGCACTAATCCATTTGCAAAAGGCACGGCTGAGGATGAAGCCGCAATTGCTAGCGACTATAGGATGCATGCATGCGCAGGTATTGACGCAGTAGGCATTTGAAAAAAGAAAAAGATGTGTACCATGGCGCCACAAGCAGTAAACAGAAATTTCAACGGAAGGTAGCGGTTCGGACATGGGAGGAGGTGATTGTGTGTATCGAACGCGGCAATCGTAATAACGATTGGCTTTTCGAAACAATGTTGCAGTGGAGTTGCAAGTGATACCGATATATTTTCTGGCGAGCTTGTTGGAAGGGACACAAACTGGGAGACGACGATCTTCGTTAGAACTCACATCAGTGCCATTCGCTCTATGCTGGCATATGCCCCTCCAGTTGAGCCTGTGCAACAAGGTAGTACATACTTTCAGAGAAGCAAACTGCCCTTATTCAACGGGGATGAGTAGAGATGTCCAAGCAGGTCAACCGTATCGCCCTCTCCCCGTATCACATCACTTTATCCGCTTGATTCGCATTAGGAGGAAGGTACATTGATTGGTTGTATCGTATAGCGTTCGGAGTAGGCTGAGGACTTAATCGTCGTCGTCCTTATCAGTCGACTGTGAATACCTAGGTAGGCATCAATGGTTTGTAGGCCATTGACGTCTCCGCCCCTGTATCAGCAGCTAGCGCCAGCTACAATAAAACAGCACTAGGTAATATTGCTGTAAGCTTGGCACGGAAGGGCGATGGAATCAAAAGGCTGAAGGATGGGTCGGACGGGTGATGTTCGTGTCCTGGCGCGTCCCCCCTCCGGCGGCTGGAAGCGCCGCGACTCGCGTACAGGAGCTCTTGCGCTAGGCTTGCTCGGTGCTAACGTGCTTGGCAAAGCATCTTTCCGCACGAGCGTCATGTGTCTTGCTGCGTCACCACAAAACTCGACATTCGCCCTCAAAAACTGAGACACCGGATTCTTGAATCCAGTTCATCGAAGTGAGCATTACCGCCGGAAACTATCGTCATTATGAGATGATCAACATTGAGAGACGAAGTCGCTCTTTCTAGCGCAGAGTGGGTTGGCGAAGTAACAAGCAGCAAATTATCCCTGTATACTACCAGAGCTCTGAACGTGATTATCTCGTGATGGGAAACACATATACCCGACCCCACTCTGCCTCTTTTATGTGGACCGGAAAACGATCCCCGTACCTGCGCAGGTTACCCGCGACATTCATTCTAGTGTCCGCTACCCCGCCACGCTATTTGGGTGTAGTTGGACGAGAAGTGTGATCTTAGGGAAACAATATATGTGAATTACTAAGAACAGCCTGGTGGTGGTTCTCCGGGTGACGTATCAGTGTTGTTGGGAGCATGGGTACTTGACGATCCCCACCGAGCAGTGGATACTTGGCCAACATACTTCCTGCTGGCACTGGCATCTCTCACAGAACACATACAGTCTCCTCATATGCTCCCGATTCTTTCATCATGTCTATACAAGACTATAGTTCGAGACTCCTTTCGTATGTTACACTCGTCAATATCGCGCTAGCACTCGTAGCATATATTACTGTCCAAATCTTTTACCAGATAACTTACTACCGGTTCTTCCATCCGCTACGACACTTTCCTGGTCCTTTCTGGGCCAGCGTAACGCGTCTATGGATCGCTTACCACAATATTAAAGCCGACGAATGCGAGCCCGAACTTGCTCTACACCGCAAATATGGTCCAGTGCTTCGAATTACGCCTACCCTCCTCTTGGTTTCCGACGCAACCAAGTTACCTGAGGTATATAATCGTCAATCGAACAAGTCAAACCACTATATCACCGGCAGCTTCGGGAAGACTGAGAGCCTATTTAACATGCGTGAGCATAAGCATCATGCGCATTTTCGCAAGATTGCTGCTGGCCCCTACAGCTTCAGCAACGTCAAAAAAATGGAAGGCCTGGTAGATGACCGCATTCAGCAATGGATCGATAGACTGGAAGAACTCTTCAGTAATGGCAAGAAATTTGACTTTGCGCCTTGGGTATGCTTCATCCTGATTACGTGACGAGAATAGGGAGCACTGATACTTTGATGTGTAGGCAGTGTACATGGCATACGACATCATATCCGAAATTGGCTTTGGCGCACCTATCGGCTTTATAGAAAGCGGCTCGGACATTGATGGTCTGATTAAAGGCTTCCATGATGGCTTACTTCCCTTCGGTCTTATGGCTCGACTTTGGCCCTTTACACAGTGGGCAAAAGGTACATGGCTTGGTGAGAGATACCTCGTCGCGAAACCGGAGGATGACTCTGGCATCGGCACGCTCATGCGCTTTCGTGATAAGCTCATTGCACAGCGACTTGAAGATGTTGAGGCCGGTAAAATCGAGCGAGTCGATCTGTTACAGACGTTCCTCGATGCAAGGACGGAAGATGGTGCGCCACTAGATTTGGATTACATCAAAGCTGAGATCCTTCTGGTGCTGCTTGCAGGTGCTGATACCACAGGCACTGCGTTCCAAGCGATGATTGCATACATTACCTCTGACGCTCAAGTGTACACGAAGTTGATGAGAGAGGTTGATCGCGTCACTCGTGAGGGAAACTTGAGTTCTACACCACAGTACGACGAAGTGCTAGAACATTGCCCATACTATGTCGCCTGTGTCAAGGAAAGCATGCGGTAGGTTATTGTCCCTTCTCTTTAGTTGTCCCCATACTCACATCTACAGTTTGTGCCCCTCTGCCCCCAACATCTTCCCTCGTCTTGTTGGGCCATCGGGCATGCATCTGCACGGTCGATATGCTCCACCAGGGACAGAAATAACTTGCAATCCGTGGCTCGTGCACCGTGACGAGAAGATCTACGGTGCCGATGCCTGCGAGTTTCGGCCAGAACGCTGGCTCGAGAGCGACGAGAAAGCAAAAGACTACAACAAGTACAACATGGCCTTTGGTTACGGCGCAAGAGTTTGCCTCGGAAAAGATATCGCACTTATGGAGCTGTACAAGGCGCCACTGCAATTTCTTAGGACGTTCAAGATTGACATGGATAAAGGTCGGAAAGGCAGGTTTGTCGTCAAAGGTGGAGTAGGATTTTGGGAGGATATGTTGATTAGTATACAGCGACGGGCAACGCAAGATTAAGGTGGCACTTCAATGTATGCTGACCTACGTAAAGCACTATAGATGAGATGATGTACGATTGAGTCGCGTGAGTTCGCATAATGATGAGATGGCGTTCTAGATTATCCCGTACCCGATGTCGTCACGTGTTGGCGCGATGATTTTCCACTAGCGCGGTCTTGGACGAAACAATCCGAAACGTCCGCAATTACGCTACGAAGCTTACGGTCCGCGCCTCAGCTATCCCACCACTCGCAGTACACAGCTGGTCTTGGTATAGGCTCATTGTCCCCGCACTGGGGCGCATTGAAAATGTCCCCGAGATGATTCTCCGTCGGTGCAATATCCTTGGTCCAGGCCTCAGACCCAGGCAGAAATAGCTTGTTTCGTGGCGCGCTTGGTATATAGGAGAGCGACTCCAACATGACGATGACCCTTACCGCTTCTACGATTTTTGAATCGATTCCTTTCGTTTTTCTGTCACTCACTGACACTGACCTTGTTCGCTGGTCGTTCATTCATTTCGTCACTCGCTTATCTACTCGTCCGTTCGCATCATGATGCGTTCAACTTTCTTTTTCTCCCTGCTTGCGGGCACAGCCTTTGCTCAGCTTGCCGAAAACAACTTGAAGACCCACGTCGGAAGTTTGAAGCTTTCTGCACCCTTCAATCCGATCAAAGAAGCGTACTGGACTGGACTCCCTCACCATCGCCGCACTCCCTTTGCTGTCTCGCCAGATGGCAAGTCAGCATACCTTGCGTACCTAGACGCTTCCGAGACGGACGTACATATCCAGAAAGTCGACCCTGCTACCTTTGCGGCTATAGGCGATGCAGTGACCGTCACTGGTGGAAAGGAAGCTGGTGGCTTAGTTGCTCACAATGACGGTTTCGCTTTACTCACTAACGAAGCCATGCCGTCGGGCACCACCAACGCGCCGCCTGATAGTACCCCAGTGGCTGTCTTGTACCGCTACACTGCTGGCGAGCAGACCTTCAAGACGTTTTTGGGCGGCCCTGACAACGTTGGCGGTATGGGCGCACTGGCGTCCCCGGACATGAATGGAGACCTTGCTTTCTCTGAGGCCACTGGCATGTACGGTGCTTACTTCGTCGTCACTGCGTACTCTGGCGATGCCAAGGGTCATTTCGGTGACGCCATCCAATACGTTAGCGAGAACGGCACGCTCGAGCAGATCCAGGGTGCTAGTTCAAGCTGGGGATGCTCACACAACACTGGTATCGCATTCGAGGCCGCTGATTCTGTTCCGTTTCCCAGCATCTGTTCCGAGGACCAGGGTGCCATTTGGCTTAACACTGGAGGTACTGGAATGGACAAGAGCGGTGTTAAGGTCTCCAACGAAAATGTCCAGAATGGTGCTGGAAATGAGGCTATGGGTGGCATGTCCGGATCCTACAGTGGTCTTGCACGCTTCATCGACAGCGACTCCTACATCTTCTCCTGGGTTTCGCGTGGCGCTAAGGATCTGACCGAGAACGAGTGGATGGGTGCAGGCTACACTAACTCCGAGAACCGCACAGTCAACCGCAACGTTGCCATCGCTACCTTCTCAGACAAGAAGACCATTGTTGGCGAGCAAGCTACCTCTGAACTCGGCCCCGATGGTGACTCACAAGTCAACTGGATCACCACAGGTTCTGCTGACTGCCAGAACGCTCACGTTGCTGCCTTTGATGGCACCAGCGCTCTCGTCACCTGGGAGGAGATCGCTGAGCCTACGTGCGAGTTCATTGCCATGGGCTGCAAGGGTGCCTTTACTGGCTCTTACTTCCAGCTCGTCAAGGACGGCAAGAAGGTTGGCGAGCCAGTCAAGTCCATGGACGTCTACGTTGCCGGAGACATGGTTACCATGGCTGATGGTCGGGTATGCTGGCCTTACGTTGACATGGACTGGACACTTGACGCACCAGTGCGTAGCCCCGCAAATGTAGAGGCTATCAGCTTCGCATGCATGGGCCTGAGTGGCAACGAGTCTGCTGCACCTGCTTCTTCTGCCCCAGCTGCCTCAGCCCCAGCTGCCTCAAAGACACCAGCTCCTTCATCCAAGGCTCCCGTCGCTACCTCTGCGGCTGTCAAAGAATCAGCTCCTGTAAACGAAGTTGCCGAGTCTACCGAACAAACCCCAGCCGTTGAAACACCTGCTGAGTATGCTCCAACGCCCGCACCAAACCCGATCGAGTCCCTGCTCCCCATAGCTCCCATCGTCTCTGTCATCACGTCTGCGCTTGAGGCCATTCCATCAGGCTTCCTTCCCGACAACGACCTCCCCGCGCCCTTGCTGTCAATTTTCATTCCGGCTTCTGAGTCTTTCATTGCCTCTGTTGCACCTGCTTTTACCGAAAGTGCTAAGATACCTCTTCTGTCCCTTGAGCCAGTGTACTCCAGCACCCCCAGCTCTTTGGTCGCTGAGCCTACCGCCGAGCCTACAGCTTATCCTGAATACCCAGAGGCTACTCCTATCGTCGAACCATCTCGGCCAGCAGCTACTCCTATCGTTGAACCTTCCCAACCCGCGGTGACTCCCACCGCCGAACCGACTCAATCCGCAGCTTCAACAACATGCACCGAAGGCAAGACCCAGAGCACTCGCGTACCCCTTGACGCCACTCTTTCGGCAGATGCTCCCCCCTACCCTATCGGTACAGGCTCAGCCACCTACCCCACTGGCAGTGGTATGCGCCCCTCCGGTATCGCGCGCCCCACTGGTGCTGGCCGTCCAGACTGGTTCCATGGTAGCCGTCCAGATGGTAGCTTTGGCTGGGGTCGCCCCAGGCCTTCCGGTATGTGGCCTGCTCACGGTTACCCCCGTCCTACAGCCGGCTTCCACTACCCTTCCAAGCCCTCTGAAGCTTTCGGCCATGGAGGTGCTGCGGGCGTTAAGGCTAGCAGCAAGCCTTGCACCCTGGAGACCAGGGTCAGGCCCACGCCTACTGCTCTTGTGCGTTAGAAACATCATGGATTATGAGATGTCGTAACGTCATCCACATTCCTCTCACCCAATTCATGTATATATCTTTATCTTCCACAGACCTCCAGGCGGGGTGAGATCAGCTGCCGCAATTCACAGTCGGTGCATCACGTACAACTGTTACTCTATTACTTCTTCTGCCTTGCATGCGTTCAACTGGTTTCTTGTCCTTGGTTTGCGTTGCTAGTTGTAGGCCAAACGATTCTTTCAGAAAACTAATCTATCAAGAACCTTGTCTCCAAACGTATCCGTAGGTCCATCCGTGTCTATGCAACTGCCCATGTCGCTTTGTCACTTCCATCGCTTCATGCTAACCGCAACAAGTGCGCAATCAGCCTCTAGGAGATTCGATTTTCACCTAACGGACTTGGCAAATAAACGCGCCTCTCTCACTATTGCTCTGTTGTCTTTTCGCTCTCCTACTGATCCTGCTTCTGTATTTCCCACGACTACTGCCTTTGATCGCGATTGACTTCGCACACGCTTCAGCCAGGATGACTGAGGAATCAGAGCTCATAAAGATCGATCCGAACGGCGACATGCTCATCATATTGAAGGACCCGAACACGGCACTGTTGGAGTGGAAAGAGGACAAGGAGTTATTGATGGAAACGATCGCCCAGGCAGCAGCTGAAGCGACTGAGACAGCCAACAATAGCGAATTTGCGCCGCTAGAGCGAGAATTGCCCAAAACTCGGTATCTGGTGTCATCGCGGCAAATGCGCATCGTATCACCTTACTTTCAAAACATGTTCAAATTCAGCTATGGCGAGACAGTTCCAGTTTTCGAGGATGATCTGTATCATGTCCAAGCACAAGGGTGGAACCCAGAAGCATTTGCAGTGGTGCTCAATGTCGCCCATGTCCAACTTCAAGCCATACCGAAAAAGGTCAGCCTCGCTTCGTTCGCTTGGCTCTACGTTATCGCAGACTATTACCAGATGGAGGGTGTCTTGGGACTATTCACAACGGAGTGGTTGAATCAACTGAAGTGGCAACCGCTGCCGATAACCTACAGTAAGGAGCTTGTACTCTGGATGTTCTTGAGTGTGAAACTCCAAGATATGGAGACTTTTAACCACTTGGCATTAATTGCGACAAGGAAAGCTTGCTATCCCATACAATTTCTGGATCTACCCTTTCCTCCAGGAGGGCAAGGTAAGCTATCTATCTGCTTGGTGAGAGCCTGCTGACTCACATAGTACACAAGCTTGATGGCATGCGGTGTGCCGCTATTGAAAAGCTTCTGAGTGGTGTACGTAAACTTATTAGAGAGCTGTACCAAGGCAAGGAGGGGTGTTCGGAGGCATGTTCGGGCATGCTATTAGGGTTCTTGCAGCGGGGCTTGTGGAAGGAAGATCTGCAGGGTGTCGTTTCAGAACATCGTCAACGTCCCTTCGAAGGAATTGGATTTGATTCACTTCTTTGCGAGATCGAGGAGATAGGAACTCCTTCTGATGGTATGTGGGATTTGCCCAACTGCTGTCTACTTGAAGACATTCTTTTTCCGATTCGTTGCGATGCTGCGGCTTGTCTAGAGCTGGATGTAAGCATTGTAGAATACCAGGAGCAATAGGATTGATTCGGGACGGATCTTGGAATAAATTTTCGTAGTAATGACCTACACGAGTGCCAGAGAAAGATAAACATCTATTCGGGATCGGCGCCAATATTAAAAGCGAATGACATAAGCGATCGTGAACTTAACAGGTGTATCGCGTACTTCAATACTGGATGGGCTAGCCAACATCGTAGCGGCTGCTGGAGCCGCGGAAGATCTGGAGTCGTATAATGTTTGCATGACATCAAATTCGCAACCATCCTCTGCACTCGATAGAGCTAGGGTGAAGTTTAGAATCGATGCCAAAGGAGATGAGAAGGATGCGACTGCTCGCGGAGAGATGATCTCCGCCAATGATGTCTTCCTGGCCCCGTCCAACGCTAGCCGCCAGCATCGCATCCCTTCACATGCCATCCTAGAACCTCGAACCGCTATATAGTGCCTTTCGTCGTGGTAATACACTCACATTTTGATGATTACTCGTCTTGCTACACTATCTGTTTCATCGCATCGAGATCCGCATGCACTTCATAGACCACGATTGTTAGCGACGCAGCTCAGCGGCGTTGTGTAACGCAAGCGACCAATAATGGGTTCTTCCTGTCGTGTTGGCGCTGACAGCGAATGAGTTCCTGCACGACTCCGCACTGATAGCTTGCCGGCCACCTATCATTGGTGACTTTACCGCAGGTGAAAGTAAAGGATGTTTAACATTGCGCCGCAGTGATGCGTACTCTCCTCAGCCTGCTTCAGTCCTTGCCTAAGAATCTCGACACCTTTAAGACAAACAATCGATACATATTCCTCTATATCGGCCATGGCACCCGTCGTGCACGTAATCGACCCAGATCCAGATACGGTGTTAATTCTCAGAAATCCTTGTACGACCTTCGCGCCTTGGGATTCTGAAGAGAAACCACAGAGTCCAGTAGTACGTGTCTCGAAGAAGGAAAGGAAGAAAAAGAGCAAAAGGAGAGTCGATAGGTAAGCAGAGTACTAACCTTATATGAACCTTGGTCTGACTCAGCACAGCTTAAACCTCCCAGAACACTATCCTTCTTTGGCACTTGATGGACTCGCTGTTGATAGCAGTGGAACTTTTCTTGAGGACGGGTTTGGCGGGTCCAACGGATCTGCAGGGGCTTCATCTGCCAGCGAAGTTGCGCCTTCACTGACTAGACACAAAGAGCCTGTTGAGCCTGAAGAAGAGTCAATCCACTACCATGTTTCCTCACGCCACCTAATGCTCGCGTCGCCTGTGTTCAAGCGAGCGCTGAACAAGGACGGGTTCACCGAATCCGTTCGCAACGAAATCGATGGTTTCTTCCATGTACAAGCCAGTGACTGGGACCCAGAAGCGTTTCTCATCGTTCTTCAGATCTTGCACGGTCGCAACAAGCAGGTGCCACGAAAAGTGAGTTTGGATATGCTTGCCAAGATCGCCATCCTTGAGGACTATTACACTTTCGGAGAGTCCCTGGACGTGTTCACCGAGATGTGGATCCAAGAACTTATCAGGGTGTCTATACCTACAGTATACTGCAGAGATCTGGTATTGTGGATCTGGGTAGCATGGTTGTTCGATAAAGATCAGCAATTCGAGGAGGCCACCACCGTAGCTATCAAGCAAAGCACCGAAGCACTCCGAACTTTAGATCTTCCCATTCCTCCAATATTATCAGGTACGTTTATTCGTCGTTCTGATGAGATACGTGACCGTTTACATACTGCAGATGAAATCGACAATACGCGATACCAGGCCATCGAGTTTGTTATCGAAGCCCTTCACGACCGTCTCGAGAGATACCGTTCCACCGATTATTTGTGCCCGTCCAATGCGAATCAGTCATTCATGTGCGGATCCTTTCTTCTCGGTAGTGTGACGAAAGAGTTGAGCCGGCTGAATTTCATGTCGCCTCGACCAGAGGTTCCATTTCCTGGTTTGAGTTTCGACAGAACCTGTGAACTAGTGGGAGCCATGCAGTCTCCATGGTGGTACTCTGCTAATGGAAGTTACTCTCGGGCCCATTCATGTACATTGAATGCAGCAATGAAAACTCTGATAGAGGATGTATCGACTGCAGTTGGAGGGCTGAATCTGGGCGATCTCAAGAAGAGACGGGACAGTTGAAGAACCTAGCATGTACGTAGTTTTAGCGGGAGACTTAATGCTCAAGTGTATGACATCGTTCTGCTTGACCGTATTCGCCCCACAAGTCGTGGCCGGAAGCGCAGGAGTGAGCTAGGCCGGAAGCGGACTAGTGTCGAAACAGGGGTCCAATGTCCGATGTCAGAAGTCGGGAATGACACCTTAACAAGCGCTCGAGTTGCACGCCTCCCTTAAATTCGACAATGCCACGATGAGCGAAAGCAAAGGGCTCCTGCATGAGCATCCTTCAGACACCGACTCGGAACCCGAACACGAGCGCAAAGCAAGTCCGCGACACCTGTCTCCATCGCCCTCGTCGTCACGAACCACATCCGCGTCGCCAGCACCGCCAGGGTCAAGACCAAATGGCAACTTCAAACGGCAATCGTCTTTCGCACAGCCCCGGCCCGATGGCACGCCGAGAACGCCAAACCGGGTGCGCTTTGAGGAACCCAGGAGGAGCATGAACGGAGACTCCAATGGCGACTGGCTGGAGATGGACGGAGATGACTACATGGACGGCGATGATGGGCGGGAAAGAGTACAGCGACTTCCTCTGCTCACTGGGATAGAGGCGCCTAGCGTCACTGTCGCAGAACAATCATTCAATCCGGAAGATCACCTCGAGAGTGCACAGCCACGGAGCGGGATGCGGAGCGCCTTTATGAACATGGCAAACAGCATAATGTATGCCCGTCAAACACGGAATCTAAGCATGGAAGCTAATCCAAAACAGAGGCGCTGGAATCATCGGTCAACCCTACGCCATCCGCAATGCAGGCCTCTTGGCAGGCACCGCCCTCCTGATCGGCCTTACTGTCGTGGTAGACTGGACCATACGACTCATCGTCATAAACTCCAAGCTCAGCGGTACCGACTCGTTCCAAGCCACGGTTCAGCACTGTTTTGGGAAATCAGGATTGATAGCCATATCTCTCGCGCAATGGGTCTTGTATGTTCACCCCACGGCATACCGAATGCAGGTTATTGACAGCATACAGTGCTTTTGGAGGCATGGTCGCGTTCTGCGTAGTAGTTGGAGACACGATACCAAGGGTCTTGGATTCAATGTTCCCTTCTTTGGCAGATATGTCGTTCCTCTGGCTACTGACCAACAGAAGAGCCATCATGATCCTGCTTATTCTCGGCATATCCTTTCCACTGTCGCTTTACCGGGATATATCAAAGGTATGCACTGTGATCCAGCACACCGACCGGGCTGACAATATGTAGCTTGCCAAAGCTAGCGGTCTGGCACTAGTTAGCATGACCATCATCATCGTGACCGTAGTCACGCAAGCCTTCCGCGTACCTGCCGAGTCCAAGGGTCAACTTCGTGGCTCCCTCATCATTCGATCCGGTATCTTCGAGGCGATCGGTGTGATAGCCTTCGCCTTCGTCTGCCACCACAACAGCCTCCTTATATACGGCTCGCTGCGGAAGCCCACCATCGATCGATTTACACGCGTCACACACTACAGCACCAGCATATCCCTGGTCGCATGTCTTGTCATGGCTTTGTCAGGCTACCTGACGTTCGGTGACAAGACCCTCGGCAACGTGCTCAACAACTTTCCCAATGATAATCTCATGGTCAACATTGCGCGGTTGTGTTTCGGCCTCAACATGCTTACGACCCTTCCACTTGAAGCCTTCGTGTGCCGAGAAGTCATGAACAACTACTGGTTCCCCGAGGAACCCTACCATCCGAACCGCCATCTCATCTTCACTACTTCACTCGTCGTCTCTGCCCTCACCCTCTCACTCCTCACCTGCGATCTGGGCGTTGTATTTGAGTTATTCGGCGCAACATCTGCATGTGCACTGGCGTTCATTTTGCCGCCTCTATGCTACATGAAGCTTAGTCAGAGAAGCTCCAAGACGTACTTGGCGGGGGCTGTTGCTGCATTTGGATGTACCGTAATGGTCATTAGCATTATAAAGACCACGAGCAAAACAATGATGGGCAACAGCGAAGGTGCTAAATGTGGTTGAACCATGTTGTATTATATACATAGCGAGCATTGGGTGGCGTTTTGGTATACATGTTGCATATGCATGGCGGACGAGTGTCTGGAGTTAGCAAGATCGACCTTGTCAAGCAAAATAGATGTTATCACCAGTTGTACGATCTTGCGCGTTGTACCTGCTTCGCGGGAATGCGGCGCTTAGCCCTGATGTCGTGGTCAGGTGTAGATAAGTAATGTGATCATGTCGTCCCTTTCCGATGTTGCATGCACAAAACACATGGTAGGCATGCCAATCATTCAGGGGCATTAGATGCAGGGCGCGTCTTTGCTTTTCTCCTGGTCTTGCATCTTCAACAATAGCTTGCGCGACATGGCGTTCCGCGCATGAGCACCAGGACATGACGCGACTTCAGCTTATCTAAAAGTCAAGTGTTGCCTTCACGAGAATGGGGGTTAAGACACGGTTCCAACAACTCGCTCGGATGCAACGGCAGCGAGTTCCTTGAAGTTGAAGTTTAGTTAAGCTCACTAGCTCTGCTCAAGTCCGGTACACCAGAGGTCTCCGGCACAGTATCCGCCGCTGAACGCGTACTTGCAGACCCACATAAACCTGAACACCACGCTAAGCTTCAATTCACAATATCGCAATCAATGTTTCACGACAATCGTTTTTCTGGCTATCAATTCATCTCGTAGCTGAGCGATGACGATGCGGCTGCTTTCTGTGATGTTGGAGGCGCCGATCACCCCTTGCTTTGGGGCATTGACGTCACTCGATGCGGGTTTCCGAACCCTGCTTTCACGACCTTAAAGACACCTGGGAGACACGACGAAAGAGCGCGCTATGACAGGGACACTTCACATATAAGGCACGGCATCTGTTTCCCGAACCCTCTGTTCTATACTCCAGAATCTGTCATCTCCAATTTCTAGCTAAACAGTAGCTACCCAGACCTCGTGTCATCTCCAACTTGAGCCTTTCCGTACCAATACACCAAACCATCAACATGCCTCTCTTCGGATCCAAGCGCGAGCCCAGTCCTCCACCTGCTCCTCCTCAAAAACACTCCATGTTCTCCAGGCGCCGCTCTTCGTCCCCTTCATACCGGGACACACGCCACAGCAGCTCCACCAGCCGCACTACTACCACACATACTTCCTCGCCCAAGCGCACATCTGGCATGTTCAGCCGTGGCTCCGGAGACCCTAGCATTGCTACTGCTAAGCAGAGCTTGATGAACGCCGAGGCAGCGGAGAGGGATGCTGACCGCGCGCTTTTCGTTGCGAAGAACGCTGTAAGGGAAGCAAGAGAACATGTTCATCGCCTAGAGAGGGAAGCTGCTGAGGAGTAAGTTCATGTGAGTTGCATCAAGGGAATATGGCGCTAACAATGTTATAGGGCGAGACTTGCGAAGATCAAGCAGGGCGAGGCCAAGGCTCTCGGCAAGAAGGGCAAGTTGCTTGGAAGACACGACCATGTCTAAGAAGTCCCCCTCAGCCGCCATATTTACAAGCAGCCGTGGAGCGGTTGTTTAGGCGATGCCCATACGGACGTCATTTCCTTTTATCATGATACTGAATGATGTGAAGCGTGGAGTTGTCGGTTTTCTTATGTTACTATGAGCGCTTGTATAATACCCATTATGTATACTTCAGCATTGAATGTCCATCGCATTTCTGCCTGATATCATTCGTTCTTCCGTCATCTCATTGTTTTGCACAGTTATGATACCACCAAATTCGATAACTCATGCAAAAGCAGATCTACCCGTCCTACTATATACGGTCATCACATGTGGTTATAGGAATAGGATCAGACGAACAGCAGTACTATGAGACGCTCTAGTCGCGAAAATGAAAGACTTCCACGACAAACGCAAAAACACTCTTCCCACTGTGTTCTTCCCATTCTCCGCCCCCACCAACACAAGGTCAACTCTACAGTTCATTAATCTCTTTCAACAAACTCATCTTGATAAAATGGCCCGCGAGAAGCGCATTGCTCACAAATCACCAAACTCCCTCGGCGACGCATACCGTGATATTACTTCCGCCCAGGCGGAGCTCGTTCGCAACCAGAACACACTTGGGCACCGCCAAGCTCTCGTGAACTCATCAGTGCCAGAAGAGACACCCATATCAATCGGCTTCGTAAGTCGTCGCGTCCTCGAGAGCCCCAGTATTGACTACTGACATTACTCGCCCTCAGGCCGCCCAGATCGTCGACGAAGCACAGAAGCCAAAGCGCCAGGCCGACTTGGAAAAGGCTCGTAGTATTCTTGACAGGCGCCAAAAAGGCCAACCAGTCTCGTGGGTTGAACTTGAATGGACAAAGACACTATGCGCTAGGGAAGCGAAGCTGGAGGGGGCAGAGATGAAGGATGTTACAGCGACCGACATGAAGAAGCAGCAGTGGCAGCAAGATCAAGAGCGGGAGATGAATGAGATCAGCGCTGCGAACAAGCATCCCACTTGGAATACTCGTATGCTCCTTAGAGCTCGGCTTGGTGAGGGAGACAAGTCAGATTCAGTGTCTGACAGCGACTTGATTAATGCAAGTGGAGTATCTGGTGGCGCTATGCCTGAGCCTGCTCGTGTCTCGCAGAAGAAGAGTCCGGTTCACGAGCCTGAAGACGACAATGGTGGTAGCGAGAAGAAAGACGAGAACAACGCTGTTTCCCAGGCACAAGTAAGCTTGGTGATATGTGCGGAAGATACCCATACTAACAACGAACAGCCTCAAGATCCCCTCCCTTCTCCGCTGGACGATGCCAACAACAATATGACAGCTGAACTGAATGCGAATGAAGATTCTGATGTAGACATCTGGGACGACGATGTCTGGGCTCTAATGATCAAGGCCGACTAGGAGTAAAGACAGCCTCCTATTCTCTTGTAGTCTAATCATGATATGAAAACTGATACACGTGAAAAGATGCATTGAGAACAATATCCTGGATGCAGCTCAACAGATGCGTTCGGCAACCAATTAGAATCGAGTTTTATTATCTATAACACACTGCATCTTCTTCGTCTGCTTGCCACCTACTACATGAAGCGCATCATTATACGCGTTACATACACTTTGTGCACGGATCATGAGCTGTGACCAAAGGATTGAAGCTTTTCATTTTTCTGATCAGGTCACAGTTACCATATAGATGCTTGCTCTCGACGCTTAGATAACGGACCTCGTTGTTGCATTCGATATATACTCTAAGGCGTGCCACAAGAGATTTTGTCTACAACGCTACCGCTACATCTTATGACCCCAGCGATAACAGCGTCCGCCTGTTTTTTTCAAACTCATGGTTGTCAAAATTCCTACTGCTAGAGGTTTCTTTGTTGCTGTCGCCTCGGTCAGCGTCTTCTTCCAACTCTGATCAATCCTGCTGATATGCTGGAGGTTGTAATGTGGTTGGATACAGAGATTGTTGACAAGAGCTGCGTTGATAGAAAGGTTTTTCGCGTTTGACGGGCGGAAGTGGTATAATTCGATCTCGTTCAGTCCGGTACGCAAGAGACTGGGGTGGTGGTGGGATTTATTCGAATGTTGGTGATCGTGTAAGAGGAAAGTCGGTGGTTACGGCAAGGCTCGAGAGTGCGGAAGGTCATAATCATAGACGCAATCAACTATGTCCCTCTTAACGCGGTTTCCAGGTTAGGTGGTCGATCTCGATACCGTTGTATATAGCGTTTGGAGCATATTCAATGAGCGTTGTGTTTTCGCTTATACTGGCTGTGATTTGGTGCATACCTGTAAACCCTTTTACTCTTTGCTACCATACCCGCTGGAGAGCTCGCGAGCTGGCTTGCTTCCCTGGGCTTGCAAAATTTGCACCGTATCTCGTGATTCTCTGGCATCCTGACGTATCCATTTGTGGCCTTGATGATAGACCCAGGACCGCTGAGAGTCTTCAGCCGTGCGAAATACTAAAACCTCGACGACTGACAGTCCGCCCACAGTGTCGCTCACATGCTGAAGAGCTTTCTTGTACGATTTAGTGCATCTCTACTTCATAGTTTCGCAATCATTCGTTTGTTCGTGCTCTACAATAAGCTGGGTCTTCGGTGTACTGTCGTGGCTCCTTGGTTGGCTCGAGGCGCCAGCTGCACCTCGTAGGTATCGATTGTACCGGAAAAGCGCGAGTTCGTAGATTCGAGTCTGACAGGGGTGGAATCATTCAACATTCGGTAGCTGTTCGTGGTTGTGGCGCGATGGGGGACGGTCGCCGCGGCTTTGGTGGTAAAATATCTGCCTCTTACGCGGCAACCTCAAGGCACCCCAGGCAATTGAGCAGAGGTTTTCACCAAAGACTCTGTACTTATACCCATTTTGGCTGTTGCTACACAACCACACTATCGACTCGGACCAGAAAAATCGGAGGATAGAGGTAGGGGTCAGGGATTGGCTGCCATGCTCTCCATATCTTTGCGAACATTTATGGGCATGATGTATGAAGCTGTTCATACCAACCTCGTCAGCTTGCCAGAGCAGAGGTTCGTGTTCCTTCACTGCTCCAGCTGGCTTTTACAGTTTGATCTCGAGCGATCTACACCCTCCGCGTCGTATCTCCACCACCACCAGACCAAAAACTCTCGGAGCTGTACGAAAAGCAGCGCAGATCTCATGATATTCTCCTGCGACTGTTGTGATGCTTCTGTAACGATGTGGTGGTGTTGCACTTCCACATTTGCACCCCTTCGGTGAGCCCCAAGCACGCCGCACGGTCACACCTTTTTTCCACCTCACCCCTAGCTCGATATAAACAGTCAGGGTCCGGGTCACTGAACCTTTACTCATCCCTGCAGATAGCTCGATAACCGCCCTCCCCAAGGTTCGTGAAGCGGTACAAAGAGCTCTCTAAAGGCCGTAGCAACCTTGTCCAACTCTCCTGGTGTTGATACGACCTCGGGGGCATCCTGCACCACCAGTAATGTCAACCTGTGGTGAGCGCGAAGGCGCGAGCCTTAGCGACAAGGCTGGCAGCCTAGACAGAGGCGCCATATAAGCTTGCCCACCGACTTCTAACTTCATCTCTTCTACACCCCACTACCCACATTTGGATTACAAGATCCTCGAGCTCAGGCTCATCTTTTCCAGGTTCGCCTGCTGGGCCCATCAACGATGGATACCTATCTCTAGTAAGTCGCATGCTCCCCTCCTTTCCTCGAGCGCACCGAGTCACTGTGAGCACCATCGACGACCCCGCCTTTGACAACAACTCAAGCCTTGCTCAAAGGTTCTCTCATGCCCCCTCGTGAACTTTTAGCACATTCCTGTAATACTAACACGCCTTTCAGCGCCGGCCTCAGCCTATCCAGGTTGGTGTCGACCTCAGTCACCTAATCCTTGAAGGTCGACACCAACACTGGCATGTCTGGTATCAGCTCTCCTCTCAAGCGCAAGTCGAGCGTCTATGATCCCAAGGATCCACAGTAGCTTTGACTCAACGCCGACTTTGCTAAGGAGGGGGGCTGGACCAGAAAGAGCTGTCCTGGTGGGTGAAGCGCGTAAGCACCGTCACCATCTTCCAATACATGTCTCGCTGATCACATTTAGTATGGTACACACGACACTCAGGATCGACTTCAATTCCGGCTGATGTCGTGTGTTGCTCATAGCGTTTTCATCCACTACGACAGCGCGTTGCCGCAGAAGGCAAAGACATCTTCCTGCAAACCGGAACCCCGGTCGACTACACAAACATGTCCGGTTTGCTGTTGCATTCAACAAGATAAGGATGTCCGCTAGCCTTCGGCGGTAAACGCAACTTCCAACAGATCGGCGTGGAGTATGTTTACAACTCACCGCTCCCATCATATCATAGCACTTGCTGACTCGCTGGGTAGTCATGCAATTGATCCACACCGAGCATGAATAGCCGTGCTTCGGTGGCTACCCTCGACAAGCAGTCACCTTGGCCATAGGATTTCCACAACTTGGGTAGCCTCGGCACGGCCGTCGTTATGTGGGAGGGAGAACGATCTGGTATATGCTTCCTCTTAGACATCCCTGGACTCTTTCGTAGAACTGACTCAGCACCGGCACTCGAGCTTCTCGACAATCTTGGGGTCGGGGCACTGTTGATCGTTCCACAAACTTCAACACCGAAAATATCGCCCCACCCCAAGAACCTCGAATTCGCATTTGCGGCCTTGTCGTTGGGCTTCCATGTCCAGCTGTCGTGCGAAGCCCGCGACAAGGCAGTCGTTCTCCCTCCTTACCTGCAACACTCGCGCACATTTGATCTCCGTACTGAATATCAGAGATGGCAGGCACACCGCATTTGCCGAATCTTCACATCACGGGCACTTACCCGTACCAAGCGTACCGATCAAGGTCCCGAGCCTTCATCGAGCTGGGTTTGCTCGATGCAAAGTCGTGCGAAGAGGTATGCCTATTGACAACCATGCCAAGCTCCACCGCTAACCCCACAGCAGCTGCATGGTGAGTCTGTCCTAGGAGGAGACCTGCAACCGCAGGATACGCCGCTTCGCGCAACTACACATCCAACACTGGTCAGTATTTCAGTGTCCAGCAGCCCTCTTCGTACAACGACAGCTCTCCGTATACCTCTGGCGCGGGCTACGCCAATGCCTACAGTAACGCCTCATACATCTCGTGTCATCGACTTAAACATCGCCGTATCTTCATTCCAGGAATCCGATCGGAAATCTGTTAGTGTGAAGATTCTTATCTGCAGTGGATGTTGTTAACATCTTCTAGTTCGCGGGCTTTTATTAGAGCATCAGGACGCCCCAAGGTACTTGGAGGGGGCGACTGGATAGGGCGAGGTAGGGGCCCTATCCATCAATGACGGTGGGCATTTGCGCAGAATTGTACTTTTAGGACGCTTTCTGTTGCGAATCTCCATCGCCGCGACCACTGCGACCTGACGCCGAGTACTATCGTAGAGCCCAAGAAGAGAACGAATTGCTACGGGCGGAACTGAACGGCGTCTGGGACGTTCAGGCACGTCAGCACTCAGTTTCAGGTCGTACATCTCAAGGAGAGAAGGTATCGAGTCGCAGTGAGTTTATTGTAGGCCGCTCGAACGCTCCCTCGCGTCAAGGTAGCTTTGCGACATCGATCAACAGTAGCATCTACACCACAAACTCTCTAAGCTACCACCTAGGCAACAACGATTGGATGATCATCGGGCAATGAAAGTCTTTGAAGACGAAGAACCGTGTTGCAAATTTTGGTACCTTTTGGAGGGTCGAAAATTGCCGATCATGCGCATCCCCGTTGCTCTACGCATCAGCGCCCTATCCTCGAGAAGCCATCTGTCGGCAACTCTTGACGCCAATCGAGCTCAGAAGTGTCACTTCTAAACATCCTGTACATTTTCAAGGCGAAGGCAAGGTCGCCTCGTCAAATGCGTTGTCGAATGGGCGATCCTTGTTCCTTACGGCGGAGAGTCAAGACAGCCGCTGGACATCCAAACACTGGGCGTGCTTAGAGGCGACATCTCTGCTCCGTTGCACGTGCCTTATCTTATACGAGGGATACGCAGCTCTAACTTGATCCTCTGACTGCATCGTTCATAGGGTCTTCGACCTTTTTGTGTGTGTCGCTACACTTGTCATGAGCTGTAGATTGGCGATCGTGGGCATCGTGGTGGGCGCTGTCCAAACAAGCATCTCGCGCTCCACGGATTCTGTCTACGAGTTGCTTGTGTAAGCTTGAAAATGTAGATCGGTTGCGCGAACTTGTCCATGGCCTTTTTTCTGTATTATACGCTTTACGAAGCGCCGTCACAGCCGTTTCACCGACCTGTCCAAATCCAAAGCGGTATCTCAACAGTCTGGTCAAGACTGGTGCGTTGACGCGCTTGCTATGACTATGAATCTCATCAGCTTCTGGTCCTTCGTATATCATCGAGGCATGTCTGTGGTATCGGTGGGTCGGGAAGCACTTCGTGGCTTTGCTGAGAACGTCCGTAAGCAGGGTATTGAACCAAAATGGCACCAAGCGATCTCCGACGTCCGTTTTGGATCACTGGCTCATCTGCTAGCCATCCATAGGTCTTGTGATGTCTTCTAGTCGCTCTCTTGGGTTGCTGCCTCAGGGTAGGTGGGTTCTTGGAGCTCAGTCTGACCGCCGCGGAGGAGCCACGCCTTGACCGGAACGAGCATTCTGACCACTGGTGTATCGCATCGCTACTATCTGTCAATACAAATACAGTACGTTTCATCGAAACTCAGCAAAAGGCTATGCGGGAGGTCACATGCCCTTGACTGTCTGCGCCCTAGGCAAGTTAGCTCTGCGTCCAAGGAGAAGCCACTTACCACACCCTCACCGAGTGATACTGTCATCCTGCTTGGTCTCTCCTACACGACGATACAGCCGAAGTTCTCCAGGTGATACCTTGCGTGCGTTCACGACGTCGCAGATTTGTGGTTCGAACTCATTGGGTGGTTGAACGAGGTCCTGGTCGAACCCGCCGTTGTAAGATACGGTGCCGTCAAGTTCGGTGGTGGTGCTCATGTGGGTGACCACTCGCAGGTCTCCGACGAGGGTCTTGTCGATCACGAAAAAAGCGTTTTGATTTTGTGGAAGTCGTGGGTGTCGAGGCTGAGGCGACCGCCAGCGGAGTGAGACGAAGCACTTCACCTAACCCCACCACGATGCAATCCGCGCGTTGTACACCATGAGCAAAAGTATATTATCTAAGCCCCTACGAATTTTCTGCATATGACAAAATTCAGTTCATACATCTTCTCAACACAGTCAGGAGCTGCGCCATATATGCTCGATCAGGCATTCGTCGCAAAGGGCATAGACGTCTTGTGGAGCGGGCAAAAGAAGAATTATACGACGCTTGTTGCACTTGAGCCGTCTCTATAGGGCCTCTATGATTGCGTCTAATTCCCTGCTATTGCGTATATGTATAGAAACATGCTTACGCGTGGCGTCTGCTATGTGTTTTGGGAATTGTTTCATACGACATCGAGCATGGACGATACGCAACAAGTGCCTTGGAATTCGATTGTGGTTGTTTTGCCCGCTGTCAACCACCGTATGCTGGATACATACTGCTACTATCCTCCATGTCTTTCTATACGGCGTCGTCGTATCATCTCAGCAGTCCATCTTGTCATCCTCCTCCTCCCTCCGCCATAGTACGCATTCATCTTCGTTTCCTACTGCCTCTCTTGCCTCCTCGCTACAACGACGACGTATTCTCCTGTCTTATCCCCTGTCTTTCCAACCCCTTTATTCATACCTGTGGTCGCATTAGTATATTGGCTTTGTCTCAACATGGGCAGTATCCTGGGAAGCTTGGGACTAGGCGCTGCAGGGGCAGATGGCTTGGGGGCTAGAAGCTTGCTAACTCTGATGTCAGTGAAGGATATAAGGAGGACTGATCAGTATATATACCCAATATGCTGCGCCATGGACACCAACAATGTTCGTGATCTCTCTAAGCACACTCTGTTCGCCCATATGGTATTAGAAGTCACAAGTTGCCGGTAGAACTCCAGAGAAAGCTGTTTACCCATATCGTCACCACAGCGACTCGCGAAGTCAATTGAGGTGCTGCACACTCCAGAGAAGTTTGTGAATGAACGAGCTGAATATTTGAAGGGCAATGGGCACTGATACCATCTCTTTGGGTTCTACCAAGCGGTGGTCGTTCAGTACAGGTCACCGTCACTCACGTCTTGGCATGGATTCCGCAAGGCGCTGGGACCACGAGTATGTGGACTATATAAACAACCGACTTTTGTATACGTCTTCTACTCTTTGGCAACCTCAGTCTCATTGCTCCTAACAAGAAGATTTGATACATTATCACAAATCCTTCCTCATCCTCTTCTCCCCCTGCTGTAAAGCAGCAAAACAACCACAACAACCACAAAAGACCGGCACCACCACCGGCACCAAGACCATTCGCCATGGAGCGACCTTTCTTCACCGTCAACGCACATGGGCCTATCGAGCCGCCTCCTCACCCTCCTCTACCACCATCAGGGGGGCTTCGTTCGCTGCTGCCGCCGCCACCACCGCCACCACCCGGTCCTGGTCCTCTTGGTCCGCCAGCAGACCCCGTGTTCAGGTACGAGCAGTTGTACGTCCTGTCTGGCGCCGAGCTGGCGAGATTTCTCAACGGCCTATCCCAGGCCCGCTTCGAGTTCTGGTTGGATCACCACGGACAGTGAGGATGACGATACGTCCGGCGGTGGGCGTTTTCATTAGTATCTTGGCTTGGTGTTCTCTTCGGTCTAGTTTCAGGTTGGATTGTGACGGGTTTTGGGTTTGGGTACGGGCTTAGGGACTGGCTTCGACGCTTCGGCGCATAGATAACGACAATTGAACTCTTCTCGGTTGTATACGCTACTGCGCTCGCACCTCCCCTCCTACGCTGTATATCTCATTGATATTGTGCGATGTTTATAAAACTATGCTGCGACTCAATGCAGTCTCCCGGAGACATTAAGAGTGTGGTGATCTCCTGTTCCAAACAAGCTGAGTATAACGTGGACAGTGGGCGTCACTGTAAGGTCAGCTGGCAGTAGACATGTAGCTAACAACACGAGAGCTAATCAATGGTGTCTAAACCCTAGCCTTTCACTATGCTACTGCCAACCACCTACTTATCCTTGATCTGGATCTGGTCAAGAAAAGACTTCGCACCTCTTCTGAAGAACTTCGAGCACTGCGGTACGAAATGGTATCAATGGCTTGGTCGATACTGGCTCGGGCTCGATGTAGTCGTGTGCATGTCACTTATATGAAAGCTGCACCATGTTCGTGAAGAGATGGAAGATAGCAGTGAAAGGGTTCTAATCAGTAGATTTGTATAGCTATGACAGCTTGCCATTGGGGGGAATCACAAAGATAACAATATCTCTCTTAGCAAACAAGAAAGTCCTTCAAAGCTGGAAGTTGTTTCTATTTGCAAATAGCAAGAGTCGCTCTGGATTAGCTTGTAGGTTGACAATACCGTCATAATGCCGTGTCTTCTTACAGACAATTGACATTGCACGTCACTCAAGCACCACCCTCCCTCTTAGCATACTCGTCCTCCATCCTCTCCTCATACTGCCTCCCTTCTGTCTTGGCATCTTCCTCCTCTGTCACATCCTGTATCCGCTTCGCATCCGCCTGTCTAGGGTCCTCTAGCTGTCTGCCTGCAGCATCTGTTTCAAATCGCTCGACACGAGGCGCTTCACCTGGTGCCTGATGTGTGCGCTGAGTGCGGGTACCACTGGGGTCCGTGTAGGTTTGTTCGGATTTCGAGGTTGTTTGGCCGTTGATGGTTGTGCTGGACGAGGATGTGGAAAATGATTGGAAGGTTGAGCTGGACATGACGGCGGTTGTTGGGATGGTAAATGATCTGACTGTGGTAACACGGTTTTTTGTGACTTTATGTAGTACAAGTTGGTAAGTTTGAGAGTCAACGGTTCGAGGGTGTAGGTTGTTAAAGTCTGGCGCATGTCACGCGTTGTGATCTCATAGTATGACATCATAGGGTCCAGCGCTCCGCAGGAACCTCGAACGCAAAAGCATTCCAACGATCTCAGGAAGTAGAACGCTGAACAGCGGACAAAATACATGAACTTGGGAACTAGAATGCTGCTAACTCTGGAATGCATGAAACCTGGTGTTAGAGACAATGCGCGCCCCTGACTCTGCCATGTCATCAAGCGTCAGACTCACATTGAGTTCCTATTACTTCTCTATTGTCAAGCTTTAGAGTCTACTGGATCACCTGAGATTGTGCAATCAGATTAATAACACCGAATCTCATTGCAAATGTTGAAACGAGAGATGCGGATGTAAGTGCATTGCAGGCTCGAGCCGCGCGACGCTCTAAAACCCCAACGTCCAGTATAACATGGCCAACTAGTGATATTCACGCTCTCGCATCTGATCGATCTGCTCAACGTGAAGCACGTCGTGGAGACAACCTCAGCGGCCTATCAAGTGTGAATCGATTCTCCGATATCTATCGCATGAGGGTTGCCTGAGAGAGGAATTCTGCAAATGGTCGCTGAACCTAAGTGTTGCATATCGATGAACTTTGTTGAAGGGCAAGCTAGAATAGTTGCTGCAACCTCCGATATTGCTTTTCTACGCCTCGTGCAGGGTGTTTATCGACCACGAGCTCGAAATAGATCAGAAGCTTGGTGGGGGAACCATCGTTCTTGCTTCTTGATCGCCGGCTAGTCGCGCCATATCCCTGCCGCTGTGGCACGCTACGCCCCTGACAGCGGCGAGGAGCGGATCGCCAGGCAGGTGCCTTCGGTCATTCTACCACGAGCCAGCCCACCATGCTGCTGTCCGGCGTCTCGCTGCTTGCCGGCCTCTTTGCATCGGCCTGCGCTGCAGACATCCCCAAGGTGCTCGACTGCAGCCTCGACAGATACTGGGAAGCGCCCAAAGAGTGTGAGGCGCCTATCGCACCCGTTGCAGCAGTGGTACCCGGATCGTCCTACATTGCAAAGATAGAGTGCAAGGACTGCCCTTATACCGACAAAGACGACGAAGTTGTAAACCGTGATCATGTACTTGTATGTATAAGCAAGAGGCCTAACCGCAAATGTGTCTAAGGCCATGCTAACCACCGCGCGCTACAGCTCCTCAACGTAACCCTCACCCACGATAACCGGACAGTCCTCCTCAACAATCGCCCGCTACATCCCTTGCCTACAATACCCACACCCCCTGCCTTCGACGTCACGCGATACCGCTCCAACCTCTCACATACAGAACTGTACGCTGGCCTGAAGTCGGAAGACCCATATTGTCTGAAGAACGGGAATGGCGGATCTGGAGAATGGTGCCGCACAGTACCCTTGACGTCCTCCTGGCGCACGGCATTCGATTACCTATACATTGCGAACCCGAGCGATAGCCATGGAGGCGATGACACAGACGCTGAGTACTGGGACGTTGCGTTGGATGTGATTGGAAAATCACGATACTCTGAGGACAGCGGCCCACTTTGGAAGTTTGACAGTCCGGATCAGAAAATGCTATGGATGCTCATCAAGGGAACCCTACTGAAGAGAGGTGGCAAAGGAGGACCAACCAAGGTCGCAGACCCTTTCGGGCAGGCCATTACCGACGACAACATCTATGAGTATCAAATCGTTGACATGCGCTTAGTCGCCGGGGCCTACACCTTTCCCGCCAAGAAGCCCTTGACCATCTGGGGTAGGATAGGGCACTTCCTTGGAACCGACGTCTGGGACATAGAGGGTAGTCGCTTTCTCTATCGCAAAGAAGAATGGGGCTACTACGGCAAGAAAGGAACTCTTCGCGACATGTTCGGCGAGTTTGTCCACTGGAGGGACTGGCCTTTGTTCTGGATCATCTCCAGCAGTGTTGTTGGGGGCTTGCTTGCCCTATTCCTTTTCTGGAAGCTTTACTGGTGGATCGTCGCGCAGCGTGAGCTCATGAAGTGGGATGGCATGGAGGATGTCTGGGAGAACATGAGGAGGGAGAGGGTGGCTGAAGAAGAGGGCGCTCTTCTGGATGCACATGGCGCGTATAGAGACGACCCAGAGGAAGGCAGCTCCTCGAGGCCACCGGCGTATACGGAGGCGTTGAAGCCACTGCCAAGCAAACCGCTACCCGAGAAACCTTTACCAGAGGTTCCATTGATCGATGCTTGAGGGCTTGACGTTCGGTTGGCATTTCTTAGCTCCTTCCTACCGGATATCTTTCCGTCACACAATTTGCCATGTTCGTCTTTCACTCGCCTCTACCACCTCATTTGCTCAAAGGCTGCCGAGAAAGGTCGAATCAGCTGAACTATGAACAATCTGCCTCGCAGCATCCCACAAAGACGTTTCAGGAACTCTTGCTATGCGCACCATTGAAGTTTTTTGATTGACAATCATCAGCTAAACATCGAGCCTTGCAATATTACGCCCTGTCTGCAACTGGTGCAAACTGCTTATCCCCGCCAAACTCCGTATAACTCCGCTATACCAAGGGGCAGCTTATCACACATCTACTTTGGATTGAGGCAGTCGCCGACTAAACAAGCATTGAAGGTGTCAACAATCGCCATTATGGCTTCGAAAGTTGGAGGTTTGTGGCACGAGTCATGACCGATGCCGTCATCTGCCGAAGACACGCCTAAAACTGCGGACCAAAAGCGGATCCATGGATGCGACGATACAAAGAAAGAAGCTCAACGCCTGAACTCTCTACAGCTGACTCATTCGCGTCAAAGTCAATTGTATACAATTTTGCAAAGATTGAGCCATCATGGTCAAAATCGCGGTAGCAGGTGGCACTGGAAGTATGTTTCCCTCTTCTTTCCATTCATACCTACCCCACCTTGATATCAGTACCATATGAAAGCTGTCCTTAGCTCTAAATCAAACCCTCCTATCCTCTACTGATACATCTCATAGACGTCGCAACTAATTTCCTCAAAAATGCAATCGCGTCCGGCAATCACGACATCACCATCTTCACTCGCTCCGCCCCAACAAAACCTCACCCATCTTCTAAGGTCACCTACAAGCAAGTAGACTACACGGATCGCGATGCCCTCACTAGTGCTCTCGCGGGCTTCGATACCGTCCTATCTTTCTTCGTTGTCCACTTAGACGTAGACAACGTAGCCCAGAAGAACCTAATCCATGCATCAATTGCGGCAGGCGTCTCACGCTTTGCACCTAGCGAGTGGGGTATCGCAAACTACAGCGGCGTCCCAAGTTACGAGAACAAAGACTTCATCAGAAAGTATCTCGAAGACCTTGACAGCAAAGGTGAACTGGGATCCATGCAATACTGTCTCTTCCAGCCATCCATCTTCATGGACTACTTTGCGCACCCATACCCGCTCGAACGCGATCTGATCACCTGGCCCTTCTTCCTCGACTTCGAGAACCGACGTGCTATGGTGCTCGATGACGGAAACCAACCCCTTGTCATTACTGCTATTCAAGACGATGCTGAGATCCTCGCTCGTGCGCTCGATGACACGCGTCCGTGGCCCAAGGTCGGTGGTATCACAGGCTATCGCACTACCATCAACGAACTGCTCGCTCTGGGCAAGAAGATTAGGGGAGGAGACTGGAAGGTCGAATACGTGAAGAGTGAGGATATTGCCAAGGGAGAGTTGAAGACAAGCTGGCTGCCGCTAATTAGTCATCCCACGGTTGGAGATGATGTGAGAGAGGCGTTTAGCAAGCAGTTTGTCCTCATGTTCTTTGAGGCGATTAGCAGTGGTGGCTGGGTTGTTAGTGACGAGTTCAATCAGCGGTTCCCAGACTACAAGTTCATGGGCGCGGAGGAGTATCTGACCAAAGCTTGGGAGGGTAAGCCGTAGGTTGAGCATCTGCAAGAGTGGAGGTTGAGGAATGTTTTTGTATAAGAATATTTACAAGAAACGAAGCTCAAGTACATACAGCGCTTCAAGGTTCAACCACTTCAGTCATCTCATCTACAAGAAGTAGCTCTTGATCTTCGGCAAGATTCCCGTCCAAGCCACACCAGTGGTGGGCTCCATGTTGTAAATGTAATCACCCCACCATGGACCAGCAGCCCACCAGATACCTCCAAGCCAAACATCACTGTTAGCGCCCATGTACTTCAGTCCATCTTGCAACGCAGAAATACACTGCGCATTGTTGCCACCCGCAAACTCGCCGATAAGACCTTGCTTCTTGTTATCCTTGAGCCACTTTGTCGCCGCCTGAAGCCTCTCCTTGAAAATCGTAGCGCTGACGCAGTTGGCAGAGGTACCAGACCCATCGGTATCGAGGTACTGGTGCATTTGGTAAACAAGCTTGTTCTGCGGGTCCTTCAAGTTGACCAGACTAGCACCGTTGCCAGAGCTAATCCATGTCCATGCACCAGTCCAGCTGTTTCCCTCAGGGGTGATGTATTGTTTGGTTGCACCGGCGGCACGTACACCATCAATGGCAGCTTGGTTGAGATCGAAGACGAGCTGCTGGTCCATGTCATGATATTCGTTGTTTGTGTCGAAGACGACGAGTTCGTTGTCTTTGTATTCTGCGGCGACGTTTTTCCACCATGTCTTGAAGGCGGCTGTGTCGGTGATGATGTTGCCGAGAAAGCGACCGTAGTTGTGCGGTTGGATCATGGCGTAGGAGCCTTTTGAGGTGATGTGGTTTACTTGTTGGGTCAGGTTGCCTAGGTAGAGAGGATCAAACTCGGCCGTGAGGGAGTTGGGAGTTAGGCGCTCCATTACTTGATGTTGTTAGTCTCACATTTTGGAACGATTGTGATATTGGGTATCAAGATAGGACAGCTTACGGAAGTTCAAACGGAACATGTTCATCCCTTCTGCCATGAACTTGTCGATTGTGTTCAGATCGTACCATGTGTACTCCTTTCCGTAGACACCTGTGAAGTTCTTCTCACCAAACTCCGCACCAGACTCATTGATACCGAACCACTTCATCTTGCGCGCGGAGGTTTGGCGTTCCTCAGCTGGGGCCGCGAAAGCGGTGCTGGCCAAAGCGGCAGCCGCCAAAAGACTGTTGAAAAGCATGGTGTGGAGAGTTGGAGTATGCTTGTATGATTCTACAATTCACGTACTGAGCAAGCATCGTTCTTATACCGTATATAGTTTGCATTGCAATAACTAAACGCCCCACAGCTGGACGGGCCATCCCCTCCGTTCCTCCCACGGCAATGAGCGGGTCTTCATCTGATGCCAATATGAAAAGGCCGAATGTGGCATCATGGTTCTGAAGCCTGGGAGCCGTGGTGCGGGATAAATTGCTTAGGTATATTAAAGGAAGCTTGAATGACCAGGAACGTGGGTCATGCGCAGTGGCTTTTGCGGGGATGCAGGGGTCACCATTCGTGGGGAGACCGGAAACAAAGGAAATCCGTCGAGTTGAAACATCGCGCCAGCTGTTCAGATCTTAAACGTCGACAAGGAGATTTCAGTTGTGTGTATGAAACGTCGAATTGCGCATGATAGTCCGCCAATGAAGACGTCATGGGCGGCCGGCAACGGCCCTTGCATGCCGAGGAAGCTTCGTTGCATATTCGTCGCATATTAATTCTCCTTGGTCCTTACCATATTCGCGCTAGTTTCTCATCTCCTTATAGTCTACCTACATGTGAGGTGAGCACACAAGCTCCGTGTCGAGAAGGGCAACGCTCGAGCATGCTAAGCATCGCAGGGCAAACTCTTGATTGAACGTGATGCGAATTAACAAATTCGTTCACGGTAAGAGGTTTCCGATCATCTCACGGGAAGATCTGTGGAATGTGGTGCGAATCTCCATGTCACATGCTGCGGTCGTGGTGTTCAAAAGCTGTCAGCACGGGAATCTGGATACAAGCTTGAGGTAAATCGAACCCGGAACATCTATCGCGACGCTAGTACACACATAGGCATATTATGATTTGCAATATTGAAGACCCTATGGGTTGGTTTCCTGATGATGCATACATTGGATCCCGACATGGGAAGAGTTTTCTTCAAGGCTATGAACCGCGTAACTCAACGTAGACGCTGAGGCACAATAAAGTTCTGTACTTCCCTCAACGTCTAACGCTACGCCGACTAGCGCTAGGGAAGACATCCCTCGATGGCACCGCATGATTACCTCTAGCAGCACTGTTCGAAGCGTTGCGGCTACTCCTCACACCTGCTCGTTGCAGGTTCTCCCATTGAGGTTGCGTACGAGCGAATGGGCGGCTTGCAATGATCGAAGGCATAGCAGAGGGCACTTTACCGATGCGGGAATGTGAGAGACGATTCGCAGACGCTACATTGATCGCAGCTTGCGTATGTATAGGCGCTTGTATATTGTAAAATGTCCGATCATTAGAAAAGTCATAGGCGGTGTCGTTGGATTCCTGAAGCGTAATGGAGCCGCGCGAATCAAGACGGCATCTCTGATACTGCTGTGCTAAAGGCGTCGGTACTGATCCTACCAACTTGCGCCGGTGGTCCACTTCGATAGGCTCATTTCTAGAATCAACCGGTGAATCGAAGAATGAGAGTGCGTTGAGACTGCGAGGCTCAACCCAGCCGATCTTGTGATGGTTCGTCCTTGGCTTTTGTGACTGATAGCCGCCGGAACGATTTGAACTATCCTGAGGTTCAGCGCGGCTGGGTGACGAGATAATTTGGGCCTGGTCAAGACCGTTTCGGAAATAGGGACTTACTACACTCTCGATTTTGTGACCACGATGTTGTTGCCATCTAGGTGCCGGTGTGGCGGGACTAATATCCGAGACGTTGTGCACTCTGTTCGTAAATCCGTTAGTCTGGTGATGGCTAGGAAGATAACCGTGAACATCGGTAGAGGTGGAAGATCTGAATGGCGATTGGTGCATGAACGGATGTCCAAGATTCCAACGCTTTTCGTAATCAACACCTTGTGGATTGTCCTCGTTCGGAAAACCATGCAACACTTGCCTGTTCTCGCCATTCGCACGGTCAATTGTGTTCGGTTGCTTGCGAGGATCCTTCAAGCCTAACTCTACTCCACTGTCGCTTGACAACCCATCCATCAGTCGAATGTATGAACGCTCGGTAGGTAAATGGACAGGACGATCACTATTGCCTTGCTTGTCCAATTTGACCGGAGAAGAGGCCTGGAACGTAAAGTCTGATCGGTTGTCATAGAAGCCCATACTAGGAAGGAGTTGTGACTCTCGGGGATCAGAGACATGCAATGACTGTTCTACAGGAAGTGCTCCTGACATATAGGGCGTCTCGCTGCGGAAATCGTCGTGTCCAGGGCGTCGATCAGCTCCAGTGTCTCGCCAATATCCGTTGTCGTACATCTGAACGTCGTTATTGTCTTCGAAAACATCGCCCGGGATGTCATTCGAGCGATCAATCGAAGACTTTTTTCGGAAACCTGGAAGCATTTTGCGCATGGACTGCATCCTAGACATCGGCTTTGGTGGAGGTGGCATGGCATCACGACTTAAAGGAGGATCGACTTGCGTGTTGTTGGGAAGGGGCGAATCGAGGCGTTGTCGCTTCATAGGCCGCTGGATAAATGAGCCTGAAGATGCTGTTCCCATTCTTCCTGTTGTATGCGCCGACCTGCCCACAGTATGGCTTGACGCTGTCGTTCGCAGCTTGGCACCGGGGTGCCCGATGTCTTGAGGCAGAGCCTCGTCGCTATCAAATGCGTGAGGATCGATTCCTTCAAAGTTGGGTATAGGTTCTAGTGCCATTGCAAAGCCGAGTTGGCGAAGACGCTCCTGCATCCTTCCGTTTTGACTAGACCAGTTAGCGATCTTCTCTTATGCACGGCATGATCAGCCTACTCGACTAGCATAGGAACAAGCTTCAAGTAGTGGCGGATTGCTGACTTGTTGGCCAGAAAGGTCTCGAGGTCTTTTGGATTAACATCACGGAGATGCGCGATTTCTTGGTCAAGGCCTTGTAGTCGTCGGACTTCAGCTTTCATGGCTCCGAACTGATCCTTCTGCAACCGTAGTCGCTCGTTCTCCTGTTGGAGACTGAGGACTTTTTCGCGCTCCTTCGAAAAGAGTTCCTGCGCATTAGCCAGTTTCTGCTCCGTTTCTGTATAGGCCTGCTGGAGGGGCTTGCGGGTAGCATGTGCGTTCTGGCAGTACCGTATAAGCGCGATATATTGAAACTAGTCATTCTTAGCTAGAAGCAGAGACTATACAGGCAGGGCGATATACGCGCAGTGCTTCCATTTCTTTGCCGCTACCATCGAGCCGGATGGGAGGCGCAGTAAACCATGCAGGCGGGATCTGAGAATCGTACTCGTCCTTATTGAAGCCGCGGATCGAGAAGAGATCCTGAGGCTCGCTCTCGCCTTTCTCCTTGACACAAACGGGGCATTTTGCTTTAGGTCGCTGTCCAGCAGCATGGAAGGGTGGTCCTATCGTGAGCGTCAGCAGCTTCCTCATATTGCGTTGCGCGCGACTTGCCGCCACCCTCCAGGTGACTGCTGCAGAAGACATGGCAGCAACTGGCGAGATAGAGCCGTGTCACAAGGCGTTCTTTAGGGTTGATTCCATCTGACAGACCATGAACGGTCTCCTTGTGACCTTCGTATACATCGGCGAAGGAAGCGCAACATACGGAGCAGGCGTAGATGAAGTTGAGGGGAGCAGCACCCAGCTCCGATGATACCTTCTCAGAGATGGTGCTCATGGTTTTGGTTGCGATGATATGTGCAGCAGCAAAAGAAGTGGCGCGGGATGTGACAGCGAGGTGCAGTCAAGATGCAGGAGTGAGGGCGAGGAAGTCGCTGTCAACAACGCCAAGACAAACAAATCAGATCGTGCTTGCGGTTCTGGGCGAAGTGAAAGACTCAAGAGAGCGGTAAAGTGCACGTGTCGAACGAACTGACAAGGCGTACGAATGACAAGAGAGAGAGAGAGAGAGAGAGAGAGAGAGAGAGAGAAGAATCAGGCATTCACACGCATTTGTGATGGAAACCAAAACAAACATCACAGGTGACTACATAAGCCATACGCAGGTGAAGTCTTCATATGTACAGAAATTGGACTGTCTTTTACTACCTACACAGTTCCTCTGGTAATCTAAGCGAACGTCCGGCATGGGTATCTGTTCTAAGTTAGCACTACTCATGGACAGCCCATTTCCGAGAAACTTACGCTGTGCCGTACGACTGCTCGCTCTCCAGCTCATATCGCTTCTGTCCAGCAACACCGTGGACGTGCAGCCCACTCGGTAGTGGAGGCATGCCACCAGGACCTAGTACATCCTTTGCGAGTCCAGTGTTCTTCTCAAATGCAATGGCCAATCCCTTGGCGCCTTCTTCTTGCGCAGCTACCAGCGACTTTGTGCCTGCCTCGCCAATCAGCTCCTGCTTGGGTGCTGCCGCGCTTCCAACTTCCAGCAGCGCAACTGCGTCAGACTGCGTGACAGTCGAGAGCCTGGGGTATCGTCGTCGCACGTCGCGCTTCCAGTATGGGTTCTCGGCGATGTCGGCAGCAGGAACAGTAACAGGGTCGTCGTACGCGTTGGGGTCGAGACCGCCTGGGGGTGGGTTGCGGAATTGCGGGTTCATGGGGATACCCGTGGACCGCTTGGGGTCGAGCGCGAAGAGCCTGTTGATGGCGGCATAGATTCCAGTGGGCTGAACGGTGTATTTCTGTATACATACGATTAGTACTTCCTCCCGAAGCGGTGGATGGCGGGAGAGGGGCGGCAGGGCAAAGGCACGTCGAGATCGGGTCATGGGCGCCGTACCGAAAAGACCGTAGTCTTCACATTCTTGGCCACCGACATCTCGAGAGCGCGTCCTTCCAGGCAGGCTGCAAGGGTCGAAATAGGTCAATGGGCAGGTGTCGTGCTGTTGCGCGTTTGGACAAACTATAGTGACGCTTGGTGATGTTCGTGAAGCTCGATGTCTGCCAAGACGGCGCTATCCGCTTTGATACTCGTGCCTTCTCATTCGTCGACCATTCACCACTCGAAAGTCGTCTATGCAGCACCACAGTATGCTCAAACTCTTGCGCTACAACTCTCGAACATGAGCAGCTTTTCATTCATCTCTTGTGACGTGCCCATATGTTGGCGCATGTGGATTCCTCGTTCAGCTTACCACACGATCAAAATGCGTCGTAACCATGAGAATAGACCAAATCTCACAGCGCTTGACGTTGACAGGATGTACCAAATCCTCCGATACATGACGTTTACGATGGCCAGTTTGCACCCGTAAGAATCTAGTTTTCTCGAACAATGGTTCAAAGATTCCTCCTTAGCCTTCCAATCCTTGATTCGGAATTCGCTAGATTGGTGGTACGAAGACCTTCCGCTTCATATCTTCTCTGACCGCCTGGCTAGGTATGGTTTTGAATACGTATCTATGCGCAAATTTCAACTTCGTATGCATGGTTGGGAGCGATGTCGCATCCCTGGAAAATCATGACAGTTTCTGGGCAAAGACTACCGGCTCCTGGACTACATTCACCTCCCCAGCATACTACGTCAAAAAGTCGTGGTTCCTTCTGTAGTTTACATCGGCAATCTTCCTTACCATTTGCGCTGCGGCCAACATTCTTCTGCGTTGCTTGATGCACATACCAGATTTCTTAGGCAACATCAGGGTGCTGACTAGAGACTCGCCGTACATCGGTGTACAAACACCTGCGAGCAGTATCGATGGCGCTGAACGTTCGAGGCTCTTGAGAGACAAATGGGTCAAGATCCAAGATATAAGGCCTGAAGGTGCAGCGGGGAGGATCGCCTTCAGTGATACGACAAACACAGCGCCGTTGCGAAAGAATCGGTTGTACTTGTAATGAGCATGATCTTAGCATATCTAGGTGACATGTTTAATGCTTGATTCCGCAACTCATCCGCTCTTTGTAAACCTTGCACGTGCATGTACATCTATAGCTACGCCTAATGCGAAATGAGTCTTGACCACACACTCTAGCTCGATCTCTATACCTCCCATGCTTACGCGCAGGATATCCGCGCCCTTCCTGGCCGCGAAAAGTAGGGACAGCACCAGTATCCGCGTTAGCGTCCTCGCTTGCTGAGGTATCCGTCCCACGTGATTGGAGTGGTGTAATTTGCACGACTATCCGACGTTAGCCGTGACACACCGGAACGTATACCCAAGACACCCGCTCGCCGATTATGCGATGAAAAGGGCACGAGACTACTCCACAATGCTGATGCACTTTGTCATCGCGATGGATTGGGAACAAGGAGGGTATTGGGGGAGCTGCGGATGGTGGTGGAAGGCAAATGAGTACTTAGGGAGCTTATCTGCACAACTTTGTAGCGGATAGTCAAGCGTTGTACACAAGTTGTCCATCAAGGGAATATTTGTGGCAATGAGCTTTGGTGCAAATCAATAACATCGCATACTCAGCTTGCTCAAAGTCATCGCCAATATGGCGATTTTATCCCTGCTGGCTTCCATCTTTGGAGTGCTGCTTCTCTACGTACGTTGCTCCGCGTATCCGCTTCACCCTCAACTAACATTACATCCAGATATTCGGGGTCATCGTCTACCGCCTGACCTTCCATCCCCTCGCCTCCTACCCAGGACCCTTCCTTGCAAAGATCACCGACATTTATCTAGCATACTATGCCTACAAAGGTTCCCGGCACCTTGCTTTCCACCGCGCACACGAGCAATACGGACCTTACGTGCGCCTTGGACCTAATCTGCTTTCCGTCAACACCGCCACTGGTCTCAAGACTATCTATGGATTCCGATCAAATGTCAAGAAGGCATCTTTCTACCATGCATTTCCCAGCACACCAAAGGCCGTTAGCGTACATAGCGCAGTCGACAAAATGCAGCATGCGCGCAAGAGGCGAGTCATGAGCCATGCATTCAGTGACTCCGCGATCAAGAGCTTAGAGAAATACATCCTGGCCAACGTACGTGTCGGCTGCGAACTGCTTGGACGCAAGAGCAACAACTGGTCCGCTGAGAAGGGCTTAGCCGACGAGAAAGATGGTGGCTGGAACGACGCGTGGAATGCTGCACATTGGTGCGAGTGGTTGGTTTTCGACATCATGGGTGATTTGGTATTTGGCAAAGCTTTCGGCATGTTGGAAAGCCCTGTCAATCGATTTGCGACACAGCTGGTTGGTAACGCGGCACACAGGCATCTCATCTGTGGAACGCACCTTACCATCCACAACTGGCATTTGGACAAGCTCTTCTTCCGTAAAATTGCAGGCCAACGAGCGCAGTACATGCAGTACAGCAAGGGCCAAGCCATGGAGCGCACGAAGTTGGGCGTAGATGTCGACCGTAAAGATTTCTTCTACTACCTTCTTAACGCGAAGGATCCGGAAACCGGCAAGGGCTTCAGCATGGATGAGCTTTGGGGCGAGTCAAATCTGCTGATCATCGCGGGTTCCGATACGACCTCGACAGCAATGTCTGGTGCCTTCTTCTACCTGGCACACAACCCTTCAGCGATGCAAAAGGTCTGCAAAGAAATTCGGGAAGCTTTTGCTGATGTTGAAGAGATCGTGACTGGACCCAAGCTCAGCGGCTGCTCATTTCTGCGCGCCTGCATTGACGAGACCATGCGTATGACACCCCCTGTCGCTGGTGCTCTCCCACGAGAAGTGCTCTCGGGTGGTATGGACATTGATGGTCATCATATCCCCGCCGGCGTCGACGTGGGCGTTCCTATCTACACGATCCATCACAACGCCGATTACTTCCCTCAACCTTTCGATTTCATCCCAGAGCGGTGGCTTTCTGATCCTTCCGCAAACCCGCTTCACAGCAGCCTTCAGGCAGCGCAGTCAGCATACAACCCCTTCAGCATCGGTCCCCGTGGATGCATTGGCAAGGGTCTAGCGTATGTTGAGCTGACGGTGACTATCGCAAGAGTGCTTTTCTTGTATGATTTGAGGCTAGCACCGGGCACAACGTTGGGTGCTGGAAGCAAAGATTTGGAAGTCGGAAGGACCAGGGCATCTGAATATCAGATCATGGACGTATTCGCAAGCAAGAAGGACGGACCAATCCTACAGTTTAGGGCTAGAGCATAGTTTCATAGCAATAGCACTTGGTCGCAGTACTCACTGACATTGGTATTGGAGATAAGAGCACTTGTTGAGCTAGGTATAACTTGATATTCGGCGTAGGAGCCTGCACTTAACGCCAATGTTGTTGTTCACTAACATTGCTCCAGAAGCTTAAGCATATTTCTCAGTTTTTGGACATTATGGGTGCTTGCTCGTACCTGGAGAGTGGAATATCTTTTCGAAATGGTATACCTCCGGTCCAAATCAACCCTCTGGACGTACCCGCTCGAGCTCCTCGAGATACCCGTCTCGATCCAGACAATCGGGCCAGCCATGCTTCCGTAACGTTTGACTCACAACCTGATTTGTAAACATCAGTAGAGCATTATCAATCTCAATAAGACAAAACATACACTTCCGATCTCCCACGTGTACGGCTGTACTGTCCTGTTCCACGAGTTGTTCCCCTTCGGACAAGGAACCATTGTCAATCCTTCAATTTCCTTGTAGATTTCGTCAAAATATTCTCGAATGTCATGTGGAACAGAACCCAAAAGCCAAGGCTCATCCTTTGGTGGCTCTACATAACCTGTACCCACTGCATGTAAGATGCCTGGCATGAATGTTAGTCCTCTGGTGGTCTACGTGTATAGGTCATATTGCCAAACCTTTCGTAGTATCCATTATCCACCATGTTGCATATATGTCTTGCGTCAAGGCAATGAAACCAGCTGGCCAGTCTTCAGGACTCGGCATCAACAGTTTGTCAAATAGCTGTTTCCCTTGGCATTTTTCAACAGTCAAGGATTTGAACGGCCAGGTATCGCGTAGATAGCTAAGATGTCGGGTTTGGAAGTATACTTCGTCTTTGCTGTCACCGTCGAGCTGTTTGATGTAAGGTAGATGCCGGAGGAGATCGATTACTTCCTCTGAGCGGCCGAAAGCACGCATGATGTCAACAGCAAGCTGCTCATCGCCCCAGCCTTCGTCTGGAGGGTAATGGATCTCTGCGGAATCAAAGTAGGCTAATCTCACTAAGAGCTCGTAATGTCGCTTGAAACAACAAACTACCACATCCCGATCGTAGGCCATTGCTGATGTTTCGGGCCGTGAGGATTGTGATAGACCGTGAGAAAGAAAGTCAAAGCCATAGAATGATACAAGTTTTCCCAATGTACAAGCCAATGGCCGTTGCTACACAAATCAGGCCTTGTTAGGAAGATCTAGAGACAATTCTACGCACTCGTGGACAGTGGTGTTCCTGGGCTAGTGGCCCGTTGCTGTCTTATCGATAAGAATGGAACACGCCAAGGATCTTTTTCTGTTTAGTGCGATCGTTACGAGCGGCGACCTCGAATCAACACTACTTGCTGTCATCAACTCCGAATATACAAACTGTCAGACTAGGATTTTTTGTGTTGCACGATGGCTGTACCAAGGTTACTATCGCGCGGGCGCTGTTCCTTTCCCCTGGCGACACCGTCAATACGCGTCGCTCCATCACTTATCCCATCGATCAGAACATCAATTTCAAAGCGAGGTTTCACTGCCAATCAACGCAGCCGGGAAGACATTGTTCAGACTCCATCGAGAGGGCCAGAGGTCGCACTTACTGATGCACGCGCCCCGTCAACGTCCGCGGGCTCTTCATCAGAAGCTGTCATGATGACAGTGCCAAAACGATGGGCAAAAACGGACATTGAACAGATACTACGTTCTAAGGGATGCACCATGTATGTGTCACGCAGCATCTACGCTATACATCTCGTCGTATGAATTTTGAGCTAACGGCCAATTAGCAAGAGATTACTGATGCGTGTTGATCGCTTCACTTTTATGAACGCTATCACATGTTTCGTCGAGCTTGGTAGTGAAGCAGAAGCTACCAAGGCCATTAAGGAGCTTAACGGCTTCGAGGCACAGGGCAAATCACTGGTTGTTAAGCCCTTGAACGCTGACTTCAGCTGGGAGAAAAGTGAGCAGCGGAAAGGCGGGCCTTTTGGCTCTCGCTACTTCATTGACGAAGGCACCGCTGCATATGATGCTATGCGTCCGTTACTTGAACGTCGCCGCATTGTACTTTCGGTCGAGACACCCGGATGGTCCACAAACAAACGCTTTGCCGTGGCGGTACAGAACGCAGAGACAATCATTGAGCGACAATTCGGCAAATACGGTATCGAGTCGGTCAGCGGAATGTCGAGGTTCGACAGAGGAAAGACACATGAGCCGAGTTTTCTATGCCTCATCGATTTCAGCACCAAAGAGGGCGCGGAAAAAGCAGTCAACAATCACCACGACACGCAAATCGAGGGCCGCTTAACATGGCTGAGACCTGCCCAACCTTCTGCGTGGAGGATTCATCAAATCCAGAAGGTAGTGGGGCCAGAGGCGTTGAAAGCACTACAGGAAAGCGGTGTGGTGCCCGAGGACCAAGAGGTTTACGAGGACAAGTTTGTCAACCCACGGCCGAAGAGACGGGAGAGACAATAGCAAGACATATCTAGCACAGAAAAGAGATTCGCTACATGCGTGCAAATAGTCTTGTGAAAAGACCAGCGTTCATCACACATTCGAGAAATGGTTATAGAACAGCTATGGTTTTGCTCAACCTGCAAGAGGCTTTGTCAAGACCATGTACTGCTACTGCCGACATGTTTTGTATGGAAGCACCTGTTATAAAATCCGTACATTAGCCAAGAATTTGACGCTACATTATGAGGTTTGTCCGGCTGGTCGATAAACAGGTAGGTAGTACATACTACAAAGCTCATGATGGCTAGCAAATTCTCTATATACATCGCGAATGTCCTAGCTTATGCACCAGAGACGCTCTGATGTCCTGGTACACCTGGTTGTTATCACATGCATCACGCCGGTGACATTCGAGTAGTACACGGAGGACTAGGAAGTCCATTGTGTTCGTCAAGGACTACCAAAAGACGTCTGTCTTTTTACTACCACTTAATGCTTTCTAGCTCTTTGGAGTCGCTCTCTTCCCATGGATATAGTTGCTCCGAAGCCTTAATCAACTGCTCGTGTGCATCCGATCGCGGCTTGATTGAACAGCAGAACGGCACCGGATGACTGATCGTACCCGGTTCGAACTTGATCTCTGGCTCCACGATTCGACCGTTCTCGTCAACAGACTTTGTGACATTGAAAACAGCGAGAGTTTGCGCGATAGTGATGAAGAGGGCGTTATCAGCAACATATCGACCCGGGCATATACGTCGGCCGTAACCGAAGATGAAGTTTCTTGGATCAGGCTCACTTTTGTGGGTTGGTGTTTCGAGAAAGCGTTCCGGTCTGAAGACCATTGGGTCGGGGTAGACTTCAGGGTCATGGGTGAAAAGCCAGTTGTTAGCCAGAAGAATGGAACCCTTCGGAATGCGGTATCCGCGGCAAGTGTCCTCTTCCGTGCTGCAATGCGGAAGACACATAGGTAAGACAAGGTGCCAGCGATGCGTCTCTTTCATCAAAGCGTAGATGTAAGGAAGGCTCTCCCGGTCTTTACTGCCGGGAAGTCGGTCTCCGCCAATGACGCGATCTAACTCTCCTTGGGCCTTCTTCTGAACGTCCGGAAAGATGCTCATGGCAAGGAAAAATGTCATTATTGCAGAAACGGTCTGGCAAAAAATGAGTAAAGTTAATTCAGCAAGTTCGCTCGTATGCGACACTTACGGTGTCAGCGCCGCCTGTGTAGAGCGTCAGTGCCGTCCATTTATGGATGAACTCCATCTCGGCATCCAAGGATGTGCCTTCAATTGCTTGTGATAAGAATGATGGCGAGTGTCTCTTCTCGCTCATTTGCTTCTTGACGAATTCGTAAGGCTGGTTAGTACACTGTCGGAGCTGCGTCGCCATATTTCTGGCCGTGCGCTTAAACTCCATTCCTGGTAGCCACTCTGGTAGGTATCGCACTTTTCAGGGTCAGAAATGGTTCCACCGCCGAGGGGTGATACTCACGGAACGGGAACATATCCACAGACCATCTTCCGGGAACTGTAGCATCAGCGAACTGCTCCATGGTCTTGCCAGCTAGATCGACGAAGGGGTCATTGCCTTTCGGTATGGTAGTATAGCCGTACGTGATCTTTAGGATTACACTGCCAGCCTCTTTTTTTATATGGTCGAAAAGCTTGTCGGGTGAATCAAGAAGGTTGAGCAAGAAACGCGCGGCTTCCATCTCTTGAACGCGATCAACTACTGATACCGACGTGTTTGTGCTCACTATCTTCGTAATGTTCTTACGCTGAAGTTTCCATTCCGCGTCGTTCGGAGCCATAGCGGTCGCATGTCGCCAACCAACCCTGATCGCTCGATCAGCAAACGCTGAGTCATTTACCTAGACACCCTAATACGGGCTTATCACTTACATCTCACAACTGAATGTCTGCATTGGTCTTGAAGAGTAGATTGCTGAACGGTCGCGCAGCAGCTCGACCGCAATTTCGGCGTCGTTGATGATGATGAACGTTTGTCCTAGCACGGTGATGGAACTAATAGGGCCATATGTCTTCTTGAGCTGCGACCAATGATGACACTGAAGCATACCGGGCTTAGGCATATCGTTTATATTCCCGATGAATGGAAGGCCTTTCGGTCCTGGGGGCAGGGGTCGTGCATCTCTTGTTCTTGAGTACAAACGGAACGCATACAGTATGCTGAACATGACCAAAGTCACCAAAATACTTGGGAAAGACATGAGTGCCATGATGGCAAATATGGGGTTTGGAAGATGGTTTGGCTGTTGGGTAATTTGCGAGCTCTTACGCGGGGTTTAAATGGAAGATCAAGTGTGCCAGGATCGGTCGCCTCGATGCAAGGTGGCATGTCGCTTAGCCTACCCACGTTATCTTATGCGGGATGCAGATGCATGGTCTTCGGTTTGTTGTATGGATACTCCCGAAATGGAGCCATTCACCGAACAGACTGCGAGGGCTGTCCAGTAGGATATGGAATGTTCGCATCGTTGATCCTGCTCTCAGAGCCCGACAAGGCCGACATACAATTTACAACAACCTTAATTACTAAAGCCGAAGGCAGCTTACATTCCAGAGTCATAAAGTGCTTAAAGGAGAATCGCGCAAGTGCCGGATTCAACATTGGTCGAATGACATTCTGAGAAGCTGGTGGTGAAAGGGTCACATCACAACGACGTGCAACCGGTAATGCCAGTTCAAAACTTTTCTGCGTGATTGTCACTGTACCTCGCGTCCCTAGCTGTTGTGGTAGTGTTGATGCATACGGCTGGTGGCAGTCCTTACAACTGGAGGTTCTGCGCTCTATGGGTCGTCATGTGGAGCTAGCCTTTTCTAGTAAATCAACGGCGTTTAAGCAAAGCACCTCATATTTCAACTATATTCTGCTCTCTACAGCTTGATACTCCCCTTGGTCAAACAACGCCGAGTGTATTGCTGCAGTGGCCAATACACCATGGAACATGATCTCGGTCCGACCTGTCTTTCGACCGGAGAGAGCGAATAGACGTAAGGCCGCAGTTTGTCTCGCTTCTTCTCTGGGTACTGCACTGTATTCCGTTCGAGAGACAATTGATCGACATGACGTTAGTACGCAGATGAATCAACTGGCCTTGCCTCTTCTCCGGCTCCCAGCGACTTGTGCAACAGCACATACGAATACGTCTGTCTTATTACCATAGTCGAGTTGGCCTAAGCCGCGAATCAGGGTACAGTAGTCTTCGATTGCAAGCCTTCTGCCCTCCTCGTCACACACAGATAAGTGCGTCCTGGAGGGACTCCTCTCTTCTACTACCTGTCCACGTTCAATCTCTGAGTTGTGGGAAGGCTTCAACATCTTGAAAACATGTTTTCCACGCAACAACACCGAATGGAGAACTCGATTGCATCCAGGTCTCTCTGTCTACTCTTCCTGTTCCCGAGCGTGCTCCCAAATGCCACCAAGCATGTAGACCTATTGCATCTTATGACCGGGTCTCGACGTAGTTACTGGGCGGCTGGTCTGCATCACGAGGAACCTTGCATGACGTAGATAGAGTGGAAGATTGAGACCGTACCAAAGAGGCTGATCATCGTGCAAGGTAGCTGCGAGCGAATGCGGGGGGCGTTCGGCCGAAGCGGTTAGCCTCGGTATCGGATAACATTGATCGCCGACCCCGAACGCGTGATTAGGCACACCAAGACTTGAGCAGCTCTTACTCAACGCAGCTGTTTTGACTTGTCGCAGAATCACTGTTCAACATGAGCGCAGATGGTCAGACGCCGAGAGTTGTGCCTCCCAGCCGGCGAAGAGACAAGCCTATCTTGAGCTGCACCCTTTGTCGTCGACGAAAGTGAGCGGCTTCGAAACTTGGCCTACCTGCCCTAAGGAACCACATGCTAATACACTGGAGGTTGAAATGTGACCGGCAAGAACCGTGCAAGACATGCGTCAATCGTGGACTCTCATTGTCGTGCACATATGTTCGTAGCACCCCAGCGCCAAGAGAACCCAAAGTCCCTACCAGCGTTCATGACAGGATTGATCAACTCGAGAAGCTTGTCACAAACCTCATCGGCGGCAACGCAGTTGATCTTGTTAATCCCGTACTTTCTAGCCCAGCACAGGAGCAGCATCATGACGAACATGCCAACCATGAACTTCCTGGAACTCCGGATCGCGTAAGGATCAGCGGCGACACTACAAGTTACACTAACGGGGGGCATTGGACAAGCATTCTTGATAGTGTAGGTGGTTTTTGGACAGTGACTCTTAAGTCTCTAACGCCATCACAGATCTCAGAGTTGCGCGAACATCTTGATCAGATCCCCACGTCAATCACTCCCAGAGATGAAGTACTGGATGATGTACCGGGACCAGAGCTGCTGTTTGGATGTCATCCGCATGCGACCAAAGAAGAACTACTCGCCGCTCTCCCTCCGCGATCAGAAGCAGATCGCCTCGTGAATACGTTCTTCGTGTCATTGGAAACACATCCAAGTAAGCTCGTTACTCCGCTGATAAGCCACCGACTGACGTCTCTAGCCCTGATACACAAACCAACCTTTCTTAAAAGGGTGAGACAAACGATGACTTATTTTCAGGGAATACTAACAAGAGCACAGTACAACGAGCTCTGGATACGGCCACTCGAAGCTCCCACCATGTGGCTGGGCCTGCTATATTCCGCGTTCACGCTCGGCTTTCGGTTCCAAGCCGCAATGGACGCTTCTCAACCCAGTAGTTCTGATCTAGCTGCCGATTCGGTGCGTATGAGCTTTTACCGCGAAAAGGCTGTACAATGTAGGTGGTAAACCATGTGAGCTACAAGTAGACGTGACTGACACGTCAATCTTCAGGCATGATTCTCGCAAACTATGCCAAGACCCCGCCATATACAATCGAGGCATTTCTGCTTTATTTTGGTACAGAGTTCTATCGCTCAGCAGACAGCCAGTTCAGCATATACATGCTTGTAGGTTTGATCGTACGCCTTTGTTTCCGCATGGGATACCACAGAGATCCATCAAGATTCCCGAACATATCACCTTTTAGAGGCGAGCTGCGACGTCGCAAGTGGCTTGTAATCATGTCACTTGACCTCATCACTTCTGCTCAAGCCGGATTACCAAGAATGATCATGCCATTCATGTATGACACTCAAGAGCCTCGCAACCTGGACGAAGACGATCTCTATGAAGATATGCTAGAACTGCCACCGTCAAGGCCAGAAACTGAGCTGACGCAGCTGCTCTATTCCATCATTCTCACAAGGTTGCGGCGTCTTCAGGCACGGATCTTAGACCTAGTCAACACTACGTCTCAGCCGCCATACCGAGAGATCGACGATATCGATATTGCTTTAAGACGAGTCTTCGATGGGGTACCGCAGTCCTCCATAGCCAACACCGTCGAGGATTTTGGTAGCGCCCTATCACCAACCTCTATGCGCCACTTGTACTTGGAGCTGGCGTTCTTGAAAGCCGAGCTTATGTTGCACAGACCTTACCTTGTACTCGGACGAACAGATGCCAGGTACGCATACTCTCGAAGAGTGTGTTTGAATGCCTCCATAGAAATGCTTCACTTCCAGAACAAGATCGATGCCGAGGTTCAACCAGGAGGCAAACTGTGTACTCCAGGGTGGCGTCTTTCTACCGTGGGCTGGTACATGTCTTCAGTCGTTGCACAAGACTTCCTTCTCGCGACTACTGTCTTAGTCCTCGAACTAGACGCAGACCCTATCACTCCTGTTCTACAGGCTTCTGATTCCACGCAGAGCGAGAAGAGACTAGGTCATGAGCCTCCTACACGCGATGTAATTGTAGCGTCGTTACGGTCAGCGTACCGCATCTGGTCTAGAGCCAGCAAGAGGTCTCAAGAGGCGCGTAAGGTAGCCACAGCCGTAAAACTTGTCCTCTCTAGAGCGTACAATACGAAGGTACATATTGCGGAGTCTGCACAAAGTAAGCCTATCTGCTCCGCTCGCGTTTGCGTTCGCGTAAACTGATTTTATCAAATAGCTACTGTTCCTCATGCACAGATCAACATTACTTCCCCATCACCATCTTTCGACTTCAACAACCCTGGATCTGCTGTTGCTGCGCCAGATCCTTTTGGGATGGGTAATGGTGCTTTCGGACATCCGTTCGACTTTGGCTATATGCCCATGGATTTAGACCAGCCTAATTTACCTTTTGACTGGGCAAGTTCATCCGGCGTTTCTGGAACTTCAGAACTGACTTACTATCAGAATGATGTGTTTTCTGACATTCAGACGCAGCCTTACGGGGAATATCCACCGCGTTCCATGTTTTAGTAGCAGGATAGCTGGCCATGGTCCATATCAGGTCTTCGTCTACAGTGGACGGCCGGAAAATTTTGACAAGTGCCAATGGGCAAGTCCGAATTGCTCACTAAAATGCTGAGAAGCTGCGATCGTCGGTATAGTGTTTCAGTTGCACTAGTGAAGCGCTTCTTGTTTCTGCGCAAACCGCGACCTCGTATGTGCAAAAGTTCTGACCGCTCCTAAATCGGCTCAACACCCACAACGAACAAGTTCAAGTTTTCCAGATGTTGACGAACCAATCCGAACCCAATGCACTTGAAGCCGGTTAATATCCTCGGACGCTCACCAATGCGACGCTTGGGCCATGTCTCGCAGCGACGAAACAGGAACGTCGATCGCCAAATCCGCACATCAATCTCGATCCGGCAACTAAAATGATGTTTGAAACCACCGATTTGTCCACACACGAGGCTGCAAGTGCCGTATCCGCGACAGAATATAGCAGGTCCGTCATGCAACACTATAATCATGCAACAAGCCTACCACGTGCATCCATGCAGGTCAAACATCGAGATTGGGTTGCGCGATAGCGGAAGCAGTTGCGTCATACTGCGCACATGTCCAGGCGATCTACTTATCTTTCCTCTGACTCGCCTATATGTCTCCTATTATGGACAGCATACACCTATTCTTATGTATTGACAACCGTCAATACTGTCGGTCTTACTCCTAGCGCCTGTCCGCCACACTACCTCTAGACGGAAAGAATGGATCACATAGAAGGGACCTTTTACTTGGAGAAAGAAATTGCAATCGAGCCTGATCTTGGAGATTTGCGAAAGTCCACCGACAAGGCTCTACCTGCGCCTCCCAAGACGCCGAAGAGGGTGTTGATGAAGTATCGCTTCTCTGCCTTCTTCCCAATCGCATTTGCTGTTGCGAGCTTCGTGCTTACGCTGGTGCTGTTGCTCGCAGGAAGCGACGAGCACACTTTCGGTGGGCAGTACATGGTGACTGTAGGTATTCAGCTAAACATTGAGGAGGTCAAGTGCTTACGGAAAGCAGCTGAACAGCTCTGCGGTTACCCAAGAAGGCAGACAGCCAGATGCACAATCAACGCGATCGGAAGGTGTAATTGAAGAAGCGCTCGCAGACGTCTACTATCTTTATCTAAGGACAGTGTGCTCTGGGTCCATTTCGAAGTCTCCGGACGACGCTTCCGACGTCGTCATTGTAGAACGATGTGAAAGCTACAGCACAGCCAGCAATCGCAAGTGAACCAAATCTGTAATGCGGTCGTGCCTCAACTGACCGGACGTTCGTAGGCCTATTGACACTGACAACGCCTGCTGTTGGGTCTAGAGACTCATTATCCCCAACAGTCCTAGTTTCTACGCTCCTCAATACCATGGTCACCATACTGGCCGGCGTGCGACAAGCGATATTTGCTTCCTTACTCATCTCGCTCGTCGGTGCTGGGTTCTCCGCCGTCTCTGCTATTCCTGCCATCTTCTTCCCACACTCGAGACTCCTCGCCTACTTCAACATGTTCTGGCCGGTCCTTGCGAGCGCATTCGCCTTTGTCGCCGCCATCTTGCTGACGGTAGTTATTTCTGGCGTCTTTCCAGTGGCTGGCGAGATTGTCGACGTCGCTGGCATGGACGTCGGTCAAGGCACATCCGTGCTTTTGATCGTGTGGCTAGCATGGGTTCTCGTATCTTTATCGGTTGTTTACTGGGGTATTGTTTGGTTTGTGGAGGTTAGGCAGTCAAGCTTCACAAGGAGGAAGAGGAGCGATGACGAAGTGGGGAACTGGAAAGGCATCGGGAGGGAGATTAAGAGTGACGTGAAAGGTAGCAAAATATCATAATCCTTTACTAGTATATTGTATGTGATACTGAAATAGAATGGCACTGTAATTGGCCTACTTTATAACGCGTGTTTTTGAGTGGGACTGGTTGACTAGAGAAAAACTGCCCTAATCTGTAGATGGTGAGGTCGCGAAGAATAAGTACTGGAGTAGCTTGATATGCGAAATAGTTATCATAGTGTCCGGCATGTAGAATTGAAGTGAGTAAAAACGCGTCAACGGAAGCGTTCTAGAAGACGGGCCCAACGTTCCTGCGCTAGCGGGGTGGCGAGCGGAACGTGGTTATCAGCCAACCATGGGGCGAGGTGGCCCTACCGCCTCCGACTAGCGCCGAGCTCAGGGTCAAGTACTCCACAAACTCTCAGAGCTCAACCCCTCCGCTCTTTCCACCCACACACTTTCTGCAATTGTTTCCCACGACTGCCCAATATGCGGTCTTCAGTCTCTACAGCGACGGTGCCGTCCAAGGAGCCTGTGCCCCGAGGTTTCACGGTCAAGGCAGAGAAGCAGGAAGAGCCAATGGTCGAGAATGAACACGACCACTTTTTCTGGACATACACCGAGGAGCCGCACAGGACACGGCGCATGGCTATCATTAAGGCACACCCAGAGGTACCATCGATGCCAAATTAATTCAGTCAATCACATGCTCATTCAACGCAGGTGACGAAGCTCTGTGGCCCTGAGCCTCTTACCAAATACGTGGTCCTGCTCGTCGTATCCATCCAAGTCCTATGTGCATACGCTCTGCGCAATACACCCGTTATATCATGGCCCTTTTTCCTCACCGCATACGTCATTGGTGCTACGGCCAACCAGAATCTCTTTCTCGCCATCCACGAGATCTCACACAATCTGGCCTTCCGATCGCCATTGGCAAACAGGGTCTTCGCCGTCTTTGCGAACCTGCCAATTGGCATCCCGTACAGCGCCTCGTTCAGGCCCTACCATCTGACACACCACAAGTCGCTGGGTGTTAATGGTCTCGACACAGATCTGCCCACCGCCTTTGAAGCCATCTTCCTCGACTCGGTCGCCGGCAAGGCTTTCTTCGCGACCTTCCAGATCCTCTTCTACGCCCTGCGACCCATGTTCGTCTACGCCCTGCCAATGACCAAGATCCACCTCTTCAACGTCGTCGTACAGCTAGTCTTCGATTACGCACTCGTTCGATTCACAGGAGGAAGGGCCTTGGGATACTTGATCATGAGCAGCTTCCTCGCCGGCTCTCTCCACCCCTGCGCCGGCCACTTCATCGCCGAACATTACGTTTTTGAGAAGCCCAACAAAGACGCTGCGAATCCCGCCAACAAGATTCCGCTCCCGGAAACATACTCGTACTACGGACCTCTGAATTTCTTCACCTACAACGTTGGCCTGCACAACGAGCACCACGACTTCCCTGCCATCCCCTGGACGCGCCTACACACCTTGAACCGCATCGCGCACGACTTCTACAAAGACTTGCCACAACACAAGAGCTGGGTGTACGTTTTGTGGCAGTTCATCTGGGACAAGGACATCAGCCTTTGGTGCAGGGTCAAGAGAGAGGAGGGTGGACGCAAGGTCGGTGCTGGGAGCGGGTGGAACGAGGAAGAGCTGGGCTCGAACGAAAAGAAGGGCCCTATTCCTGGTGTGTTATAAGCTATCCCTGGGTCATTTGCATTCAAGGCGTTTGAGCGGCCTGATTTCATAGAGTATAGAATCAAGAACGATTACATGGTTACCAACAGGCGGACTGCACGAATTCATATTCTGTCTTTGAATCAAAGACAACCTTTTCTAGGCTGACCGCGACAGCGGCAGTAACATATCTCCAATACAGCATTTCTGTTGTATATCTCATACAGAGCCCACAGCAGCAAGCCGCCAACGTTTCCTCCCTGCCCACCCCACTTCTTCACAATAGAATCCCTTGGACATCGCCACAAACTGTATCTCCTCAAACAAACTCACCAATTCAGCCTGAGGCGACCCCATAGGAAACGGCTTTTTCGCCGGTACTGCCCCATCCTTCCCTACAGCATGCGAAGGGTAATGGGGGTAAAACATGAGATGACTAACCCGCAGTTCCTTGTAAAACGGTATCAAGAAACCTAAATCAACATCAAAGGACCAACTCCATGCTGGCGTTGGTGGAAGTGGGGCAGCGGCAGTGACAGGCAGGGTCCCAATTGTTATACAAATTTCCATACCCTGTCTGGTTTCCTTGAAGATGGAACTCAATGCCGTACCCTTGTTCCCGGGTGTGGCTTTGACGTCTATAACGACATCTTTCAGAGCGTTGACAGTGGCGGAGTAGGTGTTAGGTTGTACGGATATTCTTACCATGATGTCGCCTTCTGTGTCGGCATTCAGGAGGGGCAAAACAGGCCGGAGTATCCATTTGTACTTTTTGGACACTTCGATTCTGAAGTGCCAACCAGCGTGGTTTAAGAAGGAGAGGTTCGTGCGAATGGGATTTTCCGAAACGGGCGCATAGAACCAGCGAGATGGTGTGGTGCCTATAGGTCCGGGGGGAGTGCCAGATGTGAGGGGATGTCTTCTTGGGGGTTGTGGTGCTGAGGTATTTGGCGGTGGTGTACCGAAAGGATGGAACTTTGGGGGCCAGAAAGGTTCGGGAGGTTTGGGGGGGTTTGGAGGTTGCTGATACTGGTGCTGAAAGGGTTCCGTACCTCCTGTACCCGGTTGGTGGAAATGTTGTTCTGTTTTCGTATATGAAGGCCTCACTGACTGCGCTAGAGTCTTGTCGTGTTTCGCTCGCTGTATAGGGTCGAGTAGGATCTCGTAAGCTGTAGTCGCTAGCTTGAATATCTTTGTCCGCCTCTCGACTAGTGCTGCTGATAGGTGTAAAGTTTTGTCGGGGTGGTTCTCCAGCGCAAGCTTCTTGTAGGCTTTCTTAATCGCAGCGTCGTCAGCTTGGATGTCTACACCAAGGATCTGATAATGGTTTGTTGGGAAAGGCATAACTAGATGCGGAGAAGAACTTGAAGAAATCTCAGGTGGAGAAAACCATATGGCAAATGATCTTGTGTCGTAGAGACCTTGACCGAGACATGGATATACGCGCAGTGAAGGTGAAGGCGAATACGAAAGTCAGTGTGCTAGGCATAGCGCAAGCTTTGAAACGACAGGTAGCAAATGTACTTTTGTCATTGTTACAAATGCGGCTCATTATCTCCCACTCCCTAGTCTGTCGTTTCTCTTCGTTGCGCGCCTTTGCTATCGTCTCAACGCTATCGGAGCTCAGTAAAGAAAACACTTGCTTCATCACAGCTCCTCAATCCTTTCAACCCCTCTTTCTCTATTCAGTACCACCCTCACCATCCTACCTCTGTCGTCAAACAATCCCTCGCGCAGCCGCTCCAGGTATATCTCATAGCTCGGCATATAGCCATCGATGAACGCACGAACCTGCTCGTCTGACATCCCTGATCCTTTCGCCTCAATCATCTTATGCTCTTGCTGCAGACGCCATATATACACATTTCTCAGGTCGTCCGTATCGATATGGATGAAGAAGTCAAATTGCTTGGGTCCCATAAATGCATCACAGTAGCGCTCGAGATTCTCGTTCACCTCGAACAAATGCGGAAGTTGGTGATTCGCAGGGGTATTGACTGTGAGCTTCCCAGCTTTTGCCAGCGTATATCTTTCTTCTATGAAAGACTGTGGAACGGGCTGGAAGCCCACGCACCATCCTTCAAAGACGACAACGTCCGGTTTTTGCGAGATTGTCGTCCATTCTGATTGGGGCGCTCTGTCGCCTTCACCATTGTACTTGCTCTTATCGAAGCTCGGGATCTTGACGCTGCCTCTCCCGTTGTATTTCTTCAAATCGCTGAAAAACTCTCGGGCTAACTGCTCGTCGTGTGTACCAGGCTGTCCACGAGTACGGTAAAGCTTGTTGTTGGGATCACGATCCCGTTGTGCTACCAGCTCATCATGGGTTTTGTAGAAGTCGTCCAACGAAACAGTTATCGTATAGAGACCGTGATCCTGTGACAGGATCTTGACAAGCTCCGATGCCCATGTCGATTTGCCTGAACCTTGTAGACCTGTGATACCAAGTACGATAGGTTCTGACGACTCTTGACGGCGGGACCGTATCTTTGGAAGTAGGACGTCAAGCGTCCGACTGATATTGTTTCCCAGGGTAGACATGACGTGACCCTGCTGGTATATGTGTCCGCGCGAATTCGAGGTCCAACTAGTGTCTTCACGATGTTTTCATACCATGAATGTCATTTGGGGCTTATATCAGCGGACATATATAGTCCGTAGGGACAACTACTCCTGCCCGCAGCCGTAACGATGTCGGCCCGAGAGAACCCCGCACCTTCCGCGAACCATCATCGCAGTCAGAAGATTTATTGCCAGTGCAAACATATGGCTGCAAAAATGATAAAGAGATGTTCCTACTCAGAGCCATGCGCTCATCGTCGTACGAACATGCTCGACCCTGTCGTTATATTGCCTATTTTTCCGCCACCACCAACAACTACCTAGCACGACACCGCCGTGTCAAATCTCCACAACACCCAAACCAATAGCTCGAAGCGGCACAACACCAGGCAAATTACCGCTGCGGACTCGCTACCACGATCTAATGCGAGGGCGAACAGAAGGGGAGATGAATATTTACTGTGTTAGGAAAGTACAGAGAAAAAGTGTGGATTGCGGGATGCCATTTCACGGTTCTGACTGTCACAGTTCACCGCCTCTTACGCTGGTGAACCAATGTAGGCCGTGGGATTGAAATTGTGGTCGCGCAAGCGTTCCGGAGATGGCTACGGGAGTTGTGCGCTGCTTGTGTCTCGTGGTTCAACATGCTATTTTTGGTAGCTTGAGCGAAAGAAAGCAGAAAGAGTTCTGCGTGCGCGAGTCATGATGTAGCTCGCGCGCGTACTACTGACTGACACCTTTGGAACCACAAACTCCTTTTCTCATATGACCGCGATGGCAGGTGCGGGATCCATACTCGTCAGTTTCGCCAGTCTTCCAGGCGTCATCTGGTACACCTCTGGCAACCCCGTTGCACCCCATTCTTCACCGTTCATGAGCTTCACCAAGCCAGGCGCTGCTGTGAAGATTCGCGCCATACCACTGTCCAAGTGTTAGCCTTGCACTCCCCACCAAGCTATTGAACTTACTGCCCGTGGTGGCCGGCACAAATATATTGTCCAGGCTTTCCGGGTATTTGTCCGACGAATGGTACACCGTCCGCGCTCAGCCCAATGATACCGCTCCAACTGTACTCGAACCCTTCCCCTGGGCCTGTCGGGGTGGTATTCCAGCCTTCAAATTCTGCCTCTGCAAAATTCTTGACATGCTTTGTCACACTCTCCAGGTCTGCGATTCCGTCGTTGGTGCAGTTTTCTGGGTTCTGCTCAATCCACGCATCAAGCTCCTTTTGCCCTGGGTTGGAGCCGCCAAACATGATATTACCATCAGAAGACGAGCGCGGGTTGATACTAAACAATGCACCATCCGGTAGCAGAACGCCATATGAGTTCCTAATAGCTTTGGATCCGCTCAAGGCTTGTGGTGGTACGACCTTGTTGCACATATGCGGTTTAGGTGTGATGATACCACGAAGTGATGGCTCGAGGGCTGCACTATAGGCGTTTGTAGCGTGCACAATCGTGTCACATGCGATGTCACCTCGCTCCGTGTGAACCACCCATTTTCTGGACCCCGTCCCGCTGGAGACCGACTTAGCAGTAGTGCGGGTTTGGAGGTTGACGCCCTTGGTGATGTTGTCGCGCATGATGTGCGCCGTCAACTTCCACGGTTGCAAGGTTGACGCCTGCCATGCGTAACATGCTTTCGCACTCTTGATTCGGGACTTTTTTGCTGCTTCAATAGGATCGTGGATAGCTTCGATGTGCTCGACCTTCCCACCAGCTTCAACGTACCTCTCGAAGACTTCTCTGGCTATCTTCGCGACTTCGTCATCAAGGGGAACGTCTAGGGTTTCTCCAACCCAGAGATCGCATGCCACATTATTCTCTCTTACGTACGCTACCAACGCTTTCCATGTGGCTTGCTCATTGTCCATGATCTTGAGGGCTTGGTCTTGTCCATACGCTTGGGCAAACTTCTCATAATGTCGCCACTGATCAGGCTTACAATGACCCGCGTTACGACCTGTTGCACCGGAGCAGAACTCCCGTGCCTCGAGGACGACGACACTCTTGCTAGGAAATGTCTCCAAATGATGCTTTGCGACTAGTGTTCCCGTAATGCCAGAACCAATGATGACCGTATCAGCTTCGTGAGGTAGGTCATCCGTTGTGCGGTGGTCTAGTAGCGGATCGCATCGAACTTGCTGTAGCCAATACGAAAGTGACTGTCCGTCCTGTTTTGGGAATCCTGTACGGCCGTGGCTTTGTGGTTTAGAGGCGTATTCTTCTACATTGAGTACAGCTGATGTTTCTGGAAGAGTGACGCCAGATGCGCCACCCATTCCGGAGCCCTCTGAATCCACTTGCTTCATGTCGATGTAAGTGTGTATGTGGAACTTGGCTCAGGCAGAACTGGAATATCAGCGCGGGAAGCATTGTAGTTTGAGACCACTACGGTGTGATTTTGCCTCTTGTGGAACCGCTTAATGACTCCTCGATGCTTTTGAATATTTCGGCTGGACATGAATCATCGAACCATGTGTTGAGTGCTGAGAGTGCCGCTCGGAGATAAGCTGCCGCTCGCAACTTCCCCGCAGCAGCATCCCACCTTGTCACTCGCACATGAGATTGCATCATCATCCTCTCCACTATTTCGAGTGGATCAAACTCCAGGGTGCGTTGCTTCGACATCGAGGAGTGCTCGCGGATGATGTTCTAGAGCCCATTGAAGCGCTTCACGCCTCCGACAATAACCATACTGTCGAAGAAGTGTTGCCTAAGGCAGCTGAAAAGGATCAAAGTGCCGCTAGATGTTTGCACCAAATCTACCGTAAGAACATCTAGATCGAGTGTTCAGACGTCTACAGCTACGATAGATAGCCCAAGAGCCTGTGCTTAGCTAGGAAAACGAGCTATAAGAGACTGAGTGGCCCAAGGCAGTCAACTTCGCCCACAGTGAATAAACAATGTGAGTAAAATCTGATTGGAACTGGTTCCAGCACGAGGATCAGATACGTCGTCGAGGACGCCAATAGATTGCCAAAGGCTACATGGGGGTATTGTGCCATCTGGGTATGATGGGCGTAAGCCAACAGGCAATTCTGGCATTCACATTAGAAAGAGGTTTTAAGTACGGCGGACATTGATGTTAGAGATACGTTGTTGCGTGCGTGGGCATTCTATGCTTACTGCGATGTATTGAAAGTTGAGAGGAGAAGAAATCTCTGAGATGAGATTCCTGACCATTGGTGAACGTGTGACACAAATACATGCAGTTCGATATTCTTACTATCACTTTGAGCCCTTCATTCTGTGAGTAATAGGAGGTTTCGTTTACTTATTAACGAAGTAGCAGTATTCTTCTTGATAATTCAGGTTTCTAATAATGCTTATATAGTTCGTCTCTATCGTGTATGGGATGCATCATGGCGTCTAATATACGAAGTAAAGGGTATCCGCGCCTTTCCCATGCTTTTGACAACGCCGTTAAAATGACTTTTGAAGAAAGATATCCCACCCAGTAAACGCGAACGCTTGTAAGAAGAAAACGAAAGGAGGTAAAGGAGTCGAGATGGATGGGAATAGATCGAGCGGAGATGTCCGAAGGACCGTATGGTGATGTTGAACGGGTAGGCTCGCAGCACTTGCGGGCTATCCATTAAGTAGAGGATATTGAGGACCACGATGCGGGATTTTGTCGGATCCTCTCAGATCTTGACCTGCTTCAGGATCTTGCTATCCTGCTGCGCCTGTCGTAGCTCCAGGATCTCCCTTTGCTCCTGGAACACCTGTCTCGCGCGCTCGAGCACCATCTCGAAACCCTCCTTGCCCTTGGCAGCATTCTGCTGGAAGCGCTCAACAGTAAACTGCTCAATACTGTTCTTGATCTTCTGCCAGCCACCGCACAACGCGGTTATTTCAGCGCGCTGGGTGAAAGCAGTCTTGGTGTCGGGTGACGATGCGACAGGCTGGTATATGCAGGTCTCGCGGACGTTGAGGAGGTCGGACATTGTCATGTTCATGGAGCAAAGGGTGAGCTTCTTGGCAACAGGGTCGACATAGGAAGTCTCATAGACCATGGAGGTGTCTTGGGCGCCGAGGATGCTTTGGATCCATTTCGGTGCTGATTGCCGACATGTGATGAGACGTTCTGTGCGAAGCTGTGTTGTGTTAGTTTTTTTGCTCGGTGATAGTGGTGGGGCGTGCCGGATTGACATGTGAAAGAAGGAGTCACTCACGATTCCTGTCGCAGGGTCGACAGAGCGACTTAATGTGTCAACGGCGATGACATGCGGTGTCTTCTCGTTCCAAGGGCCGTATTTTTGCCAGTTGCTCGTCGAGACCTCTTCCCACGAGTAGTCGAAGTCGACTGTCTGCTGGAAATACTTCATTGTGAGATCGTGTGCGCGGTTATGTGGATCCGAGTGATGTGCGTTGTCGCTGCAATGTTACGTGTCGCTGCAATTCGAAAGTCGTGGTTCGACGGTATAGGTCGATGGGCTGCGATAGCTTTTGAGTGGGTTCTGGGTGGATTGTAGAGTGTGAAGGGTGCAAAAGGTTTGGAGATGGGTGGGCAAAGGCCGAAAAGCAAGCCGTGCGCTGGCGATAAACGATCGTCGGGGAAAGCGGGAAGTGCTCAACGCTTTTCACCGCTCGAGCCTTGTTTCTCTGATTCTCCGCAAAGCCGTCTCGGGATAATGTGCGGTGTGAAAAGCTGGAGAAATAATGCGCTGTCACAAAGGAAAAAGCAAGGGAGTCGTGGTTGTTTGATTTGTTGACAGGAAAGCAATATGAAACGAGCGTACGAGAGCCTTCTATCCGAAGTCACTCTTTCGGATCTACAAATTCTTGCCACGGGCAGCCGCCTTTCGACTTTTCCGACCAATCACAATCGAGGCGCTGACAACCGCGAGCTCGAGTCGTGTGCTTCCCTCAGCGGCGTCTAGGCCAGTCATCCCGACTCTCTCCGTATGACGTCTTATACCCGAATCGGCCAGGTCTCGTTGGTGGACTTGATCTAGCCTTGACGCAGGGCGTGGGGTACCTGAAGCTTGCACTGAAGATCTGATTATGTATCTGGCTCGCGCAACAAGCTAATAATCAGGGTCTTCCGGCTGTCGTGTGCGCGAGGCTGTCATTGGCGTGCAACGATGATCTCCGACGTCGAGGGCTTCAAACATGCCCAAGTTCCAGGGGCCCGTGCCATTTGTGCATTGACGATACCATTACTGGTCAATGACGAGGTGAACAGTTCGAGAGGTTTGCTTGGATTGTTGACGTTCACGCGCTCGCTATGATGGGCTTCTCGGAACGATGTGATACAAAGGAGTATGAAGACCCAAAGGCTGGTGAAGAAACCTATCTAAGAGACCTCACAAGGAAATTACGCCAAACCAAGCCGTCTGCCAAAGGCTGATCATGTATTTCATGATTCTTCCAACCAAGTCTATCGTTGGTATCATAACTTTTTGTATGAAGCGCCATAACGCCGACCATGCATATGCAAAGTGAAGAGCAGCTTTCGTCGCTCTATGCCATACACTCAAACCAAAGTGTTAATATCACCCCTTCACAATTACCTACAATTCCAGGGCCTTCTTCGCCATGGCGAGCGCACCATCGAACGACTTGTTTCCTCCGATGAAGCCAGCAGCGTGGACAAAGACACAACCTGGGATACCAGAGACCTGGTCAAGCTGCTCATCACGGACACCCTTCCATGCATCTGGCAGATCCTTGCGGTTCTCGAAGCCGCCATTCTCCTTGCTGACGGCACGAATACGCCACTTGCCCTCGGGCTGGTCTTCAGGGAAAAGGACATATAGGACCTGGGGTGCGACACCCTGTGGCTGTTGAGTCTCCTTCTCGAAGTTGTAGAGATGGTCGGCCCATGGCATGCCTTCGGGAAGGACCAAGATGCGTCCCTGGGGATCGTACTGGAGACGAGCGTCGTACGCCTGCTTGACCTGGTGACGAGCAGGGAGCCACGACCGAGCGCGGTCGACGAGCTCCCAGCGGAACTGCTCCCCAACGAACTGAGAGGCTCTGTTGAAGCGCTGGTCCTCCTCCATTTGTTTGGCCTCTGCTGTCTTGGTCTCGTCCGAAGTGGGTGATTTGGGGCCGTAGTTGTAGCGGTTGACTACACTGGCGATGCTGAAGCCGCGATCCTCAAACTTCTTCTGCAGTCCCGCCTTGTCGAGATCATTGGGCGCAATGACGTTGATGCCGTTGTCGTTGGCGTCGAAGGCCTCGATGAAGTCGGTGTAGATCTTCTCGTACAAAAGGTCGCGGTCAGCGCCCTCCAGACCAGTGACAGCTGTGATGATGTCCTTTCCATAATGCATGTATACAAGTCCAGCAGAGGAGAGCTTGGTGGTGTGGCCGGGGAAGACGACCTCGAAGCCGCGCTGGTGGTGATCGTAGCGCTTCTTGTCGTCTTCGTACTCGCCGCCTACGTCGACAACGGTGTGGCACTCGGCGAGGACGGCAGGGTCACGGGTGCGGACCAGCTGGGCATCGCGGTAGGTGGGCAGCTCCTTGAGCATGGAAACGGCAAGGGCCTCGTCGGCGTGGAAGTGGCCATTGTGCGTGCCAATGACAGGCACGTCGGTCTTGAGCTTCTTGGTGGGGCTTTCGGCGGACATTGTACGTGTGAAGGTTGTGAAGAAGTGCTGCCTGACTACGTTGTGGGTATTCCAAATGTTATGCGTAGGCTGTGCAAACAAAGGTCGTAGTTTGAACATGCAATTGCTGCTAGTAGAAGTTTCACATACGACGAGCGTCCCGCGGCGGGCAGCTTGGCTTGGCACAGGTGTCGGTGCGCTAGTGGAGGGGACACAGAAAAGCAAAGCAGCAAGATCGTCACATTCAGAGAGGAGGACGCCATAAGCGTCGTGAAGGTGGGAGAACACCGACGGCTGGACGACGTCAAGGCCTAGACTCGTGCCGTCGCCATCATCGTGCGCTGTTCCAAGATTGCGCACGCGAGCACGCATCCATCCGTAGCCCCAAGTCGTGCCTACTCGCACAGAGCAAGCAATATCAGTATCAGAGTCCCTCGTGCACCGATTCTTCACCCTGCAGCTAGCTCCCAGCCGGTATCCAGAGCTGCTTCTCCCTCAGGCCCGGCCCAGCACTGTGCAGCCGCTCTCCGCGACGCTCGAGCTTTCCACTTAGCGAGATTGACACGTGAAGATAATCGATAGCCAGGGCGTTGCTCGCGAATCTTCAACCACGTCTCCCGCACGCCCACTCACACGTCGAGTGACTCCCAGTACCCTCTCCCGCGCTGCCTGCGCGTCCGTCGCGCTTCAAACTCCTCGAATCTCCGCCGCCGCCCACCACCGAGGCCACGCTCGTTGCTGCACGAGCTTGGCGAGGACGGCGTCCGCATGGGCATGTGGGCCACAGCATCACGGGTAGTCTCGTCGACAACCTTCCTCGGCGCCATCATCTTCACCATACCCCTCGCATTCGACATTGGCGGCCGCACCTGTGGACTGGCCTTCTCCCTGTCTCTCAGTGTCTACTACTTTGTCTACTCGACGCTACGACTAGCCACGCCAGACTCTTCGCGCTTCAGATGGTTCCTCTGTAATGTGATAGCGTGGGCACAGTGGCTGGCCATACCTACTCTCTTGATCTGGAGCCTCAACAAGTTCTCCATCGATGCCGACGCCAATTCGGGCTGGGTACAACGCACCTTTGGCGGCAAGCGAGCCGACTTCCAGACGGTCCAAGAATGGATCTTTGGCAGTGAGGGACTGCTGCAGAGTGCCTCGATAGGTGCCTGGGACAAGACTCTGCGCTACAGCACACCCGTCTTCCAGATTGCCGAGGGCTTCTGCAGTCTCTTGGTCATCCAAGCCGCAGGCCAGATCACCAGATGGGTCGTCAACAAGGAACGTGGTGACAGTTGGATGGCATGAACTCCCGCTTCCACTCTTGACAGTAGACTAACAGTTCCAGATCGGCCTTCTCATCACCTCCGCATCCATCATCTCGACCTCAGTCTACTTCCTTTGGCGCATCACTACCTTTCCAGAGATCAGCAACGTCGACGCCATCCTGATCGGAGTCGCTATTACAACCGCCATCTTCCTTGGTGGATGGGGTATCGTCAGTGCTAGAGGTAATCCAGTCGAATCATCGCTTTTGGTAAGTCAAGCACTCCGAAGCTGCACCTCATTACTAATACCTGCAGTTCGCCTATGTTACTCTGTGCATCTACCAGATCTTCACCGACTACCAGCCAACACCAGGCTTTGTTGCAGAATCAAGCGCGCCCTCTGACCCTGCCCTGCCGCCGCTACCACCTATCATCATGGCCTCATACACCACCCTTCTCCATGCACTAGGCTCTTTGCCTACCATCGCCCATACTGGTTTCAACCTCATGGTCGGTGCTGTCATGACTATCACGCCCTCTGTCATCATCTCTCTTGCCTACCGTGTTTTCGTCATGTACGCTGCGGCGCGCATCATTCCTGCCATTCGCGAAAGCGGTGCTCGCGCGCTATCCCAAGAACCAAGTCTCGACGATGACGACGAGACATCGAAGATTCTAGGCTTCTTGACCTGGTTCAGCCCAAGTATCATCATCGCCGTCTACACCAGCCTGCTCATGCAGCACTTCGCCAGCGGAAATGGCGGCGACGGAAGTGCCGTGACAGGTGAGTGGTGGACGAACCAAGGCGGTGACGCTGGAGGTAACTTCTGGAGATGGATCAATCTTGGTATTACAATGGGGCTATACGCCATCGAATTGAAGATCTCGAATGCGGATGACGACGGCAGATTAACAAGTCACTGGAAGACGGATTAGAGCTTGAACAGAAGGAAGATGCAAGCAAACCACTCAACCTGCATACATTGGAGCGAAAGGACGCAGGAACCAGCGAGAGAGAAGGTAGCAGAGGTCGAAGCTGCACATTTGAGGAAGAGGAAAGCATACCAAAGCATATGCACATCCAGAACGATGCACACAGACGAGAAGTGTGCCAGGGGAGATTATGGTAGGGTTGGAGGATTCACTTCTCTTTTGTCCTTTTACCCTCAAAGTAAACAAGCGCGCATTTTTCTGATACCCCCCAAATTTGGATCTTTGTGGGAAAACGTTATTCGAGTTGTACACTATGCGGACGGCAAGAGAGGAAAGGAAGCAGGAAGTAGCATCGAATGAGAATATCAACTCAGATTATTGCATTCGTACAAACTTGAGCGGCTTGTTCTCTTGTCGAGTCGCCAATATGCGTGTGCTGTAAGGCTCGTGACTAAGATTTTGATGTTGGGTGAACCACTGGATATCGAAGCGGGGCATACTCTGAAACTGCTATATTCATTGGATGGACGCCAAGTTGTCTTCGGAGAGTTGTCTACCAAGTCAGTATATGTTCCGATAAACGGAATCAATTGTAGTAGGGCTGCGACTGACAATTTGAGCTTAAAGTGGCATTATAAACTACAAGCGCAGCCGATATATGGTAATAATCTTACTTGAGACATGGTCTAAAAACGGGCTCAACTGGTCTTGACCAAAACCACAGCGAGCTAGATGCTTCAAGAGAGTCGAATGATGTTGACGCTTGACATAAAATGGGTCTCAGACAAGACGACTTGCGATTGGTGCTGTTAAGAATACACCTGAGCATAATTCATGAACTCCAGTAGCGGATTCATCGGCGGCGAAACCTGAACATCAGTCTTGTAACGATTCGGCGCTATTAGTGAACTTTAGTTTTTTTTTTATCAACGGAGTAGTTATCCAGATGTAGCAGGCGTCGGCTAGTGCAATTATGTATACCTCGTACGCTTATGATAAATATAGCCACGTCTCGGGTAGCCATGCTGTTCTAAGGGGATCCCCGAACAATATTACATGCCAAGTACGTCACCTAGGGTCTTTTCACTGGGGCAAAATGTCACATGCTGAGAAATGCAACCTTGGAGTAGCACTCTGGGAACGCAGTATGACGACGATACAGCGATCGATGCCAGAAAAGTACATAGTTGTAGTCGGGAGACTTCTGCTTCTTGATTGGGCGATCGGATGGCGGCGAGATCTCACAGGGAGCTTATGCAGATTCGTCACACCGCGTGTCGCCTGGGTGAGAATACGGCCCAAAGAGACCGGCAGTTGTATGTATACGCAGTTTGTGAAACCTTAAGCGCTTCGGTAAGCGCTTACTCTTCCACGTTAAGCAATGCATACGATGATGACGTTTCGTCCCAGTGAGCAATGCAGTTCATGTTCAGGTCTTGTTCATCGGTGGAGGAAGATGGTGTTGTACCAACTGAGGAGCCAGCGTGAATGCTACAGCAATCCCAGATTAGAAGCGCGTATACCGACGGTTCGGTAAATGCGGCACGGGCAGGGCGTAAATCACCCCTTACATATATCGACAAGATCTTGTCTTCCTCGGGACGCGCTTCTCAGCTGTCGGGCGTAAAGATTGGAAGGGTTCGTATGGTTGCGAAAGGGCGGACTTCGGAGCAATTGTGTTGTAGCTAGCGCGCCATCCTGCAATCAGCATCAAGTACAATACACCAGTAATATTCCGAGTGTCTTTGTCATTCTGCTAGAGACGCAGGTTTTTACAGTCAGCCATTGTCTAATGCGAGAGACGCGGAATCCATTGAAGCGAACCGTCGGTACCAAATTGTCGGGAGACTGTTCATCAGTAGTTCACCAGCAGTTCCCTTGCCAACACATCGAAATTTTGATCGATCCCAAGAATCTTACGCCGGGAAGGTGCGTTGGTAATCCGTCTCGACTCTGAATCCTGCCAACGCCGCACACGTAACCGGAGATGAATGCAGACTGTGCCGCAGCCCGGCATCTCCTCAACCCGTTTGGAGCTGGCCAAATGGGCTGAATTTGCGAAGAGTATCGTTGGTACACTCAATGTCCAAGATTTCAACAGAGTGACAACATATGATGCAAAGGAATTCACAGTAGAAGATTTGTTACGATCGTGAGGTCGCCAAGTTCGAGTACAGCATGCTGCACTGGGATCTGGACCAGATCTGACTAATGCCGCAACAGACTGCCGACGAGCAATCCTTCAGATTCTGTCGGTGTGACCGACATTAATGAAATGCCGAATCTCGTCGCCAAGAGGAGCGCGAATATCGCGGTGAACATTTTCAAGCCAGTGCATGTTCCCGTAGGATTTGGAGATGTGTAAGCGCGACCAGATCCAAAAGCCTTGGAGTTTCAGGAAACACATCAATGGCGAGACTGGGTACGTGTTCTGAATACAGCCCAAACAGAAGCGGAGGTTAGACGCGTCGTCTTGGACACGGAATGTGTTGCTCCACAATCAATATGACAGAATAATTGAGATTGAGCACGGAGGTAGGCGGCGCGTGTGGACGTTGGTGACAAGCGCGCTGTTCCGCGCTTCCCGTTCGCTACTCGAGTCATATGGCGGAAGGATGAGGCGAGGCTCACAACAGAGTAGACGTCAGCTGACTGGGCACCAAAGCAAGGGGTGAGCCATTCTGGGCGACCAGAGGACTGGAAATGCAGCGGCACAGTTGCGAGGAAAATGCCGTACGGCGCAGTCCCACGTCTTTGTCTGATCATTAGCGGGAACGGAACGCGCCGCAAGAACCAGCTCGGCGGACTGTTGGATTTGTGCTCGAAATGCGCACGCATAATATGAACTACATTACAGTGACCACAACGACATGTCGCAGCCGACGAACGGCCGCGCTTGACGAGGCGTCATTTGTGTGCAATGCGTGGCGAAACTAGAGAGGTGCTATTGGCTGACGTACAAGGGTTGGTTAGACGCATGACCGATCGTCGAGCAACGCCTGAGAGTCAGACAGATACAACATACGACGGGTAAGTTGCTCACTTGCCACATTAGCCGAGGAGAAGCATCGCGGCTCTCCAAGTAGTGGAGGAGGTTTGACCAATTTGAGCGTGCGGGTTCCTGGCGAGCAAAAAGTTTGCACGCGAAGCGCCCGTAGATGAAGGTGTACGAGCCGGGCCGGGCAGCCAACCATGGAGGGCATCACGCAGTGGATAGCCGCACTCGCAACATGGTAATGGATCGAGGCAGCAGCATCAGGCCCAGAGCAGTGCCGCAAGCGAGCATATTGATGATGCTAAGGGCATAAGACGGGTGGGCGTGGTGTGCGGCGTGGATCTTGATAAATGAAACACGGCGAGACCCATGAGCGCCTTCTTGTTTGGTGCTGGCTTTGAAACCGGCGCAGGCAGGCCTCTGAGCAGGCGGTTAGGAGGAGGCAGTGCCGAAGGGCCATGACGGCACCCCTTGATGGAAGCGCGCGGGAGGCTGGGCGATACGCAGCGCGGTGAGCGGTGGTGGTGAGTGAGTGTGGTGATTCGCAGCAGCCATGGCTGGCTTTGGGCGATGGTTAGAGATGTGTGTTGCGTGTCAGAGGGGGTTTATCTGGCGGGCTTGATGCCGCGGTTGGGTGGACGTGTATGGTAAGGGAGGGCGTGCAGCGCGGCTACTGCGTTTGGCGATGGAGCAGGTGGATAAGCTAAGGTTGGGCCAGCGCCAATAACAACGACACAGCACTTTAATGTGGTGTTTCCGCGTTGGCTTGCATCCTTCTAACGATTTCTGGTCGATCAACCTCGCATGCCAGCACGCCGGGAGCGCTCGTCGCACGCAGTCGTCTGTGCCATCCTGGAGGCCTCTCCGCCCACTCTACCCTCCTCTACACCCAGAAAACGGCTGTAGGGCTGTAGACGCGACTTTTCCGCCCAAAAAACGTGGCAGCGGTCAAAATGCAGGGTCTATTATGTAGATAGTCGAAGGAACCGCGTCTGTGGTCCTTCTACGAGGTGTTCGGTGATGGTTCTGTCGCAGCTCGGGTGGGACAGATAAACGCGGGGGGCAGGGGCCGCCTGCAGCTCGGGCCAATGAGGAAGGGACGACATGGGTGCCTGCCCGGGATGTGTAGAGCCCATGTGTGCGCCAGCAGAAGGAGCGAACAGCCGCCCTCCGTTGAATCCTGTTGCTCACCCGTGGCCAGTGTCTGGCGTCGTCGGGTCGCCCCTCCCACATTCGTCGCGCCATATACAGTCTTCCCGCCATATACAGCCCCCGCCGTGGAGAGGCGGCTTCGCTGGCATCGCATCATCGCCCGACAACACCACGACACGCCCGTGCTCGCCAGGAACCTCCTTCGACCACCACAACACCTCAGAGCACAGACTCCGCTCTGGCCACACGTCCTCGACTCCCGCACGGTACCTGGCCTGACCGTTGAACTCATCTTGCTTCGACTACGCTACAGTGTAACCACCGACTTCATCCCCGACATCTTTCACTGCACACTTGCACCCACCTTCACCAAGCCCATCAAAACTGCCCGGCAAGATTATGGTGGCTGGACACCCTGCCCACACTCCACCGTAGATTCGACTTGATTCCGTGAACCATCCATCCAGCCTCTGATATCCCGCCTTGGACATGTCGACCGTACTGCATATGCCCGCATTTAATTCCGCTCCCCATGGCCCCGCCTTCACGTCCGTCAATGGCCGCTTGTCTCTGAGTCCACCCGACGAGCAAAAGCCATCCGTTGTCGCTAAATCTTCTACTTGGAGCCCTACCTCTCCAGACCCTGAGCACAACCGTCACTCTCCAGACAGCGATTCGAGCTCGTCCACTGTTAGCAGTGGAGATAAGTCTCCCAATAGTTCTGACAAGACAAGGTCGTCTCCCGAGAACCCAAACAAGAGGAGGCGTTCTGGATCCGACGAAGGCGCCTACGGTCAGCACAGCCCTGATCAGACGACTGCCGGCCCCAGACAGCTTCCGCCTCCCTACCAGCCTCTAAACCGCAGCACGACCATGAGCATGGAGACCACCCAATTACCAAGTTTGCCTCCATTAGGTCGTCCAGATGCTGAACGCCGCTGGCAGACCGAGCCCCGTGAACTGCCTCATGCGACTCATCATTTCCAACCCCGTGAGCCACGTCCTACAGAGCCTTCCCGCAACAATGCTTTGTCACCCGAGTCGCGTGACATGATTGAAGAGACTGAATTCACGCGTGCTGGCGTACAAGTCGAGCTCAAGAAGAGGAAACGGGTATGTATCTTTGGCCCACCCCCTTTACTATACTAACTTTTCCAGCAATTTGCCAACCGCACTAAGACTGGTTGTGGAACCTGCAGAAGGAGAAAGAAGAAGTGCGATGAGGCCAAACCAGAGTGTATGTTTGAGCATGCGTTCCAAGTCTGACAAAGTCTGACCCTTACCAGGCAATAATTGCACACGAGGCGGTTTCGTTTGTGAGGGCTATGCCAACAAAGTACCTTGGCCAAAGAATGGGCCTGCTAAACCGCCTGCCATACTAGCCAAGGAGAAGTATGCTGCCTATACGTCGTGCCCAACATGTCAAGAAAAGCACACGCCCCACTGTGGGCCACAAAGCAGTGAAATCCCTTACCCAACACCCGAAATGCATCCAGGCAACAGTACCGAGCGCAAGCCTTGGAAGCCATCCTGGAGTGATCCTGCACCTCCACCAGTCCGAGCGGCTTACCAACCGGAGGCCCCGCCGCCCCCGGCACAGTATATGCAACCTGCGGCAAACCACTATGAGAGACCCTCAACCCACGATCATCAACCGGTATCTCAACAGCAACAGCAGCCTCACCATACCTCTCGTGGCTATCACCATGCTCCACCAAGCACGAATCACCTCGCTATCAACACTGCTGTCCCTGCCACCACTATGTGAGTATTTCCTCTTAGCTGAAAACACGTCGAGTTGAAAGACAATACTGCCGATAATGGATCGTATCTGTCATGCGTATTCAAAAGACAAATGTACTTGAACTTCATCAGCTTACACATCTGCAGGGTCGCCAAGCCTGTCCAACAGCTACATGTGGCACAGCAGCATCCTCGTCCGCCGCCTCCTCCACCGCCAACATCCTTGCCACCGACGCGATCACCGACGCGCTTTACAGAGTCCTCCTCAATGACGTATAGATCTGAGAAAGACAAGATGCTAGCGGGGGAGCCATTTAACCCCTTTGACAAGACCCTAATGCACGAACGCCATCTTAGCACGCAAGCCCAGTCCATCTTCAACAGCAGCAAGGCAAATCCCTCCAACGTTTTGTCGAGCACAACCGTCGACCACTTTTTCAAACAGATTCTGAATGCAAGTCGTCATCGCGAAGGAAAGCAAATTGAGATTCACATGGGTCCCAATTGCCATGTCGCTACGCCTTTTGCTTGTGACTACGGCTACCACCTTAGTATGGGCGAGAATGTTGTCATTGGTGCTGATTGCCATCTCCACGACTCTGCAAGGATCTCTATCGGAAGGAACTGTAAGATTGGAGTTCGGGTCACAATACAGACTTTGAAAACACCCACCGATAACAAGTCATTGAAAGGGAGCAACGGTACCGAGATCGCGCAAGAAGTACACATTGGGGAAAACGTGTACATTGGCGATAATTGTGTGATCGAGGCAGGAGTTCACATTGGGCCCAATACCATAGTGCGTCCGGGTTCTGTGGTGTCTCGCGTAAGCTCTCAATCTTGCAATGATTTGAATATCCGTATACTGACCTTGTATAGTCTTTGCCCCCCAACTGCGTCGCTCATGGAAATCCTGCGATCATCCTACCTAACTGAGATACTCAGTACAAAAATCACCTTGTGTTCTCGCAATCTTCCAGAACAGTTCGTCATGTACGAGATATTCGCGAGGTATTTAACCTATTTGATATGGGTCTTGCATGTCACATTACGCACCACTGTGTGGTGCAGGAGTTAACGGCGTTTCTACAACCTGGAGGATACCCATTGCTATAGTTTTTTTTGCTTTTTTGGGAAAGAGAGATGCAGATGGTATATAGCTGTACGTTGAGAACGGGTGGTATCTGACTTGTATAGTCTCCTTGTATCTCGGTACCTGCCTGCTGGACATGGCTGTGCTCTAAAAGCTCAAAAACATAACATCTCCTACAACACTGGTTGAAACTTTCACAATATCCGAGTTTGTGATGAAGCCTACTTCATCGAGAGGGGGGTCCGGATACCCCACGATGAGCTGCTAGGATACTTTGAGCCTAGCTCGAAGCGTGACTGTGAACGCGGCTACACGTGCGGGATGTGGTCCGTGCAGGAATCTGAGCTTCAAGCCGGGAATGTCAAAATATCCGCGGCGAACAATCATCGCCGCATATCCCACGTACCCATACCATAATCACAATGCCACCCAAAGCACCCCTCAATTGGGGTCTCTTACCACCATCCTTTCTTCTTCCTTCATCAGCGCGCTCCGTCCTCCAGCAAAATGCGCATCAAATATCCTCAAGACCCGCCATCGCATACACATCGATCCGAACCATAAAATCCACTTTCACGCCCAAACCCGACCGCTTCGCACATCATCCCGCCCGAGAAGCCCTCACCAGCACATCTACCGCAGCGCTCGAGCGAAAAGCCCACAGCACACCCCTGCGAACGGGTCTTCTCGCCCTCAAGAAGGGCATGACATCCATCTACGACCCCGAAACAGGGAAGCGCACAGCATGCACCGTTTTACAACTTGACCGTAATGAAGTGGTTGCGCACAAACGGAGAGACCAAAATGGATACTGGGCGGTGCAGATCGGTGCTGGACAAAAAGAAGCACGGAATGTCAGCAGGCCCATGCTGGGACATTTTGCGGGTGCGGGCGTGAGTCCTAAGAGGTGGGTTGTTGAATTCAAGGTTAGGGACGAGGCAGGGCTGGGCGTTGGCATCGGGGAGATGGTTGGCGCGGGGTGGTTCACAAAGGGACAATGGGTGGATGTCAAGGCGATAAGCAGGGGAATGGGATTCGCTGGTGTAAGTTCAACATGGCATACGAGCTGCAATAGGAACAGGGACTGACAACTGATGTGTTCAGGGTATGAAACGACACGGCTTCGGCGGTCAACCAGCATCCCACGGTCAATCGCTCATGCATCGTGGTATGGGTTCAGCCGGAGGTTCCCAAGGTTCAGGTTCTCGCGTGCTACCTGGCAAGCGTATGCCGGGAAACATGGGCAATGAGAGCGTGACTGTCAAGAACTTGAGGGTGTTACAGATCGACGAGCAGAATGGCATTGTTGTTGTCAATGGTATGAAATATGAAGCGAACCAGTGTGATTGGATACTAACACCGCATGCAGGCTGCGTACCAGGACCGAAGAACCAGATTATCCGCGTTCAAGATGCGAGAGGGAAGCCGTGGCCTGCGGGGCCCATGTCAACTGCAGAACTGAAGCCAACAGAGGTTCTGGCCGAGGCGGGCGTTCCTGATGCTGCCGAGGCGACAGCCAGTGCATAGGAACAGAGATGAAGAGACGAAGAAGTGAACATTGTACCATATCAAAGAGACAGGTAGCTCGGACTATTTGAATCCGGGCAAGGATTACCATACGATTGTGCATACGATATACTTCGGTTTGATGAAGATGTTAATGCAATGGTAGTGGTACCATCTCACCGCATCTCAGAAAGGAGTGTGAGATGACGATATTATCAAGTTTTTACACTTCTATGTCCTTCACTCAGAACCCGCATCTTCGCCTACTTGCACTTGATCCTCACTACCATCTTCCACGATAAGATGCACCTCCAGCAACACCACTCTCAACCCCTTCACTCGTATACCCTCCTCCATCTCTACTGCGCCAACTATCCTTCTCGCAGATATCACTCTGCCCTCCACCACCCACACTGATTCGATCGTCGTCGCTGTCGCTGGGGAGGTAGTCATCACCCTCCCCTAAACCGTCATCATCACTGTCACTCATATAGCTCCCAATCATCCTTCTATTCCCGGTGTGTTTGTTCCGTCTAGGAGGAGAGGTGTAGGGACTTCTACTCCTTGTGCTCCTTCCAGATGCATATCCATTCCTACTTCTACTTCTGCTCCTGCTTCCCCATGCACCAGGCATGAGACCATAGTCACTACCGCTCTGCCGCCGCTGCCGCCCAAGTAAAGGTGGTGTAGGTACCGCAGGAGGCGGTGAGGGATAGTCTTCTGAGTCAACGGCTGTGGGTACACGAGACAAGCGGTCGGAATGTGAGGTACTGGGTCGAGAAGCTATGTCAGAGTATGCAATGGCGTGAGTATTGTCCCTGCGGCCTGGATATACGGGGCCGGACCGGTTGAAGGAGCGGTCTGCATGTCTTGAGGGATGAGGAGCTGAAAAGGTGCTCGTATACTGGTCTTCAGCGTCTGGGCAGGATGGACCAGGCCGACTAAATTGGGGTTCTAGATTCCTTGAGTGAGATTCATAGCGGTTGCGCTGGTTGTACTCGTCGTACTCCCCCTCGGGCCGGTGGTAACGGTCGTTTGCATGCCGCGAACGAGTACGTTGTTCATGGAGTCTTTCTCGGTAATTGTCTCGACTTGGCGCGTAGTAATCCTCAGCATCTCGTTGAGGGCCTGGATATCGCTCGTAAGATTCATCTTGGCGATTTGCTGGGCTACTATCGCCGGTACTGTAGGATTCGGTGTCGGACCGATCCGCAGGGTGAGCGTGGAGCTTGGTGTAGCGATCCAGAAATTGCTTTGCTTCAAGATAGTTTTCATGCTCTCGAGGATTCAAGCTGTGGCTTTGCGTGTGAAAGTCGCTGCTACCCCAGCCTGCCTTGATTTTCTGCTTGTTTCGCCTTTCGGGATGCTGAGCATAGTCTGAATGTGGACTTTCACTGTGATGTCTTGATGAAGAGTCACGGATCGGTGAAGCTTCCCTAAAAGGATTGTCGCTGTACCGGTCGTCGTACCTTGACGTACGATCCCTCCATACATCTCTCTTCAGCTCAGGTGAGGCTATGTAATCATCGTCAGACTGGGAATCCTGTGCTATGTAGTCAGAATCTTGAGATCGAGTTCTATGCGGCCGACGAGTTGGTCGCGGTTGGTAGCCCGGACGAGGCTGCGAAAACCCGTTCCCATCCCTGCTTCGCCTTGTCTGCGTAGTGTAGTCGTAATCCATGGTCCGATTTACATATTGCTTATAATTAGGAGGGGAGTTTTCATAAGATCCACGGCGTGGGGTGATGTAGTCCGAGCTCGAATTGGTGGGCGAGGAGATGCAGTCTGATGAAAGATGGGTATCCTGGTAATCACAAGGAACTTGGCTACTGTATCTCGGTGCTGCACGGTAGGAGTTGCTCTGCCTTTCATAGCTTCGGCTACTCTTGTATGGTTGGCGCCTCATGCTGAAAGTCGCGTGCAGGCCTCGCAGCCCAGCGATTAGTCGACGTTGAGCTGTGTAATTGGGTTATGCAGTCTGGCAGTGGAGAGACTTGGGCTTCTCAAGTTGCTTCATTTCGTTGTTGTGGCTAGCTATTGGAAAGTAGGCAAAGCGTCATGCACAACCACGTGTTTGTCCTCTAGCCGTGAGTAAAACGCGCTAGTGTCGCCACGACCCCTGCCTCACCGTTTTGTCATCCTATCACGCCTCTCCACCATCCCTCCATCTTCTGCCCGTGCCATTCTGTCTCCCACCACCCGTTCTATACTACGGGAAGTAAACTTAACAAGTACAAACTTTACGCCTCAACCTTCCCGACAGCCGTGGGATGGATTGCGTTATTGCGCGTTATATGACAGATGACAGGTGACAGCTAATAGCACTAGCTGGGTACATCACTACTCCAAGCAACGAAATGCGCCACAGCAGCGACGGTATCACTTTGCATTCTTTAATTAACCATCTGTCCCATTCTTGTTCATCACACTTTCCCGTCAGCCTTACATTCTCGGTCCAGCCTGTTTTGGAACCTGTAGATTCCACCTATCGGAAAAACGAATCCTATAACATCGCAGAGCACAGCCTCATGAGCCACAAGCCAAGTCTCCTTCCTCCAACAAGGGGCAGTCCTCTCATCTTATGTCGGATAAGCTCAATCAAAATGTTTCCAACTATGACCCAGGCATGATTTTTGTGGAGCTAGCGGCTGCCCTGTCATGTTGACATGAAACAACAACAGCGGGACTGTCGGGACTAGACTCCTTGGGAAGCTACATCCGCAACGCCATCCTGTTTGCAAACAACGGTCAAGCCACTCTTCCCTGAGCGCATCAACGCCAAACTACGCACTGTTGACCTGTTCATGACTCTCAGTCGGTCGAAGTTACTTTCCGCCCCTTCCAGACGCCGGCGTCCAGCGCCGCGCTCCTGCTAACACCTGGAAATGCCCGACATCTACCGCAGTCGGTGATGAACGGCGCCAAAGGATCCAGGTGGATGCTCGAAGGGAATATATCTCCGTAGAGTGAGTGGGGCGTGGGTTCAAACACCAGCCAAGAATCCTGTCAGATATAAAGATGCGAGATCAGCCACCGGATCTTATCATCCAGCTTATATCATCTTTCACTCATTCCCTCGTTCATCATCTGTCATTCTTTTCAGCAAACTGTGTTTGCTAGCCATTCTTTATCTTCAATCCGATAACCTTTCACTATGAAGTACTCTCTCTTCACCGCCGTTGTTGCGGCTTTCGCGTCTGGTGTCAGCGCTGCTGACGCCGTCAAGGGCGCTGCTGAGGGTTTTGCTAAGGGTATATCTCACAACATGTCCATTTCTGACTTCAATCTAACATTGTCCAGGTGTCACTGGTGGTGGCAGCGCCAAACCTGTCTACCCCTCCACTACTGCGGAGCTCATCAGCTACCTCGGTGACTCTTCTCCTCGTGTCATTGTCCTCACCAAGACTTTCGACTTCACTGGCACTGAGGGTAAGGCTACCTCTGCCGGTTGCCGCCCATGGGGAACTGGCTCCGCTTGCCAGATCGCCATCAACAAGGACGGCTGGTGCGACAACTACCAGCCTAACGCACCCAAGGTTGGCAGCATCACCTACGACAAGGCTGGTATGCTCGGAATCACTGTCAAGTCCAACAAGTCTTTGATTGGACAGGGCAGCAAGGGTGTCATCAAGGGCAAGGGTATCCGCATGACTGGCAACGTCAAGAACATCATTGTTCAGAATGTCCGTTTCACCGAGATCAACCCTCAATACGTCTGGGGTGGTGATGCCATCACCGTTGACGGCGCCGACATGATCTGGATTGATCACGTCACCACCGACCTCATCGCCCGCCAGCACATTGTTCTCGGTAACGGCGCTTCCGGTCGCGTCTCCATCACCAACAACGAGATCAACGGTGCCACCGCCTGGTCTGCTACCTGCGATGGCCACCACTACTGGGGCATGTACTTCACTGGCAGCTCCGACATGGTCACCCTCAAGGGCAACTACATCCACCACACCTCCGGCCGCTCCCCCAAGGTCGCTGGTAACACCCTTCTCCACGCCGTCAACAACTACTTCTACGCCAACTCCCAGCACGCTTTCGAGGCCGACTCTGGTGCCAAGATCATTGCTGAGGGTAACGTCTTCCAGAACGTCAAGGAGGCTGCTCAGTCTGGTCTCCCAGGCAAGGTTTTCGCTGTTGGCTCCAACGGCTCTGCCTGCAAGTCTGCTATGGGCCGCAACTGCGAGCCCAACGCTTACGGCAGCTCTGGCACCATGGCTGGCTCTGACACCAGCATCATTGCCGGCATGAAGGGCAAGAACATTGCCGCTGCCGGTACTGCTGCCAGCGCCAAGAACGTCCAGCAGACCGCTGGTTACGGAAAGATCTAAGCGACTCTGATGGAGTCAGCTATCGCTTAGAGGAGAATAACTTCATCTGTTCTTGTATATACATTCTATTACTTCGTACATATTCCGTTTAAATTGGAGATTCTTTTGTCCTCCATTGAAAACCTCCCTGTCCCTGAATTTCTAGTGTTCTAGTTCATTACTATGATGAGTATTGAGATCTTCCCTTGATGCTGCCTTATGAGCGACCGTTTATTTGCGCTACCTCCTTCGATAACTTCAGCTTGTTATCATCTGATCTACCGATAACGCAAATCGAAATACATTGTGTGTGTGCCGAAGGGAGCTTCAACCGTAGGAGAAAGGGTGAGTAGTAGAAACAATGGTGTAATACGGTACACAGCGGAGTTTCATATCTACATACCCGCTTAGACGCTCGGATACAACATTGTATAAGGGAAAAAGTACTTAGAGTCACTCAAGTTGAGAAAAGAATAATGATGAGTAGAGTCTGAAATGACACATGTCATTACTATTTCACCTTGTAAGATATGTATGGGTAATAGGCTGAAGTGGAGAAAACGATACGAGTCCGAAGATGTTTTCCAAATGTTCCGCATCCGCGAACTTGGCTACGTTGAACTAGCTAGAAAACAATAGAAGTTGACGCAGACATTATGGTAGCTAGTCCGTGGCGCGTCTTGTTCATATGAGCAGAAGACCTGCGCTTTCCATATCGTAATCGGTGCTGTTCGAAGTTAATATGGAATGTGCGCGTGGCGAGTGTGTTGCCTGGCGGCGCTACTACGGTCCGCCATTTGGGGTATTCAATTTCTCTTCCTGCCTCTTGATGCAACTCACCTCTGTCTATCACATCCCGGGTACCCCTAATATTCGACATAGGCTCAAACGCACCAACATGGTGACCGACCGAGACTGCGATTCAATGTAAGCTATTTCGACCACTAGTATCGACTCACTAACATCGACCCAAGTGCTGCGCAAAACCAGCTCTCCTCCCCACTGCTTCGCCTACCAGCAGAACTTCGAAACCGCATATACAAAGAAGTTTTCGCTCCACGGATTGCACGTGTCGTCCCTCGATCGGTCATCAAGGGTTACACGACATGGCCCTTCACGGCCCTTCATGTCTGTCGTCAAGTCCGGCACGAAGCCAAGCTGATCATGTTTACTAGTATCACCTTTGACTTTCGAGCACTCGAACCAATTGTCGATCCCGCCGCAATTCTTACACTGGGATCCTTTAAGGCCATTGTAGTGGGATCAAAGCTGGTCTGGTACGTTTCAAATGCGATGGGGTACAGCGGGGGTTACCCGGAGCGCTTCAAATCACTGCAGAAAATTTATTGGGGCACTCTTCAATCCCCAATTAAGTTATTTTGGAGGCGCGGATCGGGTGGCGTTGTCACTCTGTAATCTTTCTACATAGAAGGCGTCCAACTGAGACAACTTTCTCGCCACTGCGGGATGAAAGCTCAGCTCAGATGTTCAGGATTTATGAGGGATATACAAAGCCAGGTTCATATGCCGGTCCTGCTTCAACGGTAGTTGAATTGTTCGGACCATAGCCGGCGCATTAATATCAATGACCATATGCGGTAGTAATAAGTTGCCATGAGTATGTGGGGCTCCAGGACATAACTTAACCCTCATTTTGGCGTGTGACGCCACAACAGAACACGCAAAACTGTAATGCTCGTCATGTTGTTCTCTATCTTATCATGTCTCTTCTTCCTCCTTAGTGCAGTCTTCGTTGATGCAGCGCTCGACGTAAGTACCCTCGCTCGCGAAGTAGTGCGCGTCGAATCGGTGCGACGAGTCAAAGACCTCCAAAGGCAGTTGTCCCACTTCGCACAGTATGGGCAATGGAACAGCATCTCTCAACTCTTCAGTATCAACAGCACCCTCATCTGGGGCAACGTGACCACTCATGGTCCGGCGTCAATCGAAACATGGCTGCGCAACGATTCTGGCGACATGAACGGCTTGGTTTCTGGGTCTCTCAGTACAATGATCGTCGAGACCCCTGTGATTAGCTTGAGCATTGACGGAAAGCGCGCGAGAGGACGCTGGAACGGCATCTGGTTCCAGGGCGACGGCAAGGGTGGAACGCGAATCCAGGGCGGAGTATACGAAAACGAATATATCTTGATGGACAATCGGTGGCATATATCGTTGCTACACTACTACAACATGTACAATGGTGATTACGAAAACGGTTGGCGTAATGTTAACGGCAAGGGCATCTCGATTATTCCGTATCATTTCACAGCCGAAGGGTCTGGACTACCGATACCGCCGGCAGTGGGAGACCCTGAACCGTACAATGAGACCATCGAGCAACTAGGAGCTAGGATCCAGAGGTTGAACGATGAAGACGATGTTCGGAACTTGATGCATGCCCATGGCTACTACGTTGATCGAAGGATGTGGTCAGATGTCGTAGATTTGCATACTGCAAATACGACTGTGCGCATTGGCAACGAAACTGCACTAAGAGGTAAGACTGGTGTCAGGCAATTTCTCAAACGCATGGGTCCAGAGGGCTTGACGCAAGGGGTCAACAATGATCATCCGATCTTCGACATGATTGTTGAAGTGGCAGAAAACGGCAGAAAGGCTATAGCTCGTGGTACCGAAATTGCCATGCTGGGTGATGTCAACCGCCAGGTTGCCTCATGGGAATTTAATGTCTTCAGGAACCGGTTTGTCAAAGAAGATGGGGTTTGGAAAGTCCAGGATATTGTGGTGGCGCCACAGATCGTTGCTGATTACTACATTGGGTGGGGAAAAGGTGGGTTGAAGCCATCAGATGCAGTTATCCCGCCATTCTTGAATGTCACTAGCAGTCGTGTGGCAGAAGGGAGTACGACACGTTCGAAAAATGTGACAGTCAACGACCTTAAGCGCCGCCTCCAACGTAGTGCAGCCTGTGATGGTAGTGAGAACTTGTCGCATGCTTACGGCTATTACGCCGACGATATTCTAGGGGAGCAGCTGGGCGAGCTGTTCGCGAAGAATGGACACAAAGCATCGCCATTCGCAGGATTTTTCCGTACCCCCGAACGTATAACTGGAGCAATGAAGGCATCGTATGGTACGAACCGTTCGGCACTCCGATCTAGCATATCTTTCCACTGGCGTCCACAGCCTGTCATCATCGTCTCAGAAGATGGTCGGTCGGCAAGCCTGCGAGCGAGACTGTTGCAGCCTTCGACGTCGGTCAACAAAGCGGGCAGCTTCAATTCTGCGATATACCAGGACCAAATCGTTTCTGAAAATGGAAAGTGGAAATTTTGGAGTGTCACAATAGACGAGTTCTACTGGCAGTCATCGTCCTGGAAAAGTGGATGGAGCATGGCGACTCAACAGAATTCAACTCAACCCGATCCTCCTGCATGGACGAGGAGGTATCCACCCGACCTCACCATAGCAGATGTCGGAGAAAGGGAGAGTACGTTTCGCGGTGGAAATGGCCAATTCATCCAGTGGCCTGAGATTCAAAGAATGTGGTTTGGGTATCGGAACTCCGTCAGCGGGCGGAAGCCTGAATGGTACTGGCCTGGCTGTGTCCCATGTGGAGTCCGGCCAGACTGGTCACTGGAGGCAAATGGATGGCAGGAGCCGTGAGCTGCTGGCCCAATGTAGGAGCTAAGTGCGCAAGTCCTATTCATGTATTGTCAAAAGAAACGAAAGCGATAAGATGATACCAACCTGTGTTGGTTCTTTGATGCAGTGCCGCTTTAGGATGGTGCGAAGCAGCGCCTTACCTGCTACGTAATCAGCAATGTGAACGCTGTACGAGGCTGGCAGTACCAGCCACCCCAGTTTCCCCGCTTTGTACCTGCGTTTTGCGTCGAACCCGAAATGATGATGTATGGTTGCAACAGGCAAGGTGTCGGGTTCGACGGCAAATCGACAAGTAGGTAAGTCTTGGCAATACCATCCACAGATGCCGGCTGCTTCCTCACAGGGGCCTGATGACGTTCTTCAACCCCAACTAGAGCTATGACATTCAAACGTTGCCAATCAAAACCAGATCTTCTTTACGCCCAGCTAGGCGACCAGCGAAACAAACATCAAGCGCGATTTTCCAGTCGACCAAGGCCTCGGAGTCGTTGCCGTTTATGCGGTGAAGCCCGCGGCGCGTGGCTGACACGCTACCCATCCAGGTCGGTACGGCAAAGACATCAGGCATCTCACAGCGCAGACAGCGCGGGTGTCTGGATGAAACTCCACGACACGAGGGACTCTCATCGCATCCAGTCGTCAAAGTGACGGGTCTATGGCGCGGATCAAGCGTAGCGCAGCCTAATGATGTCTGACATGGCAGAGGATCGTAGAGGCGGGTCATGATGCGCGCCGAGACCCGCACAAGCTTTTAGACATCCGCCTGGTAGTTGGAACGGCGCAGCAGGAAACGGACGAGTGTCGCGCCTTATTTTAGGTAGGTCATGCCCATGTACTTGCGGGCTGCTATTCCGCTTCTTGGAATCTGGCCATCACTTGCGACGTCCTGCCACAGTGTAGGACCGACTCCTGAACGTCAACATGCTTCAATACGACAAGATTCTGAAACTCGCCCTGGTGCCGTCAATTGCCTTCCTCCTCATATCCGTCGTCTCGGTGGCATTGACGACGCATTACTGGATCCTTACAGATTGGGTCATACCACGCGGTCTCAAAGTAGTAACAAGCAATTTCAACGACCGACTGCAACAGTACGAGACAGACGACACAATCGTTTACTTCAAGGAGGCCTCGACAGATGCGACTATCGTTTCTGGATGTCTGAACTTGACGGCGGCTGTTGTGGCTCTTATTGCCTGGAGTACGTTGCGCAAACCAGATATGGACTCGCAGTACAACATTGTACGTATCTTTGAGGTCGATTTGATTAGACAAGACTGACCACCTTCAGAGCACACGTCGCTTTTGGATGCTTAGTATTGTTGTTACCACTCTTGCTGGATCTGCAACTGCTCTTTCCGCCGTCGTGCTTCACTATACCGAACGAGGCGACGACCAGTGGGGCTGCAGTTCCGAGAGGTTGATGATGAGTGGCAAACTGAACACGAATCAGTACTGCACACGCGAGATGGCAGCTTGCAACTATCAACCAGGCTTCGTGCCAAGGGGAGATCGCGAGAATACCAGCATAGCTTGCACCGAAGCGGTCAGTCGCCCGCGTCATGTCGCAGGTCACCCACTGACATATTATCAGGTAACTGTGAAATGGTTACAGATCGTCATGATCGTGAATGCTCTAATAATACTGGTGATGTTCTCCTTCCAAGCACGCCTCCGAAGGAAGTCACGGGAAGCACGATTGAACGAACCGGTATCGGAGGAAAAGACGGCACCATGATGATGGCGACATCCTGATGCGATACGATACGATATTTACGACATACTCACGAACTTTTACGACACACTCCTTTCACGAATTCATTCAACTCAAAGCATTGCATTATCATCGGAGTTTGGGCTACAGCCAGAAACACTTTTCTGTAATTGACAATAATGATTGCCAGGCTGAGTCATGGTCATAAACCTTGGAAGGAAGAGCGGGAGCGATTTCGTAGGCAACAATTAACGCGCCTCATATCAAACGGTTCTCAATGTCTAGCGCATAGTTCATTGCTTGAAAAATCTCCAGCTATAATGCTCTGTTTACATTCCAGATGCATCTGGTCATTCCAGCATCCGTTTTTCTTTTTGACGACCGGCTCGCTGCGGATGGGGCGTCATAACGGCTGCAACACTAATACCAGTAGAACATCTGACTGCTGCTAGTCCAACAACTAGCGTTGGACGGACAGAACAGTCTTTAGCGTCCTGCGACGTCAGCGCTCGAAGCGGAAGTTCGAGTATACAGAAGCTAGTACACTTTGGGCTGCGTACTACGAACATGCAGCCTGAAGGTATACGCTACAATCAGAGTTGTCATGCTGAAAACTAATAGCTATTGTATATACCTAGGGCCTATTTTGTGTCGAAGACAGCCCCGAGAGTGCGGCACGTGCAGCCTACGTCGTTCACCACGTTTTTGACCAAATGCGTGTTCAGAATGGAAAAAGGGATCTTTCAATATCGATGGCGAGGATGAGTAACGTAAAATGAATCCAGGGTTGTAGAAATCAATGAGGTGAGCGGTGAGGTCGTCGTTGCCTCGTGCCTGCCTCGCCGGCATGAAGCATATGATTGCTTACGTACTCACACTGCTCCTGCCCACAACAGCAGTTGTTTGTACACAGACCGCGTCAGATAGCAATTCTCATTTGCTCTTAATCTCTATCGTCACGAACCTCCTCGTCATGGCCCCGCACCCTCTCTTTCCTAACCTCGAAGCGTCTGTCCTTGTGGACAATCGCCCCGTTGTTGAACTTGATGACTGTGAAGATGCTAATCTCCACACCAAGATAGTCTACATCGAGTCTGAAGCAGGCGAGCAGTTCGGCGTCCGCTACTACATCCCCGGTTACCTCTTCGAGCACTATAGCATCAAGGCCATAGTCAGCATCGACGGCGTGGACATGCGCAAATTCATCTTCGAGAAGCGCAACTACGACTACTACGGTGTCTCGAGGCACATTTATGCCAGCAGCGCAAAAGCGGGCCGTAACTTCATGGGCCAGCGCTTCCGCTTCGCCTCTCTGGATACTCGTGAGTGTAGCTAGTCAGCATTCCTACCACATGGCTAACGTGTCTAGACGATGAGAGGAGCGCAATCGAGCACGAGCTCCAGGAGCAACTGGAACAAACGGGTACCATCTCTATAGCATTCCACAAAGTCACCAATGTACGCATGGCGGCTGCATGGAAGGATGTCCCGTCAATGTACCAGTACGACAAAGTCCCTGAGAAGGCTTTGAAAGGCTCATCCGTCTCGCACAAGACTACGTACGTATTGCAAAGCTGGCTTCCTATCATGCGCTAACAATCCTGACAGTCTCGACCCGCCTGAGCGCATCGCGCCTGTCAAATTCATGGAGGCTGACTACGTCGATGGAGAAGGTCGCCCGTTCGCCGTTATTGAGTTCAGATACCGCTCTGCAGCTGCTCTGAAGTCACTCGCCATTCTCCCCCGATCATCGAGTCCAGCACCAGTCAAGGATGTGGTCTCAGAAGAGGAGGTGAATAAAATCTACGTGAGCCTCCTTTATCCTCGGCTATCTAGACAGAAACTTACCGGATACGACAGCTCAAGCAGGAAGAGGCCGAGACACGCAAGCGAGACCGTGCCGATGACGATGGTGAAGACGGAGACGTTGAGATGGTGAATGAGAGGCCCGCAAAGCAACGTTGCTTCCCAACCAGTAACGACGAAGTCATCGAGTTGGACTGAGTAGGCTTGGTAAATATGATATGGGGTTGTATGGCAAGCAGAGCACATGATTTGCAGAATACGTAGCATCCTTGCATAAGCAACGTTCAATATGATAGTATGGCATGCTACAGACAGGCTCACCTACCGAAAAGACGCTCACTAATATAACATAGCATACTGAAAGTCGCTTCGTGGATAGACTCGTAATTCATTACCATGGTCTCCGTTTCATCACATCTCTACATATGGCACCAATGTATCCATAACCTTGGCCAAGTGCTCCAGCACATGCCCCACTTTAAGTACATCCTCATCCTTTGTCGCTCTTCCGAATATGTATGCCGAGAACGGTATTCCAGGTGCGACGTTGACCAGGTGGTTTCTAGAATCCTTCTCTATGGGCGTATCTATGGGAAACACCCCCATCGGTACGCTTATCACTGGACTTCCTGCTTTCGCAGCAAAACTCTGTATGGTGACACTCAAGGTAGGTAGAATTATAACGTCGCAACAATTTGTACACAAAGCTGTTTCGATGCCACCTTCGCCTGTGTAGTAGTTGTCTTTTACTAACATGGTCCTATAAAGCAGCCCTTTCAGATCAGAGGCTTCCGCCCTCTTGAGACCTTCGACATTCCGCCGCGGGTATTGCTCCGCTGGATGAGCTTTCGTAAAGGTGATGAGATCTTGGAGATTGTGGATTCCGTTAGGATTTGTCTCGAGGGAAGAGAGGTATGAGTTTATCGCAACCTTGATATCTGTGTCCAGAATAATGCTTTTAGCTTCTGGTGAAAGAGCTTCCCAACTCGAAGCACCAGTAATCTGAAAGTCGTGGATAATGGTAGCGCCTGCATTTTCCAATAATGTGAGCGTCTTTTCAAATGCTTCCTTCCTACACCTAGGAAGGTTTTTTAGTTCGCTGAGATGATGGGGGACGCCGATGCGAATGCCGTTTAGATGAGTGCTTGAACATGCACTGCTCAGGTTTTGCAATAGCTTCTGCTTTGTTGGCGAAGGGATGTGGTCGCTTTGCTGCACAAGACCAAGGACGAAAAGCGATGCGTCAGATACAGTACGCGTAAGTACCCCAACAGTGTCGAGTCTTTTGGATGCGTAAATTATCCCCTCTGAAGAAAGAAGACCGCGCGTAGGCTTGAAGCCCACGATACCTGATTTCTCAGCCGGAGAAACAATGGAGTAGCATGTCTCTGTGCCTAACGCTGCAAAGCACATACCTGCTGCAACCGCTACGGCACAACCTCCCGAACTCCCGCTGGCCTTCATGCCTGGGTGGTAAATGCCTGTAGTCTGACCTCCTCTAGCACTCCAACCTGAACATCCACTCGTAGACCGGAAGCCTGCCCACTCTGCCATATTTCCTTTGCCCAGTACTATAGCTCCCGCCTTCCGTACCGTTTTCACAATCTCAGCTTCCTCAGACGGTCTGGCATCTATCAAGGCAACACTGCCACATGTTGTAGACGTGGCGTCAAGAGTGGGCATATTGTCCTTCAAGAGAATAGGCACACCGTGTAGCGTGCCTCGAGCGCCGTTTGTTAGTTTTTCAACATCGAGGAGGTGGGCCGTGGATGTGGCGTCTGGGTTGACTTCTGCCACCGCGTGAAACTGGGGGTTTAATTCACGAATACGGGTAAGGTAGACTGAGGTCAGCTCAACGGCTGTGAAGAGGCGGTTTTCGAATGCTGTCTGAATCGTGAGATTGTCAAGACCGGCGAGAGGTAGGATGTTTGGAAGGGTCTTGGTGGATCCGCTAGCCTTTTGGGTACCTGCAGTCATGATAGGGGGAGTTGATGTGCTTGCAGATCTGCTCACGGACATATTGACCCGGCAAGTTCGCAGTATCTCTATAGCGTTGAGGAAATCTATTTGGATACTTACAGAGACAGTAGTACCAATGAAGAGATGGGTAAATATACATGTTTAGTTGTGGTAGATTGAAGAGCCAATGTTCACACTGGTCTTCCTGAAGATCATTGTGAAATATAGCTTCGATGCTTCAAACGCGCCATCAAATTTGCCATATCGTTGTGGGTTCTCTTCCTTCACATTGCTCAGTCAAGTTCTATGACCTCCGTCTCATCAGTTGGTATCTGTCTGACGCGTTGTTGCTTCCTCTTTCTACGCAGATCGACCGAACGTATCTCGATGAAGTCGTCGTCGCATGTTGCACTCAGGCCACTGAATCCGTGATCGTTGCCTCCTACGGTTGAGGTATCGGATAGCTCGCGTTTCATGCGTACACGGGTCTCTTCTTGCTCCTAGTCCATGTCAGCGCGTCAGATACAGACACATGGTAACAGGTGACCTACCCTGAAGCGCCGCACAATAGCTTCTAATTGTTCCCTATTCAGTTGTCCGAGAACCGTGTCATCACCATCGAGGAAGTCGACTGGGTCGGGGGTGCGTTCGATAATGTGTAAATCCTTGAGTGCAGCTACGAATGATATGGTCAATCCGCTAAAATTGTAGTTTGAGGGCAAAATTTACCAAGCGAGCGATAGTAAAAGTGAAATGTTGCGAATGGCTCCCCTCCGTCGGCATATTCGGCATCGTAATACTCAATCTCTTCCGCAGGCTCCGTCTCTCCAAGACTGTAATCACGTTAGTCCGTCTCGATGTTTAGCGCGAATCATACCGACATTGCCTAATGCGACAGCGACTCGCCCTTGATAGCCTTCTCGTTGACTGTGTCCAATTTCTCGAGCTCCTGGTGTACGAAGTTGGTCCTCGGACTGCGTCTCGCGTTGTTGAGGAAGTAGAACTCGCAAGTGATAATACCAACGAGCCGTATCTTCTTTTGTAAATCTTCCGGTATAGGATTTTCGCTGCATTCCCCTGTATATACATCAATATGCTGTTTTGTAAGAAGTAAAGACGTCCTACTGATATCAAGTGGTGAGAAGCGATATGACTTTGTCGACCAATTCCTACCATCGTTCGAGATTGGCCCGGAACTGACATGACCCTCTTGGTTGTATAGTTCACAGGGACGAATAAGAGGTTCGTCGATGTCCTTGCCGTCCATTGTCACGATCATAGATACAGGGCGGTCGGCAGGAAACGGCGCCTTGAACGAGTAGTGAATCTCGAAGGCCGAATTTGAATGTACTTCGATGTAGCTTTCCGAAGTGGCTTCCGATACGGCTGCGTGCTGGTCGACATACTCGCGAAGTGGATTTCCATTGACGTAGATCTGAATCTCGAGCCCTGAGACTTCATCTACGATTGCCATGGCGCCAGGTACAGATTTAGGGCGACAAAGGAAACGAAGAGTGATGAGAGAAAGATGTCCGTGGGAGTGGTAACATTTCCAAAGATGTATTGAAGGTGTTTTCTGTGGAAGAGCCTTCACCTCAAATGAGGATGGAGGCATTGGCGGATGGAACGTGAGGTGAAGGTGATTATCGGCAGGTGAGAGACGGTAATTCTGAAAGTTCTCATCTCCGGCGCGTCACTGAATCGCGCGTCCATAGCCATAAGATGTAATTTGGGCATGCTAGATTCCTCGATGCTTCCCTTCTAGCGACCTCGGCCTTAGTGCGAAGACCACACGCCCCACTCAACGAAAAATAGGATGAAGGGAAGTAGAACGCCGTGGGATATTTGAGAAATGTGAGAAAAATGAAGTGAGGAAAATCGACCACCCATGTCACTGACAATACCCCAACTGACGCTTGTGCACCATCACAAGCACCAAACCCGCCATGTTGGCCAATATTCGTCGACCTGATTACTTGAGTCGCTCAATAGTCCAAAGCTACCACCTCATCTTTAGCCCTAGGGCCACGGCGTACCTTCTCCACTCACTATTGTTGGCTGAGTACGAACCCATTGAACTTCGTCGTCGTCTACGAGGATGGTATCACCGGCCTGGCTTTCTTCTTCGCGTTCGCGCTTAATCCTAATAGTGTCTTGCCTCTATTCCTGTGACCGGTCAGTCATAAGTGTATGATCGCTTCTGAGATGTCCTATCGCTTACGCGTACGCGCTTGAGCTCCGCCCTCATCTCTTCCTCAGTCATGTCTTCCGGATCTTTGTCCTCATCCTCATCCTCTGACTGCTGTGACGGGTTTGGAGTACGTGGGATAATACCAATAGACTTGAGCGCATCTGCACGGTTATTAGCGGACGAAATGGCTTGACCTGACATACTTGTGACTGACCAATTGATCTATAGAGAAAAGTGAAGGTCGCAAAAGGCTCATTTCCTGTAGTCTCTACTTCGTTAAAAGTGATGCTGTCGCGCTGTACTGGTATAGTGAGGCTATTGAGCAAGTCAGTGCCGACGCTTTTCATGGGTGTAACAAATATACCTAGTTTGGTGAGACAATTCATCGCCCTGTGCTGCAGCTGTTTTGTGCAACGCCTGTTCACTGAGAGAATCAAACTCGTTGTTTGCAAGCTGAGGTACTTCGGCTGGCTCCACTGCCTCTAGATGCTCAATCAAGTAGAAGTAAAGCACGATACGACCGGTAGTTGTCAGCCGGTCAGCAACCTCTTTGGTGACCGGGGTATTGGTCTCGTCTTTTCGTAGTCAGCTAGTACCAAGGAAGATGCCGATGAACAAGAGCTCACTAGTCTTTAGCTCGGCGAATTGGAAGCCTTGAGTAAAGCTACGTCCATCAGCGGACGAAGTAGATCTCGAGCATAAGTATCCCTCGCAGCCTTCTTTACCGCCCCACTCAATGAACGGAGCTTGCACGTAGTTGCCATCCAGAAGTATATCCATTTGGATTGCTGAAGGAGGGGTGAATGGTGGACGATAAAGATAGCGGATAGAGAAGTCGATAGCTGGTGGCGCTTCGATGTATTTGGTAATTGAAGTCGTAACCTCGCCGTCCTCGACACCAGCATATTCGTGTTCTGATAGCGCTACTGCGTCAACCTCGACAGTGACCTCAAGGCCTGAGATACCGGTTGTGATAGCCATGGTATCCGTGAGTGCGAAGTGCAAGAGAGTCGTGACAGGAAGGTAAAAGTTAAATCGACGATTATATGAGTTGCAGTCACCTGAGATTTTCAAGCTAATTAAGCAAGTGAGAGAAGTCTATACTGACAGGGAAGACAGACCAGATAAGACGTTGAGAGGAGAAGATTTTTTCTGAAGACATGAAAGATTCGCAATCGATAGAAATGCCTCTAGTAAATCACTCTCGTCAGGCTATATCTTCAGGCTGTAGCCTAAGTCAAATCGACAATCTCGATACCGTCCTCGTTTAGAGTAATGGGAAGCCTCCTGCGCTTAGCAGATACAAAAGAGACGTTGTCATCATCCTGATCCTCCATGACAGCGGTACTGCTTCGTTCTCGCTTGAATCTTTCTCGCTTGACACTTGGCGCGGCGTCTTCTCGTTCACGATGACGCCGAAGTAATTCGTGGGACTCCTCTAGAGTAAGGATATCGCCGTCACGATCTTCGAGCGGTACTGGACTGGGATTGCGGGGGATGATGAGAAGAGACTGAAGGGCAGCTGTATATACGTTAGCTGCGTGATTTACGGAGTCCTGAATTAGATTCACATACCCTTAGACCGGTACTTGAATTTGAAAGTGATGAAGGGCTTGCGATCATTGTTCATGTATCGGCATGTCAGCTGCGTAGTCTTCGGTATAACTTCTGGAGCACGCAGACTATAATTGGTTAGTCTATATTGCAAGCCTCCTATGCCTATCCCTCTTTACATTGTTTGATGGGACAAGGCTCTGCCCTTCAGAGCCTTCTCCGGTATGTTGCCAAAGTCCGAGGTACTCATTGCGAATACCTCCAGCTTGCTGGAATTGCGAACGTTCTAGACGAAGAAACCATGGACATTAATCCCTCCCATCTCTTTCATGTCTCTCATAAGCTGATCTCCAGCGGAACGGACGTCAGAATCATCTGGGAGGAAGTCAGATCTAGCGATATATCAATGTTCAGCCAGAATACCAATTCGGAGGGCAGAGAAAGCAAATTTGGTTATGAACCGCCGCTCGTTCTCTGTATAAGCTGAGCCTTCAACCAGTATCTCGTAGCTAGTACCTCTGAAGTCCTCCTGCTTTGCGATACGATCTCGAACGTGCCGCCCATCTACATAAGTTCGAAATAAGACTGGGTTGTCTGGCCATTTTGGAGTCATCTCAAAGCGAATGTCGAAGGTCGACCCGGAAGTGGCCTCGATGTATTTTGTCGCCGCATTCGTCGAGCTCTCCGCCTCATCGTCGTCATATTCCTGTAGGACGGCTTCAGCAACACGAACTTCGCCCTTGATTCCAGGGTAGTCTGTAGTGATCGCCATGGTGTTTGCTTGGTAGTACAGTGCCTGATAACAGAAAATCTGACAGGAGCAAGCTCAAACGTGTTGGGAATAGGGAAGGTGTGAGCGTGAGCGTGAGCGTGAGAAGATGAGTGAATGGTGAAAGTGTGGAAGTGAGTCGTCAGGACAAGGGTCATTGGGGTCACACGAATACTGGGGTTACACAACAGTTGGGATTACACCAACGTCTATCGTTACGTGATTACCACTGTATCTTTGAGACGAGGCGCGAAAGCGCGCTGCCGCGCGAGCGGTCCAAATACTGAACCTCACGGAAAGAGCTTCCGAAAGCTCGACAGTTCTGGGTCGAACGCAAACTATCGTGGAATGGCTCCACAATTAGCCTCGATGATACAGTGAGCATTTTCAGAGTCCTTAAGAAGTCACATGCAGAAACTCAGTCAGCGTATATACAAAAAGTCTATTCTTCTCCATACTCCAATAAGGGTTTCCTCCTGTACATATACCGTCCGCTTCCAGATGCTCTTGCAATACAGAACACCATTCCTTCCTCCAAAACAAAGTAAAAAAACAAGAGTGCAATCCGTCGAACAGTAGCCCAAGCCGGGTACATGATTTGTAATAATGTCAAAACATTACGCCAAGTGGCGAAACAGGGCACAAAGATCAAGGCTCGGGTCTGAAAATGATTCGCAGCCGGTACGCCAGTGCAATGATATCCGCCCGCCAGATGCTGTTGTACGTTAACAAAAACCGAAGGAAACGCTATGCAGTCGTTATCATGGGAATATGCCTCCATGCAATGGTATCATTCGCGGTTATGGATTAGGCCGTAATTGTTGGAAGATCGCCATGGTAGTAATGCTGTGATGGATGCGAGGTAATGTGGGGAGGGCGATCGCGGTCGATGGTCGAGTAAGGCGTTGCTAGATGCCAGAGAAGCAGCCATGTGTTCAGGGAGAAAAGCCTGGGTCCACTTCGCTGTCGGCACAGCTAGTGCCTGGTAGTTGTCGATCTACCATGCACCTATGCTTGCGGGAGAGCCGGTTCCATAGTTTCCACTCAACAACTGTTGGCGGATGGACATGGCATCGTTGGACCCACCTGCAGCAGGGTTGGGCGTCTCTGTGCCCATCCAGCCAAGACCTCCACGTAGCTCGTTGACTGCTTCCTGCATCTTTCCGCCAGAAATCTCATTGTGCTTCGCAATCTTCTGGTCCCATCCGCCATATTGGAGCTGTATTCCGCCCGCCTTCTTCGCTGCCTCCTGGATGACTATCGCCCACGCTTTTGCCATTTCCTCGTATGCCTCCTGCTTGTGTCGGTTGTGTTGATAGGTGTCCCAGTTGGGTAAGCGATGGATAATCTCAGTGGCGCCGTCAAGGAAGGCGAGTGATGTAGCGGGTTGATGTTCGTGGGGTGGAAGGAAGTGAGGTGTGAAGTCTTTGAGTGAGTCGAGCAATTCGTCAAGCTGTTGCCGCACCCGGTTGTATGCGTAGTCGGACGATGCACGGCCGCCGAAGGGGAAGGCAGCCTGGAACGCCGCCTCGTACTTTGACAGAACCTCCAATGTTGACTGTATGCTTGGCCGCGGCGCGGTGGTGACAACCTCGTTGCCAATATCAGGGTGGCGCTGGCAGATGGACTGCAGGAGGTTGCGCATCTCGTCGGGGCTCAGGGTCTCGAGGAGGCGAGGCAGGGGGAGGGGTCGGCCTGAGATGTTGGTTCGCATGCGCTTCATGCCTCGCGGCGCAGGTCGTGGGAGTACGGCGGGCGATGTGGATGGCGATGCACTCATGCGGTCGTCGTCTCCGGCGCTGCCATCGTCCTCGGCTTTCCGCTTGCGGCCTGTCATTGCGGGCGTGGGGGCGAAGACTGCAAAGGGAGCGAAGTCAGTAGCCGACACGGGGTTGGGTTGTTTAGAGCAGCGAGCGGACTTACGGTTGCGGGTGGGAGAGCGGCGGTTGTTGTTCAAGAGATGAGGGGGCGTGAAGGTCTGGTACTGTACGCTCATGACGAGGAAGGGCCCGCAAACGCAGTGAAATCGCACGCCTGCTTTGTTGGGAGCCGGATAGCGATGTCTTGAGGATGATGAAGAGGGCGAGGCTCTCGTTGGGTCGGCCGTAGAGCGGTGTCAGGTGTGTTGTTGTTGCCGTGGTGGAGACAGCAGAGCCATACGAAGGCCCAAGAATATGCTAACAGCTATGTCCGTGCACACAGCCAATCACGTCACATGTCACAGATATCCAGCGCAGCACTTTCGCTCTCATCTGGAGTTGAGGTTGTATCTTCTCGCCACTTTTGCTTCATCCTAAAAGTTGCCCATTCACGTTTTGACATCGCGTGGTTGCCTGTTGGAAAAGCAAGGGCAGCGGCTACGGCGGCACTAGCTACATCACATCACATCACATATCACCATGCATATCAGAGAGAATGTATGTACGTGGGGGGATCCTCCACCGTGGTGCAAGCCCGCAGTATCAGATCTAGTGAATTTCTATCCAGGACGCACTCACGCCTTGCTTCTCTTCTGAGATGCATAGCGCCCAAGGCTCCTCGCGTGCGCCTGAGACATGGGCATGTCCGGTGGCGCTTTGATTCAACCGCATAAAGGAGAACGCCATGCGAGTGCCACACTTACCTGCTCGAACAATGATGCTATCAAAGACTCCCACCAACACCGTAATATACAAAACGTGCTCCACACATTATAGGTACAGGGACTGGGCTGCGACCAGATCCCTACGGACAAGCTCCAGCGCTGCCGTGAACTTTTGTTCAAGCTCTTCGCTGCCCATGACTTTGGACGCTTGAGCTATTTGTCGGAGCAGTTCTTCCAGTCGCCTGAAGAGACGGATGAGACTTCCCTCGTACACGTCGGTCATTTTGCTGCAAACGTTAGTCGTTGTTCAATGCGGATCAACCGAAGCAACATACCAAATCTCTGCGAACGTCGCACCCTTGGACCAGGCGTAGACGACCTCCATCAGCTCATACTTGAATGACTTGAGGTACTCCTCTTCATTGACAGTCAGCTTGCTCTCTTGTGACATCTTCGCAATCACCCTAGCCTGTTGCTGGATCTCGCGATACGGTTTGGCGAGCTCTTCCTTGAGCGCCGGCACTTCCTGCGTCTTCTCCTCGAAGATGAAACAACTGAGACAAGCAGCACATTGCTCTGGCGTGAGCTCGTTGAAGAAACGATTGAAGAGCAGCTCGCTAAGCACAAGCTCATCTCCAGTGCTGATCTCGCAAGCAACACGGGCTTTGAGCTGGACGACGTCCGCATCGTCAATGAAGCCAAGTCGTCGCAACACTCGTTTCCTGCTCTTCAGCTCATCCAGTTGGATGACTGACAGGGCGCTCGCAATTTCCTTCCTGATGTTCTTGATCTTCTCACCGATTGCAATCTTCTGCGCGTATTGACTGTATAGTTCGGGTAATCTGGGCGAGTTGTGCAGGGGATTCGAGAGCAGGCGGGACTCTAGAACTTCGATTTTCTGCGTTGTGTTAGGGAGAGACATATGTGTATGATGGCAAAGCTTACCCTTAAGAGTCTCTTAAAACTGTCGTCCTTGATGTTCATGTTCTCAATGGGATCTAGAATGGCAATTCCGTCGGGGAAGCGCTTCTTGACCTCGCTCAGCGCTTTGCGAACGTTGTTCCTTTGCTCAGTCGACTTGAGTTCGTTGGGCAGGAATACTCGGAGATGGCCAATCGATTCAATGCAGTTCAGGACTACAGGCACAACCTCCATCTTGCCTTTGTCTCCGGCCGCAGGTGGTCGCACACCGGGTGGCAGACCATCGTTGACCGCAGGAACAAACTTGGTATCGCTGCTGACGGGCAGTAGCACGTCAACAATGTACGACTCTTGAGGTTGCAGGACTTCTCCCTTATTAGCCTTGCGAGCAGTGTACGCTACAACAGCGCCCCAGCCGAAGTCGTAGTCTTTGAACTTGATCTTTACCAACCGACCACCTTGCAAGAATTGCAAGCAGTAGTTGGGCTGCATGATCACATCGCGCATGTCTTTAGTGTGTGTATCCAGCTGCTGCCGCAGATTGTAGTAGTCTTTGATTGCAGGCTCGTCAACAATGTTCGTGTTCGCCTTCTCTTGCTCAAGCTCTTCAAGTTCTACGATACTGTTAGTAGTTGTACCTAGATATCACAGACACAAACTTACGTTTCTCAAGATTGGAGACACCCGCTGTGCTCTGGAACTGGAAGAAACACCTCTCCAGCATAAACTCGGGAGATATGCCCTCAACTCGCATAAGGTTGAGAATCATGTTGTAACCCAAGTGGAAAGCGGAGTTGAGATTGTCCTGTTGACCGCGGACGATTTCCTTCGCCACAGCCGGCTCCATCTGCTCGCCGATCATCATGATGACAATACCACGGTCATCGAGACCACGACGACCGGCTCGACCAGACATCTGGATGAACTCGGAAGGCGTAACCCATCGCTGCGATACTCCATCGAATTTGCGCACACTGGTAAACACGACTGTCTTAGCCGGCATGTTCAATCCAATAGAGAATGTCTCAGTGGCGAAAAGCACCTTGATCAGCCCCTCCTGGAACAAAATCTCGATAGTCTCCTTCAGGATAGGTAGCAGTCCAGAGTGATGAACACCAATACCCCTTCGGAGTAGGGGAAGGATGTGTTGAATCTGGGGTAGTTGGCGGTCCTCCTCTGAGAGCATCTCGATGGCGCTGTTAAAGACCTTTGTGACCATGGCCTTTTCCGAGTCGTCGTTGAACGCTAGCGAGCTCATGGAGAGTGCGTAATTCTCGCATTCCCTCTTACTGAAACTGAAAACAATGACCGGGTTGTAGCTTTTGATCATGATCATCTTAACAATCTTGTAGATATCCGTCTGATCCTTGTTGCCGCCCGTGTTGGTTTTTTTGTCTTTGCCTTTGCCTTTACGTTTCGCCATAAAGTCCTTAGCCTCACTTCCACCCTTGTCCGCAATAGACGACATGGCCTTCTGGAAGTTCTCTTCACGGAACACACCCTTTTCGTCTACCACCAGATGTATACCCTCGGCACCAGCAGGGAAGAAATAGTGTTGCAGGGGCGTCGGACGGAAATCGGTGTAAACGACGTGGCACGGTTGGCTATGGGTTTTCGTGATCCATTCTGCGAACTGCATGGCATTGGGAATGGTGGCGGAGAGGAAGACGTAGCGGACCTTATCGGGAAGCAGAATGATGGTCTCTTCCCAGACAACACCTCTCGATTTGTCGCGTAGGTAGTGGACCTCGTCAAATACGACCCAAGCTACTTCGCGCATAATCTCAGAACCTCTGTACAACATAGAGCGGAGAATCTGCAGATATTAGTGAATACCATTGGCGAGCTCTTTCGATACATACCTCAGTCGTCATAACCAGACAGGTTGCGGTGGGGTTGATGGTGACATCACCAGTCATAAGGCCGACGTCGCCAAACTCGGCCATGAATTCTCGGTATTTTTGGTTACTGAGCGCCTTGATAGGACTGGTGTAGATGACTCGCTGATTGTTCTTGAGACATTGTGCGATGGCGTATTCTGCCACAACTGTCTTTCCGGCCGAGGTATGCGCAGACACTAGAACACTCTCGTTTCGCTGTATCGATGCGATAGAGACCTGCTGGAAAGGATCTAGGGTGAAAGGCCATGTGCGCGCGGGCTCGGCTGGGGCTTTGTGCTCGGAGATGGGAACATAGTCGTAGTCTGGCGGGAGAGCGACCTGATGGCGGACTTGATGCGAGAGCACCACTGCCTGGCCTTCTTGCGACTGCGCCTGTAGCCCGGCGGCGGCGGCGACCTCGCGCGACTGCTCAGTCTCGAAGTCATCGGTAACGATGGGCTCGGGCTCTGCATCGCGCTTCTGCTTCTTCTTCAGAGTCTGCGCATTGCCGTTCTCATTCGTCGTCTCGGTCGTCTCTGCGGGTGCATCGGCCATAGCGGTGTCCTGAACCGGCTCGGGTGACTTGACAGTGCCATTCGCCTGGCGCTTCTTGCTCTTCTTGGGCGCGGTGTCCTTGGAAGGGCCGCCCTCGAAGACGTCGAACATGTCGTCGTCCATGGTGGGTGGTTGTGTTTCGCTCTATGCGCAGTTGGATGCTATTATCTCGCGGGTGTGGCTGGCGGGTCAGACAGGCGGTTTTGACCTGTCGCGAAAGATTATGGTATGCAAGCGCGACCGAGATCAAGAAAGTTTCACTGATGATCCTGACTAAGCGGATCGTCGCCAAGACATGGCCGTGGAAGCTGCAACTCATCGAACCACCGCGACCAGAACTCCGCAACCTCTCCACTCTACAACACCGCCGAAGTACGCTGCAACTCGACGCCAATTGCGATCTACGCTGACCTCTAAAGATGCTCGCCCGTGCTACCTTCCGCGCCGCCTCGGCCCCAACTCTCGTCGCCCGCCGCGGCTTCCAGTCCACCCGCGCCCAGTTCGCCAGCCCATACCACTACCCCGAGGGCCCGCGCAGCAACTTGCCATTCGACCCATTGAAGAGGGGCTTTGCCTTCAAGTACTGGGGATTCATGGGTGAGCTTTGGCGCGTCGCAATGCCAGGTCCAGACTAACAGTCGCAGCAACCGGATTCTCCCTGCCATTCCTCCTTGCTGGTGAGGCACCTGATTCAATCCCACCTGTCGTGAATATACATCTAACCATACTCTCACTACAGTCTGGCAGACGAAGAAGAACAAGCCTTAGATGCAGTCACTCGAAGTATGGGCACGATACTGGGTTACTGGGAGGATGCGGAATTTGTAGAATATCGGAGGGTCGCTCGGACACCTGTATAGACACTACAGCATCAATTTCATTGTCTGTATTCCACCATGCTTCAGTGTATGCAGTTGACAATGTTCGACGTTGTTCATCAATGTCCCCTCGGTCAACCAAAGTGGCTATTTGAGCTGAGACGTGGGGTACTGTCGCTGGCCCCTTGATCGAATGGAACAGTGGAACAAGCAAGTTGATTCATGCAGGTAACCTTTTGAGAAGCGAATGGTAAGAGGACGTAAACCATTTTGCAACACCTGGATGACGATGAGAGGCGTTGTTGCATCACTCTTCGGTAGAAGCTCGGCGCTAGTATCACCAAAAATTCGGAAGCGCGATTCTGCCAACAGGCTAGTGACCAGTCATTCAAGCAACAGGACGCAACATTGCAACGAACACAGCCCATGATTCTACGGCAATGCGAAACCTAAAGATTGTGGGAAGGTCGCTTCTGCGGTTTTCTGGAGACGAACCACTACCGCTAACTGCGACTGCCTGGGACGCCGCATCTGATGCACTGGTATGCGCTTTCGGTCCCTCGGAATCACGTGCGACCATCGAACTCAAGAGACTACACTATGCGCGCAACGGTGTTGAGGAGAAACTCGAAAGCATCGCATCGTGGGATGCGCCGTGTCCGCTGCCCTCGCTTACCCATGACTCAATCTTAAGTTTGCACCATTTCGCCGACACTTCGACATCATGTTTGATTTTGGCCGGAGGGGATATCGTCCTCGTAAGAGAAAACCCAACATCTACGGAAGAGCTAGTTGAGATCGTGGGATCGGTGGATGCTGGCCTCTCGGCTGCTGCGTGGTCGCCAGATGAGGAACTCCTCGCCATCACTACACAGGCAGACACCTTACTGTTGATGAGTCGCGATATCGAGAACATTGCAAGCGTCAACCTCACTCCTGAAGATGTGAACGTCTCCAGTCACGTCTCGGTAGGGTGGGGAAAGAAAGAGACGCAGTTCAAAGGCAAACGAGCCAGGGCGCTACAGGACCCAACAGTACCGGAAAGCATCGACGAGGGTGTACTCAGCCCCCTGGACGACAGATCTGTCACAATCAGCTGGAGAGGCGATGGCGCATGGTTCGCAGTAAGCAAGATCGAGGAAGAGCGCCGTCGCATGATCCGTGTGTACTCCCGCGAAGGACAACTGGACAGTGTAAGCGAACCTGTGGATGGCCTCGAAGGGGCCCTCAGTTGGCGACCATCAGGCAACTTAATTGCCAGTACTCGCCGTACCAGCGACAAAGTTGAGGTGGTCTTTTTCGAGCGGAACGGTCTTCGTCATGGCCAGTTCGATCTTCGATTTACTGTTGAGGAGTTAGCTGCCCTCTCAGTTCCATTGACACTCAAGTGGAACAGTGATTCTAACGTCATTGCTGTATCCTATCCCGACAAGGTGCAACTCTGGACGATGAGCAATTACCACTACTATCTGAAGCAGGAACTTCGATTTCCCGAGGCTTCTCCTCGGACAGTCATGTGCGATTGGCACGCCGAGCGTCCGCTTGCTGTTGCGCTTTCGACGTCAGGTATCTCATCTGCCCGTTCCTATCAGTACGTCTGGCTAATTACAGATTAGATGCGCTGCAAGTATTAGAGTATGCCTCTACGATTTCGGCTGGCTCAGTTGCTCCACCAAATGACTTTGGTATGGTCGCTTCGATAGATGGATGTGAGTAGCTACCTTCCCCTTGAAGCATCGTTTGGTACTGATGATTGCAAGTGTCTCTAAAACTTACGCCGCTTCGCATTGCGAACGTACCACCTCCCATGTCATTACACACTGTGGCTCTAGAGTCGAAGCCTATGGATGTTGCACTTTCGAAATCGGGCAACCGTCTAGCAGTACTTTCCGACAGCGACCTTGCAGTATATGCCCTCGACCTGAACAAGCGGCCAATACCAAAACCTAGTCTCCTTTGGCGCAGTGACGCGGTAAAAGATCACTCCCCGCGTCATGTCACATTTCTTGGCGAGGACCAGATGTTCGTACTAACCGATAGCTGGGACGAGGAGGAAAGCTCTCTCTGGCATTCCGAGGGAGATATGTTGCTGCCCCAAGGACCCATAATGGAGGCTGAAGGCACGTCTCTGCTTCTTTCGAGTGTCGATCAGGAAACGCTGTACACCCAGTTTCAGAGTGGTGCCTTACATCAGGTTGTGGTCGATGAGACTACATCGGATCTGCCACCGCAGATGTCTCTTATCAACAAATTCCCCTCTTTTGCACCCGAGGTTCAGCTTGTCAATGTTGAGGGTCAGGTACGTATAACATCTGTCAAGTTGTATTGACAATGGCTGACAGGTGCAGACACTGGCGTTTGGTTTGACGAAAAGCGGAGTGCTGTATGCCAATGAACGCATATTAGTTCGCAACTGCACATCGTTCGTGGTCACTACCGCTCATCTTATCTTCACAACGACGCAGCATCTCCTCAAATTTGTTCATCTTGCTAGTGTAGATGGTGAGCGCCGCTTGGATTGTTGAAGTCGCCTACATACTAATATTTTCCAGATCTAGAGGTACCTGCAGACGAACCACAAAAGGATGAAAGATGCAGAAGCATCGAGAGAGGAGCAAAGATCGTCACGGTCATGCCAACAACGTACTCAGTCGTACTACAGATGCCAAGAGGTAACCTGGAAACGATATACCCACGAGCACTTGTGCTTGCTGCTATACGCCGAAGTATTGAGGCAGACCGATACGATGAAGCATTCTTTGCTTGTCGCAACCAGCGCGTGGATTTCAATATCCTACATGATCATGATCCGGAGCGTTTCATGGCCAGTCTGGAGAGGATTGTTTCGCAGATCAAGAAGATAGAGCACATCGATTTGCTCTTAGCACAGCTCCGGTAGATGGCCACCTCCATGATCAGATATACATCAGCTAACGGATACAGTAACGAGGACGTATCGGAAACCATGTACAAGGAAACACTGAAGACAAAGGAACTGGCCACAAAGTCAAAGCTGTCACAGGATCAAGTCGACAATAAAGTCAATCGCATATGCGACGCTTTCTTGGACGTACTAGAGAAGTCACAGTACAAGGATGTGCACCTGCAGAATATAATCACGGCCCACGTCTCCAAAACACCGCCAGCTCTGGAGACTGGTCTAGCTATGATCGGTCGTCTGCAAGGTGAGTCTTGCTCATTCACTGGTTGATCAATCTACTAACGTCTTGCAGCATCAAGTGACCCGCTTACTGACAAGGCTGCCGAGCACATTTGCTTTCTTGCAGACGTCAACCAGCTCTATGATACATCATTGGGACTTTACAATCTAGATCTCGCCCTGCTCATCGCTCAACAATCACAAAAGGTACATCTGACATATCGCCCAACAAAGCATTGTCTAACTCTCACAGGATCCGAGAGAATATCTTCCACATCTCCAGTCTCTACAAGATCTCCCCGAAATCCGTCGCAAATTCAAGATTGACGACCAGCTCGGACGCAGAACGAAAGCACTCACACATCTCAAAGAACTCCAGGCCTATGATGAAGTACAGGAGTATGTACAAAAGCACGACCTTTACCCCGAGGCCTTGAGCATGTACCAATACGACAACACTCGCTTGAGAGAAATCATGCGGTTGTACGCAGATTTCTTGAGCAGCAACAACAAGAACAAAGAAGCTGCGCTGGCGTACGAGTATCTCGGCGATCATACATCCGCTTGGCCATGTTACCGGTCAGCCAATCTCTGGCGCGAAGCCTTATCGTCTGCTGTTCTCGCCGATGTAAGCGCTGATGAGCTGTCGACCATTGCCACGGACCTCGCCGATGGTCTCGCAGAATCCAAGGACTACCTATCCGCTGCATCAATAACACTGGACTATCTGTCTGACCTTCCGTCCGCAGCGCGTCTCCTGTGTCGTGGTTGCCACTTCGCCGAAGCAATTCGTGTCGTCACGCTCCGCCGCGAACCTGCTCTTATTACCGAAGTCATCGATCCCGGTCTCATAGAACGCAGCGCAGATATGACTGAGTTCCTCGCCGACATGAAAGGCCAACTACAAGCTCAAGTACCTCGACTCAAGGAACTCCGGACCAAGAAAGCAGAAGATCCGATGGCGTTCTACGAGGGCATGATTGACGGCCCGGCCGATGCGAACATCCCTGACAACATCTCTCTGGCGCCCCCGGACACAACGAGCGGTGGTACATTCATGACCAGATCCACAAATCAGACTGGCACAGTAAATACGACGACTACACGCAAGACAAGCAAGAATAAGCGCAGGGAGGAGAGGAAGCGTGCACGTGGTAAGAAGGGCACAGTATATGAGGAGGAGTATCTTACCAACTCGATCGAACGCCTCATCGAGCGTATCAACAGCATGCAGGAAGAAATCCAGCGCCTTGTCGAAGGTTTGTTTAGGAGAAGTATGAGAGAGCGTGCTGATGCCGTGTCCAATGCTGTCAACGAGGTCATGGAACGGTGTCAGGAGGCAATCAAGGAGATGTACCCAGCTGTGGCAGTTGGAGCCTCCGAGAGTGCTAATCAGCTGCCAGTTGGCGTTGAAGGTGAGGCATTGAAGCCTACTGGCGGAGACGCGACGCTTTGGGATAGCTTGCAAGAGGTGGGGAAGAAGAGAGAGGCGCCAGTGATTAAAATGTTTGAGAAGCTTAGTCTTCTAGGGTAGGGTATGCTATCTTGAAGTAGCTAGTTTCGTGGACCTAGGAAGGTTATAGCTTCTTTTTGCAAGACATTGAAGCCTTTGCACATGATGGATCATACAAGCTTTAGCCTTGAATTGGCTCCCTATAACTGCTCATGTACGCTACTATCACTATGAGGTGTCAGTTCGAGGTCTTACCTGGCGGGTAGCATTTGGTGGAGACACAAGTAGACTAGGACGTGCGCCAGACTAGAACGCGCGTCTGTAAGCCAAGGCGGTGTATTCAGCCGAAAGAATCACTCCGAGTTCGTACATCCTGTGTACACTAATCAAAACATGACTATGGTGAGTAATCTTGAGAGTGAAAAGATTGAACGTTTAAAAGAAGCGGGATCTTACACTTTAGTTGCTGTTTGGTCCGTGGGTAGTGTACGAAAACGAGCTTTCCACAACTTCAGCAACCTAATCGATCCTAAAAATAAATAGGTCTTGTCAAGTGCAAGCTATCAGAAGATATGTGCTCAGTTACCTGTTGTCAAAACGATCATAATCACGCTGGGCCGAATGAGTTACGCGTGTCACGGCAAGGCTGGATTGACCCGAGGACGACCGAAGCACACCGTCACTTACAGCAGGTCCAGCGGTATTCCACTCAAGAACGGACTAGTTAGCTGGCACTGCTTGTAGTTTTTGACGATCGATGTCAGCAAGTACGATGTGCTATACTCAGCCATGTGGAGTATATAAGCACCTTCCACAATAGAGCTTCGGATACTCCAATACTCCGCAAAACTTATAAAATCATCACCCATCATTTTACAAAATGAAGCTTCTCATCATTGCGGCTATAATTTCGAGTATTGCATCGGCGCAGGGGTCATCAGGGGCAAGTTAACTCATCTTTCGTGCTCTAGATACCTATCTCATGGCTAACTGAATGAAGCTCTGCTACGGAGACGATAGTCCAGCTGGAGTTTGCGTTCCTAACGACCAACGACCTGACCAGCCATGTTCCGGAGTATGTGACAATGACACTCTCTTTCCTGACTCGAGTAATCATATCATACTTACTCTTTTTCTAGACTTCACCTTGCAGAGGCAACACGAATGATTGCACAATTGATGCTGCGAGCGATGGATTGGCAAGCTGCACATAGATTGGCAAGAGCTTGGAAAAGCGACGGGACTAGAGTTCGGAGACAAACACCAATACTTACGAAGGACCTTCGAGTAGTGTCGCTCGTCTCGAATCTCATGCGTGGGAATGGATGGGGGCATTGGCCAGCAGAGAAACCTCTCCGCCTCCTGCTTCGGATGCGTACCGGTGGTCTGTCACCGCTCACACTTCTTGCCCCATCCTCACTAAATGTCTTGAGCTTACTATCTCGCACTTACCGACCTTTTTGTCTTGTTCTAAATGCTTGTGACTCAACAGCTTTTTTGTCGCTTCGTCAATTTCACAACTCGACACTAATACTGAGAATAGATACCAGCTCATCGACTCACCCCTTCTTACTGACCTACGATCCGCAGATTTCATTTAAGAACTACAACATTAGTAGCTGACAAAGGGCGAAGCGCATTAGCACGAGATCATCAAGCGTACGCAAGTGAAAACATCAGAAGGAATAATCAATGCCTTCGCTAAAAGGGTTTTCTAGAAGTAAAATATGTACATAGATCAAGGGTAGTCGTTTTTTGCTCTTCCACAGATACTGAGGTCAAAGTGAACGGCGAAGTTTCAACTCATCTGGACTGGATCCAACTAGCAAGTCGAGGCACCGTTCGGTGTACCACTCTTGTAAGCGCCACTAGCGTCACCCAGGCACTCAGCTAAAACAACAAGTTAGCAATGTCTCAATGATAACAGACTGATAATCAAACTCACCAACAGTAACCAACTTGAGATTGTTGTTCTTCGCCCAGCTGATCAACCACGGCGTAAGGGTGTTGACCGTAGAAGCATAAGTCTCGTGCATGAGAGGGATATGCCCGTTACCGCTGGTACCAGCTTGTTGGAACTTCTGCTGGCTCTGCTGGGGTGTCTTGCCGTTCCAGTCCTCGGAGTCGACATCATCGGTGATGACGCGGTATCCAAGCGTCTTCATTGTTGGGAGCACGTTTCCGCCAGTGGCGAGGTAAGGAGGGCGCATGTAGGTTGGCTTCACACCGATAATGTTGACGAGGGCTTGCTCAAGACGCGTCATCTGGGATGTAAGGTCGTTGGTCGAGAGGGAGCCGAAGTTTTGCGGGTGGGACCAAGTGTGGGATGCGATCTGGTGGCCAGCTTTGTAGGCATTCTGGAGAGCGCTCTTCTGGTTGTAGATACATCCTACGCCTGTTAGGAGGTGCTCTTAGGTGAGTATCATGATGAATGCTATGCGTACCATATAGCGAACCAGTAACAAAGAAGGTGCCCTTAGCTCCACCAGCGGTCAAGGTGTCGACGAGCTTTTGTGTGTACTGAGATGGGCCGTCATCGTAGGCGAGAGCAATTTGACCAGGTGCTGCGCACTTTGTGATCACTTGGCCCGCCGCAGGTCCAGCCCGCTTCATCATATTGAGAGGATCTGGAATGGGCCCAGCGATGGCCACCGCAGCGATTGTCGCAACAATGAGAGACTTGAGACCCATGATGATAGAAGAACGACGACTGTGTTTCTGAAATGCTCGAATTGTTTCTCAAGGCCTACCATCTTTATGTATAAACGCCAAGGCTCCGCCCGCTGTCCTGAGGTCATTCCCGTGAAGCTTAGGGACTCTTGGCTCGTTTATAGTAGACGACATGCTTAAACCGGGTCATCGGAAGCGGCGAAAGGACCCTGTCCGGCAGATGTGTGTTCAGGTGTTTGGTCGCAATATCAGCGTTATCGTGGGTTCGCCACCGTTTTTGGGGCGCAAAGTTCGGCCGCAAGTGAGCGCAGATAGACGGGAGTCCGCAGCCTTTCGCGCAACAGGTCGTGCAAAGGCACAATGATTCAAATTCAGATCGATGAAGCTGTGCCCTTCACCCGAAGCATGTTCAGATAAATTCGCCGTGTTTCATTCCCTACCGGTAGATTGCCACCGGCTAATGTCAAAATCCGGGGAAGCTTGGAACGCGCCAAGTGGAGCCGCGTGACATGTCGCGAAATTAGAACCCAGGTTGAGAAGGGTGCTCCGAACTAAATCAGGCGTGGCGCATAACTGCAATGCACTGCGACATCGCACTTCATGTGCAGCTTCTTTTCAGCCATTGCTAATCTTGTATCGGGTTGATGCAGTAGCTGTACGCAACTAAAGCTATGCGAGATGCCTATGGGAGTCAGAAGTCTCTACGTAAAATCGGGGATGTATGACCAACTGTTGCATGCTGAATTCAATGATGCCTGGCGGCCCATCAGACCATGCATCATACTGCTCATTGGGGTACGACGTGCAGTCAGGTAGCACGACCGGCATCCTTTCGACAAACCTAGAAAAGAGCGACTCATCCGATGGCAGAGATGGCTGCTGGAAGACCGAATTCGTCGCAGAATCGACAACATGTGCTAAGCGTCGTCCTTCCGGAGAGTCGAAACCGCCCAACGCTTGCCACGCTACTCTTATAGCTACGTAGGCTATGGTGTTCGATTGTGGTGCACCCTCGCGCTGTTCGTATTCTTTCAATTCCAAGCATTTGGCGATGCTCGTCGCTGCAGCGTTTCGCCGTGCAACATTAATCGGCGACGGAGACAACGAATCCTTGATTTGAAGGACGCATATGTATGCAGTATTGTAAAGCATATATGCCGTTGCAGAGACATGGTTGGCCACCCCCAGTGTCTTCGCCATATCTGACTGCACTGTCACTCCAGCTAGCTGGTTTCGATTTAAAGCCTCCCAGAGCGGATACAGCGCCTCCAGCGCGCTCAAAACAGCTTCCGCCTCGACAAGTAACGGTTCCAAACTGGCGGGTATGGCATTGGAAGCAAGCAGGGCATTGCGACGGCCAATTAGACGGGTACAATCGGCCAGAATGGTGAAAACGTGATGCTGAAAGTATCCTGCCTCGCTTGCCTGGACAGGCGGAACCTGCTTCCATTCTTCTCTGGAGTACAGAGAAGTCCTAGACTCCGCCAGCGAGCCAACGATAGAGAGAATGCGCAAGCCGCGAAAAATTGTTGCCGTAGTACCATCGGACTCTTTCGGTGGGCCCCGTAGCATCGCGATGGCATCGAGGCCTCGCTGGTGCTTCAAAAAATTCTTCGGTCCAGTCGGCAAGAAGATCTCGAGAAGCATACAAGACAATGCTGTCAATAGAGTTTCGTTTGTCAACTGCAGCTCCGGGTGAGAAAGATGCGAATTCAGCTGCCGCAGTACCTCACTGTATTGGGAATAACCTTTTTTTGTGATGTAGTCCTGTCGATGTTGGCTTCCAAAAAAGGTAACAGACAAGGTTAGTATCCCTTTGCGCAACAGATCAAGACCTGGATTGTCGCTTTCTATAGATGCGCCGTAGCTCTCAACCATGTTGCAGGCTATTTCGACAGGTCCTCCGCGCAGCAAGGTCTTGCGAGTGTACGCCAGGCAGATGTCATCTTCAAAGGCTTTAAGAGATAGCTCAGTCGGACTAGCTATCTTGACGACAGCATTCTGGGCTGCGTTTGTTGGTTTGGCTTCGAATGTCCTACTCTGATCGATCCAGGTTAGGTCTTTTGGTCCTTCACATTCGAGACCACGCTTTGTGCATTGTCCGCACACGGGACGATTCTCGTCTTTCTTGTCAGCACATGCACCTGGTTTCGACTCGGTGAACGTGGGGTAAGCGAATGGGCACATACCGCATTTCACACGCCGGCGGCGACAGTTGGTGCATCCTTTCGAACGGCCGCCGCGGCTGACCATACTTTTCTTGTATCTGAATAGGGGAGAGTTGCTCTCGCTGCTTTTTTATGTCACAGGCACAAATGTCTAAATACGATATGTCGCGATACTGAACGCAGTATAGCTGTCGAGACAAACGCCTGATCGATCTTATATCGGCAAGATCGATGGTATACATGATGAGAGAATAAGAAACATAGTCGTCGAAGCCTTGTGGCTGAGCTCGCAAAGAATTCCTCTCGTGTCGGACGACGACGGAACGGATTTAGGCAGGCGCTTACTCTTGGCAGGGCGCCCAAAGATGACGACTCCACCAACAGCAAAACGCGTATGTTGCGTACTTGCAATCCATTTGAGCAATGCGATCAAAAGCTGACCAAAAGCCATTTGCATCACACAAGAGTACGTAACAGGCCACTGTTGAGGCGGGCTTCGTGTAACGAGCCGGAATTATGTATCAATTTAGGAACCTCTGGGGTAATAAGCTATTAGGTATCTGTAACGACTGGCTAGCATCATGATAGAAAGGAAATGAGACGTTATGACAAGTCTCGATGCGGGAGCGGACATCCCACCATGCCACTCAACCAACTAGTCACAATGCCATGCTTGTATCGAAAATCTTGTGGCAGCCAGATATTACTCGAGCTTCAAGGTTCTCAGCGAATGGCCATTGCGTTACATGCCGATCATCCTCTTGACCATGCCCTGTGCTAATCGGGCAACCTGAACGTTGTTACAGCGCTGCTCATTACCACCGATAGCACTAGCGTCGCAACCATCAGGGTAGAAGAAACTGGCCAGCGCGATGATAATATAGGCAGCAATCAGTAGACTACCCTCAAGGTAGTTACTGCGACCATCCAACACCAAAAAGTTCACTACCAATACGGTAACGAATAGTGCGACAGTCTCGAAAATGTTGAAGTAAAGTGTCATCTCCTTTCCCATAATCCAGCCAAGGATGACAATAACAGGGGTGATAAAGATGGCGATCTGGATAGAAGAACCAACAGCGATACCGATAGAGAGATCCATCTTGTTCTTCATGGCGACGGTAACAGCTGTGACGTGCTCTGCGGCGTTGCCCACAATAGGAAGGATAATGAGACCAATGAATGCTTGGCTGATACCGGAGGTCTCGACCATGGGCTCGATAGCGTCACTCATAAAGTCGGCGCAAACAGCAACGAGACCCGTACTGATCAAAAGCATGAAGATAGCCGCTTTGATAGACATGTCAGGTGCTTCGTCGTCTTCGTCATCTTCGTTGAGTGCCATGGCGGCCTGGGGAGATACGGCAGGATGTTTGACTGCGCTACCAGTGGAGTCGGCGCGACCAATTTGTTCAGGAAGAGACTTTGATCGACGAAGAGGTGCACGTAAAGCCGCGTTGTCTCGAGGTGCTGCCATACGGATGTTGGGCGCAGGTCCGCCAAGTGGAGCAAGATTCTGAGGGTTCGAGAAAACATTGTTGGAAAGCAGCGAAGGGAGAGCTGGGCGGTTGTATTTGCGTGCATTCATTGGAGCAGCACTGTCATGTTGTACTTCCTCAGCGAAGGTGACCTTGGGCGTGGGATCATTTGGTTCGACCTCCTTCTCAGGAATGGTGTCGATCTTGTTACGATCACGACGGTCCTTCTTGCTCTTCTTGTTCTTCTTGTTCTTACGTTTTTCCTTCTTCGTCAGGGATCGTGAGGTGTGCGAGGCGGCTTCAAAGTCGCGAACAACCGGGACGTATTGATCGTTGTCAGCTTCGTCACCACTCATGACGTCGAAGGAGTGCCGGCGAGAGGTGATGGGACCAGCATTGTTCGCGGTGACAACGCTGCTAGTCCTCTCAGTCTCGAAAGGACTTTGGTTCAGTTCGGCAGAGGGGGAGCTCATGGCCGAAAGCGCACCGTCGTCTTTAGAGCTAGCGCTGGATTTGCGGCGAAGTCTCTTGACCATGCGTTTGGCCTTCTTCTTCATGGTACCATCAGAGTTGTTTGAAGAACTATCGCTATCGCTGCTACTGGAGCTGGATGAAGAGTCTGAGCTGGACGAATCGAATGCGCCAGCAAGAACACCAGGGTGCGATTCTTCGTCAATGATGTGTTGGGGTGTGCTAGCATAAAGATAACGATGACTCTTGAGCTGGAAGAGAAGGTAAAGACCGTAGACCAGCAACAGGATAACACTGGTACCACGACTGACGGATAGCGTCTCGTGGTCAGCAATGGAGTTGTCTTCGAAAGCAGCGTGGAACGCCGTGGGCAAAAGAAGACTCATTACGGCAAGAGCCAGCATGACACCACTCATCTGGGTGACAGTGTTGTTGTAAACCTGCTCCTGGTATTTGAGACCACCAAGTAGGAAGGCCATACCCAGGATGAGAAGCAGGTTAGCAAGAATGGATCCGAGCAGCGACGCCTGCACAACCTCGATTTGGTCAGAGGCGAGCAAGATGATGAAGAGAATCAACTCGACAGCGTTTCCGAAGGATACGTTGAGCAATGCACCGAGCGCATCTCCAACACGGGCAGCGACGACTTCGGTCGCGTGCGCGAGCAGGCCAGCCAGTGGAATGATGGCGATGGCATTCATAGAGAAGACAATCTCGGGCTTCAAGTCTACAAGCTTGACTACGATACCAAGAGGCACGAAGACGAGCAGGACGTTGATCCAGCTGTGGGTAAGGGCATTCTTGGTGTGGGTGATGAATCGGAGGGTTCCGTTCTTGACACGCGTAGGCGAATAGAACGGACGCTTCTCGGATCCTATGGCGGAAGGCGTCTCTCCATCAGCCGCGGTATTGACGCTGCCATGTTGGACATCTGTGGAATTATTGTCTGGCGCGACGGGCTTCTCATGGTGGTCGCTGTGGTCGCTGTTGGTGGTGCTGGGCGCACTACGCGGCGGGTTGCTGCCACCTAGGCCAGGATGGGCGGTCGTGTGGGGGTTGTGGGTCGGAAGGACGTCGGTCTGAGGGTCTTTCTTGCGTCCCAAGCCAAGTGCAGATGCTGCCTTAGACTTGAAGCTGCGTATAGAGGGGTCGTCGGGTTCTCCCATCGGTTTTGGTGTTGCAGAGTTTGGGTAGTGGTTGAGTACAAAGATGTACTTTGAGGACGGTAGAAGTGTGGCCAAGTAAGTGAGGCGGTGGCCGCGCCTTATCAATGCTCGGCAAGCTTGAACCGGCTTGGTATGTGCTTACTCTCTGAGTGGATCCCCGAACACTGACGAATGACGTCGGTCGTCCGGCCAGATTGGCTACACGTGGACGGCGCGCACAGCCTCAGTGGCGCGCTACGCCTTGCTTGTTTGGGCGTGTTATGATTCTTGTTTGCGCGCGACGAGTCTAGAAGGTGATTGAAGGATTCTGGCATCACTGTGCATCAAACAGGTATCCTGTGCGGTTTGCCTGGGAAGTTGGAGGGAAGGTGCGCTTCGACGCGTTTTCACAGCATCCCTGCCAGGTGCTGGGAACAGAAAGCGCGAGGCAACGACTAGGAAGCCGCCAGCGTCGGCTTTCCCCCGCACGGTCATCATCATCAATACGAAAGCCGCTGATCCTAAACGACAATGGCGCCCAGCTTCGCCTTCTGGCATCCACTTTGACAGCGAGACTCCTAGTCGCGCAATCTAGACTGTCCACGATACGTTGCTTCACAGGGATGATGTCGAGACTAGTAGCTCGTCCAATGCAGGAGGCCGTTCATGTTCTGCCTTTTCCCCGAATGCTCAGCACTCTTATACCACCTGGCACACGACAAAAGCATAGCATTGTCACGTGGAGGATGACGCTAGTAAGACAGTACTAAGCAAGAGTTGGCATTCGAGTAAAGCTTGTCTTGATGTGGATCCCTAAGTGCATCATGAAGCATCGAGAGTGTAGATAAGCTGCGATGGTCACGAGCCCGATTCGACAGTACCGAGATTTCATCCATGGGTGACGAACACGCAAATGCCTTGGCAGCGCAACCAAGGGCCATATCTCAGCCGTAAGGGTCTGCATCACTACGAGCTCTCTGGCTCTCAGATGCAATCATGGATTTGCTACATCTCCCAGTTGAAATATTCGCAGAAATCATACACGCCCACCTCCAGCGTAGCGGATGGGCTGCGGCAGTCCGAGCACGGTGCGTGTGCAAAACCTTCGCGGCCGCAATTCAGGATGACATTTTTGGCCGATACTCCTCGATATACTACTGGCATATGAGACCCAATTGGAAGGAGCGTCTACTCGGGCCAAATATGCACACCTTGCTCTTCAAAATGGGGCCCACGCGCTGTAATTCGATGTACGTTCTTAATCACATGGAGGCCACAGTCGACTTCCTCATGGACTTCTCATATTATAAAACGCAATCACAGCGCGAACGCCATCGTTTGGCCCTCTGTAACGCCATGTCAGCAGCACTCTCCGTAAACGACATCCTTGCCTATCTTCGCCACGGACGGTACGATGACTCGATCAGTGTACGGAAGAACATGGGCCGCGCAGATACAATTGGTATGCTCGCGGCTGTCGCTGCTGTCAACAGCGAACCTGCCTTGCGCTTTCTAGTTGACAAGGTACGTGATATAGGCCAACGTAGCGAGCTATATGGCACTCCACTTACTGCCGCTGCGGTGAACGGGCATAAGTACGCTTCGTCAATTATTTATGAGCGGTTTGAAGACAGTCGTCACCAATGGGACCAGTTATACGAGACTATCGATATATGCATGTACAAGCAACATGCCACTATGCTTCCAACGTTCATTGGCTGGTACCTCAAGAGTTGCGACTCTGGGAGAGCAATCTACGATGCGAAATACGAATGGTGCAAGTGGGCAATCGTAAGAGGTGAATTGGACGTAGTGCGCCGTTGCTACAATTTCAAGCGTGCGATCAAGTCAGATCGTCAATTGAGGTTGACGCCTTTCTATCTAGCATGCGAGCATGGTCATGTGCACATTATACAGTACTTCCTCGAGACTGACGCCACTCTTGGAGACGCTACGTATACTTACGAGGCGGGTCGCATCGGGGCCCAAGGGCTATCACAAGGTCTTGTATTAGCAGTACAGAATGGCTGGCTCGGGGCTGCTAGGTTTCTGATTGAGAGTGGTGCACAAATCAAGAAGAGTGAATATGACGACACAGTCTGTGCGCCAGCGTTATGGCATGCCGTCAAACGAGGACATGTTGACATGGTGATGCTTTTGCTAGCTTATGGTGTTGTCATACCAGCAAAGAACTCTAAGAAGCATGTTGGCTTCTGGACTCTGACCATGAAGCGAGGAACGAAGATGGCAAGCTTGATGGAGGAGGCTTGGATGATACGGACCAGGAAGGCCCCAGTATCTAAGCTTAATGGTATAGTTTAAGAACGTGTGAACAATAGTTTCTCTACTCCTCGCGTCCAGGGTGCAGCTGAGGGGCACATAATATTCGATCAAAAAGTAATAGCATGGCACTAGACACTACGAGTGAGAACTCATTCATATAGACTGAAAGTGTTACTTATGCACGCAGAGTGACCTTGACAGGGAGGCCATCTGCTGGGTGAGCTCCGCCTCCACCCATCTCAGCCTGATATGCTCGATTCTCGTCAACAGTTCTGATGCCCTTCTTTGGATGTAGTTTGTCCCACTCCTCATACGAAATGTCAATATCAAACATCCTCACAGTCATTACCAAGGCGATTTTGAGCTCCAGTTGTGCAAGTGTCTGTCCAATGCAGGCACGTGGGCCCCACTCAAAAGCTCTCCATGAGGCCTTCTTCGGATGTAAAGGGTCCTCTGGACTGACGAGCCAGCGATCTGGAATGAAATCTTCCGGTTTCACAAACACTTCGGGGTTGTGGTGCATAGCAAGAGTGAGTGTCCATATGTTACAGCCCTCTGTAGGGTATCGCTGACCCTGTTCATCTACCAAAAAGACACCCGGGCGGCCATCGCGCATGCTGCCAGCCGGAGGAAATATGCGTAGAACCTCCTTGACGACTGCCAGAGTGTAGGGTAACTGGTTCAGGAGTGCGGGATCGTCTGTGATAATGCGAGTGATACTGTGGAGCGAGAAGTCGGACCCGAATACCTTGTCGTGTTCTGCACGTACTTTGGACAAAACATCCGGGTGACGAGACAGTAGCATATAGCTGTACAGCAGGGTACTACTAGTGGTGTCGTGGCCGGCGTACATGAACATACGAAGTTGAGGCTTCGCCAGCTGCCTGAAGGCCGATTTTGACACTTCGTCTTTGCCCTCTACATCGTCCAGGTACTTGTCCATGGCCAACGCGATGATAGATCTAGATTGTGAGTGGGAGTCTTTTGAAGGGCTTCTACGGGAGCGAGCCAGCTCTTCGAAACGTTTGTCGATTTCCTTGTCAAGGTATTGATTCATACGGTAACTGTTGTACTTTTGGACGAATGGACGAGGGCTAAGATAGCGACGGATTGGATTGAAAGATGTACCGAATGGAGTCCAATACACTTGTCTTCGGAGACAGTCTGCGAGGGCGCTTCCTTGAGTTTGATAGTGGAGACGCGCACCCCTGGGCCCACCTTTTAGTAATCAACCTTTACTGTAGGCGCATCGTGTTGAGAACTTACAAGGTAATACGCGCAATAATATCAAAAGTCAACCGAAGCGTATGCTCCTCCAAAGGAAAGCCTTCGCCCTTCTGGGCGCGTTTTTGGAGAAGTTGACAGAAACCCGTGACCTCCTCTGCTATAGCAGGAGAAAGTCCTGTTATATAGCCAGCAGCGAATCCTGGATTGAACAGCGCCCGCCATTTCTTCCAAGTGCTTCCGTACATGGTCAGTAGCGATGGTCCACCGTTGATGACCTCTAAAGTAGCACTTATGTTGGCGGGCTTGTCAAGGAAAGCAGCTTCAACTTGTGATGCAACATAAGGGTTCGCGACTACCATGATAGGAGCGTTGAAAGGCCATAAGTTGAGATAGAAGACACCGCCGGGAAACGATTGTGCTATTCGCCGTACTACTACGTGCATTACGGTGTTCTGTGGTAGTGATTGAATGGCTTCTTTCAACACGATGAGATGGCCGAACAGAGGATGATGTTTCGGCATTGGCTTGCTATTGTCAGAAGCATCTCTCTAGGTGCACCTAGTACTTAACTTACTGCTCCTGAGTTTCGTAAACTCTTTACGTGCTGTCGATTAGCCATCAATCTGGCCACAAACATGGCGAGAGCACCAGCGACCACAGCCATGATGGCTGGCATGCTGACCCGCGTCATGCTGACTCGCGGATTGGGTGTTGCAACTTGCAGACGTCGTCACAGAGGCGCAAGTATCGTGATCCGATCTCACGGTAGTTGTTGTCGAAGTGCGAGTAAAGGTGCAGGACGAGGCGGCAAGATGGGAGGGCGGCACGGAAGGCGCTAGCCTCACCTGGGTGCATGGGCGTCAGCGCTAGGATCAGCACTGCCTTCCTGTACTACAATATTACAACCCGACATTCGCTATCGTTTCCTTCATGTCCGTCAATCGAATCTTACCAATATGTCGGTGTTCTCGGGGATTTGGGGATTCGCTCTTCGATTCCCGACCCCAACAAGGCATTATTTGTACGACACGCTGCGACCGGTCATGATCCCAGTTGACGATGCCAAAAGATCAATCAATAGTAGATGCAGCATGCGGAGTATATATATACTTCAATAGCCCCCACCCTTCACACAATCGCATGCGATACTAGATCTTGTTATATGCTTGTCATGTCGTCCTCTTCCCACTTGGAATTCTGTAGCTCTAACGTACAGTCTCCTCCTTACCTAGATTCCGCGCTACGAAAGCTATACCCAAGATATGTCGATTGATCCGTCGAAGCTACCACCAGCACAATATGTGCCCGGTAGACAGTACATCATTGACCATGCTGGTAGGATTGATAAGGTGCCATTTGTGGTATGCACTCTCCCTGTTGGCGATTCATTGTAGATGCTGACACAAATCTTAGATCACGACGGGTATTCTTTTCGGGCTTGCTATTCTTTCCGTGTTAGCACGCTTCGCGATTCGCATCTTTGGCGGTCGGAAAATACGATGGGACGATGGCTTTGTCTTGGTGTCATGTTTGTGTCTGATAGTCGCGTTCGTCTGCGTCCACAGGCTTCTGAACACTTTCTATCTTATCGAAGCCATGAACCAAAGGAAGACGATTCCGTTCCGAGAGGATATTCCTGCAATATTGGACACGCCTAAGTGGGCCTTCATCTTCTCCACGTTCAACTGGACTTCCCTTTACCTAGTCAAGTTTGCTTTTATGAATTTCTTTCACACCTTGACCCGAGGGCTATCAGTCAAGATCATGCGGTTCTACTGGATAACCGTAGGCTTTCTTGTCGTTTGCTGGATCTATGCAGTCATCAACTTTGTGGTTATCTGTCCACACTTTGGTACAGACGCAGGTCAGTTGGTATTCAATTTTTTATCGAGGTTCAAGTTACTGACAGTTTACAGCTACATGTGGCTTCAATCCCCGGCAGCATGAAAGAAGTGTCGCGGGTAACGTTCTCGTCGGCGTCCTCGATATCATAGGCGATGTTCTCAGTACGTGATGCGGCCTAATGGGTCAAGATGAGAATGGAAATACTGATTTTCCTAGTTGTGAGCTTTCCCATTGTCGTTGTAAACGAATCGATGATGTCGTTCTCCCGAAAACTATCGATTGTGGCATTGCTAGGCCTCTCGACAGTAATGATCATTTGCGCGCTGATCCGAGTCGTCGGCTCATTGACCGAGACAACCGAGGCAGGGAACGGAACGGCGCCGGTGTGGGCTGCGTACTGGTTCATTGTCGAATCTTGTGTTGGACTTATCATGGCGTCTGTCATTGTTATCCGCGGAGTTTTCATCACGATCCTTGTTGACGACGATCGACGGAACAAGGATAGCGTACTTCAGCAATTCGGACGTCGTTTCCTGGCTATCATGAGGCTGTCCAGATCCTCACGAAGTAGCAAGTCGAGTACCCAGCGAGGCGACGCGCTCCATGACCAGCACAAGGATCCAAGCGCCCCAAGGATTGCTACTCAGAAACTTCACGGAGGAACATTGAAGACCATCAGATCGTTTATATCAGGTGGTAATAGACATGGCCACACGCAAGATGACGCGCCACTGTCAATAGAAACAATCCAGAGTCTTGAGGATATGGACTACCACAATATTCGCAAAGCGGAAGTGGCAAATCACCAGCCATAGCTGGTCACCCTGAGTCAAAGCACCGAAGAAGACGTGATTTGTGCGATTATAAGATGGTAAGAATGTATTCATGATAGCAAGTAGTAAGCGTAATGACGGTGTTAGTTCATAAGACAGAAGCATGCAGCCGTTCGTGACCGTGAAGAATTAGGCCACCCGGATACGCGCAGGGGCTGTGGCTTAGACGCCCCCACCTCCCGTCATCACGTCTCTGCTGCACCACAACGCGTCACCACGTAGTCTCGAAACCTTGTTCCCCCATACAACTGGCGGTCTAGATATTCGCCCTCTCTAAGCTACAGGAGCGACTCTTGCATTCAAAAGCAGCGCGATCGCATATTCGTAACCCTCCAAAGAAACGCGATAACTCTTTATTACCTTCATTCGACTGTCTCACTCACCCTCCCAACTAACCTTAGCTAGCCTACAGCTCTTCATCATGGGTCGCTGGACAGATGTGGACAGTGTAAGTGTCCCCATATACCTAGGTAGCACCCTCTTTCTAGCAGGTCACTGACACGACTTCTAGGACGCTGAGCGACTGCCAGACGGTTTCGAGCGCATAGGCTATGACGCTGATACCCAGACCTACACCTTCCGCGATGCATCCGGTCGTGTCTACGAATCTGAGCCTGGCAACCGCTACGGGGAGCTGCGAGCCACCGGCGAGCGCTCACAGCCCATATCTGACGAAGAACGACTCGAGCAACACGAAGCAATAGAAAAGAACAACAGGAGCGCTGTGCGTATGATGTTGCCATTTGCACTGCTGGTTCTTGTTTTCTTGTTCCTTGTATTCAAGCTCGTGGACAAGAGCGAGGATACATACGTCTCTGCTTGTGGAAAGGGAAATCGTCAAGCATACATCTCCAAAGGCGATACGTGTTGGGCGCTTGCTGAGGCACATGGCATAAGTGTAGATGATTTCTTAAGCTTGCGTGGAAATGAGGGAGTCGACTGTGACAAGTTAAGGATTGGATGGGGCATCTGTGTGCCAACAACACAGTGATTCGCTTGTCGCGACTTGTTACTGGCCAGACCTCACTTCCTGATGCGGGGTTGAGGCGCGCGCCCCAGTGAGACAGAGGCGTAGTCGCTGCGCGGGCGCTTAATTCGGGGTCCGAACAAGATAACCACTCCATCTTCCAACTACATGCTCAGTATCTTTGGTTGTTAATGTTTGCAACACTCTAGCGATGGCAGGTGCGAACCCTGAAGTACCCAAAGCCCAATATCAGCACTACATTCCTCGATTCTTGCTCCGTCGCTTCTCCTACCCATCTTCGACTGTGCTCAATCATGGCAAGAAGCAGAACAGAAAACAACGAGTTGAAGATATAGTCACGGCAGTTGACCTAGGTCACGACATTCCCAAATTTGTCGAATCACCGGTGGGACGAATCTTTGGACAATATGACATGTACAAGGACGACTCAAAATTCAACAAAAAAGAGCAAAATCGAATTGAGACGAAGTTAAGCCGTATTGAGGGCCAAGCAAGTCGCATTATTGCCGAAGTTACAGATGCCCATAAAACGGGCAAGGACAAAGTCGAACTCTCACGCCATGACAAAGATCTTTTACGAAAATACATCTTCGTCATGAAGTATCGCAGTCCCATCTTCTTCACACGCTTCAATCATCAGAGAGCAGAGGATTATGCTTCGAGCGATCGGGCATTGTTTCTGGAATACATGCAAGAACGCAATTTCTCGCGCCCACTCGATGTCTGGCTCGACAACCTTGAAAGGATTATTGATAAGCCTATGGATCCTGCCGGTAAATGGACAGAAGATCTCTACGAGGAAATCTACCCAGAAGACGCCAAGTGGCTCAACATCAATATCAGATCGATGTACCTGTCTTTCGCTACTCCTTCAGATGCCGTTGAAGAGTTTCTTCTCACTGAAAACGCGTTTGGCATTTATGAAGGGCCGAACGACTACTTCACCAACCCTTTCACAGGTGAACAGACAACGACTGCATACACCGAGTTTCATATAATCAGCGTCGTTTCTCCACGTTTAGTCATGATATTACGCGACAATTGTCTCCCGGAACCTTTGGAGGACCAGCGCGACAACATCCGCGATTGGAAGAGATTGATGTTGGCAGCTAGTGCTCAGGCGCATAATCAACCAGACAACGCTAAATCTTTGCTCGAAGACTTGCCATTAGCGAAAGCTCGAAACTCCTACACTGTGATTCAAGACGGTCGGCTTGAACTGGCTAAAGGTGCAGACGGAGTGCCTAGAGCGAAAGACAAATTCGACTTCACTTTCTTCGGCCTAGAGAGCAAACATGTGCAGACCATCAACCTTGTCATGCTGGACCAAGCCCACCACAGCTCGCATATTGTGTACAAGTCGAAAGTCGCATTGCAAGCAGCTCTGGACTTCTATTTGGATTATCCAACCCAGACTAGAGGAGCCTACAGTCTGAAGACGATAAGTGATCGACCGAACGACCCGATGCTGGCTTTATTACGAAAGCTGGAGACGATTGCCCATTCATTGGGCTCGTCTGTCAGAGCGAAGTACTACATCGATCCGCTTGATGAAATTAAGGATACGCCGCCTCCTGACGGAGCGCCGACTTTCAATGGCGTGGTTGCCCAAGTTTTAGAAACAATAGAAAACGATTGCCGGACAGTAAGTCTCGTGGCGCTGCCCGCAACCGTCATGAGCAAGGTGTTAAGCAAGCTGAAGATGTCTGCTTCAACGATGAAAAGGCTTGACCTGATGGCGATGGCGGATAACCGACGCTGCTTCCCAGACCAGATTTTTCTAGCAGTTCATAAGGCAGACATCAGAGGTCTTAGTGCGCGATACAAGAAAATTCTCCAGATTGGCAAACCGATGTGGAGAAGCGCATTGGATGAGCTTGTTAAGCAAGAGTGCGAAGCTGAGTCTGTAAACGCCAATCGCAATACTGAGTTCTTTGAGAATATACGGCGCAATTTTGATCGGATTTCTGACACGGACTCTCCTGACCTCTCTGATGCTCTAGATAAGGCACCATCTTTTGATGAGACTGTCTCTCAAGTGTTGGCAACGGCAGAAACCGATTTTCTAGACCAAAGTCTGGCTAGCCATGACTTTGCCTTGGCAATGGTCGTTATGATTCAGGTCGTAAAGGAGCAAGAGATGACTGTCATGTCGACCCACGCGCTTGACCTGATTTTCATGGCTGATGGCAGGCCCTGCTTTCCAGATATGGTCTACTCAGCGGTCCAAGAAGCGCACACCAGGGATTGTAGTGAGCGCACCAGGAGACTTGTCAGTGTCGATCTGATGATGTGGAGAAGGGGATGGGGTGCGCTTGTTGAGAGAGCTTTGCAGGTTCCGGGCGTGAAACTAGATGACAGTATTGATGCCATGCGGAAAGTCTTACGTCAACTTCCTAGCATGCCTTCATCAGATTCTTCCCCAACTTTAACGTCATCTGCATTTCAGAATACGAACCGACATCTAAGGGAGGCTTCTGTACAACGATCGAGTTTATACAGCGACACTGAAGACGCTCCTGGACGTTCCAGGTCTGGACAGCTAAAGCGTTCCTCGAACTCTACCGTATCATCCAAGAGGAGAGATATCTTCAAGGCTGCTTTACTCGCCTTCTCTGGCGTAGTCTTCATATGTGTCTGTCTCACTGTTCTTGTATGGACGCTCATTAGCATCGCATGGTTTCTCGTTGCTCAGATATGGAACTTCGTTGTTCTTGTATGGCGCCTTGCACTCTAAGCATTGAGCTGCTTTAAGACGGATTCGATGCAGCAACGTTGCCACGTCAACATCATATCGTCTTGCAATCAATGGCCACTCACGTATCTGCAACAAAAGATAATGTGGAACGCAACAAGAAGTGACGAGTACGTAGAGCACAAAGTTTGAACGTTACAATGGATAATTGCGTTCTTGGTCTTTCTCTTTGACCTGATGAACTATACTGTTACAAAGCCAAAACGCGCGTCTATTTTAACAAGACACCTTGCGCATGCTCGTCTAGAGTGGAATGAAACCCCTTGATCATCGCCAAAACCCCCCATCCATGTCGTAACATGCCATAATGCACACAAAAGAGAAATTGATATAAATTACATCTTCAGCACCTCACCTCCTGGAATCCAGATCCTTGAAGGTTGCTGGGCTGGGAGGTACTAGAGGCCCCTTGACACCGTCGCCCGCCGGCTCGACGTATCCCGGTGCCTTGCCATACTCGCCAGAGAAGTACTTGTGGAAATCTTGGCTGTCTTCGTAAGGTCGGGGTCCAAGCAACCTAATCATGTCCTCACGGCCAAGCATCTCCTTCTTGAGTAGCTCCTCGGCTACAAGACCAACTTCGTGTTTCTTCTCAGTGAGGAGATCCTTGCATTGCTTGTAGGCCTCATCAACGATGCGCTTGACCTCCATATCGATGTTCTTAGCTGTGTCTTCGGAGAAGGGCTTGGTGAGTTGCTGGCCCTCGCCATCTTCGAAGTAGATGTATCCGATCTTCTTGCTCATACCCCATTTGCTGACCATGGCTGTGGCCATCTGAGTGACCTTGCGGAAATCATCAGATGCACCGGAGGTGACGGTGTCGAAGTGTAGCTCTTCAGATACACGTCCACCAAGTGTCATGGCCATACGGTCCATTAGCTGGTTCACATTCATGAGGTATGTGTCGCCGTTGGGAAGGTACTGAGCGTAACCGAGAGCGCCCTGACCACGGGGAATGATGGAGACTTTGAGAAGGGGGTCTGCCCACTTAAAATACCAACCGCAGATAGCGTGACCGGCCTCGTGATAGGCGACAGTCTTCTTCTCTTCAGGCTTTAGAACAAGGGACTTCTTCTCAAGACCACCGATGACACGCTCGATGGCTTGCTCGAAGTGTACCATTGCAACGGTCTCAGCATTGGCACGAGCGGCTGCGGATCGTTAGTACATGTATGATTTAGGGAAGCATTGCTACATACCAATCAAAGCAGCTTCATTGACACAGTTGGCAATGTCGGCACCGGAGAAGCCCGGTGTCAAAGCTGCTAATCTGCCCTTCAAGAACTCCATGTCTTCGTTGGTGATGATCTTCTTCAAGTGTACACCGAAAATCTGTGCTCGGCCGTCCATGGTGGGCTTGTCGATGTTGATATGTCTGTCGAAACGGCCGGGTCTCATGAGCGCCTTGTCCAGAACATCGGGTCGGTTAGTACCAGCCAAAACGACGACTTGCTCAGTCGTGTTGAATCCGTCCATCTCTGTTAGGATCTGATTGAGAGTTGCCTCTCGCTCATCATTGCCACCACCGAAGTTCTGCTTCGATCGGGCACGACCGATAGCGTCAATCTCATCAATGAAGATGATGCAGGGCGTGCTCTTGCGCGCATTGGCGAACAAGTCTCGGACACGCGATGCACCAACACCAACGAACATCTCGACGAACTCAGAACCACTGACACTGAAGAAAGGAACGCCTGACTCTCCCGCAGTAGCCTTGGCAAGAAGAGTCTTACCAGTACCTGGGGATCCAGATAGGATAGCACCGCGAGGGATCTTCGCACCGAGCTTCTGGAATCGGCTGGGGTCCTTGAGGAAAGAAACGAATTCCATAATCTCTTGCTTGGCTTCGTCCATACCAGCGACATCTGAGAACTTGACCTTGACGTCCGTCTCGTGGTTGAACTTCTTGGCGCGACTCTTGCCCATGCCAAAGACGCCGCCACCTCCGCCAGCGCCGCCTCCCGCACGTCTTGTAAAGTAGAAGAGGGAACCGAGGAGGAGGATAGTGGGACCGAAGGATAAGAAGGTGCCGAACCAGGAGATCTCGTTGGAGTATGCTACAGGGATGCGCTCGGAGCTAGGAATGCCCAGCTCGTACTGTGCGTCGTCCATCTTGCGTTCGAAAGCCTCAACGGATCCAATAGTGAAGTAGTAGTAGAAGTTTTGGTTGACGGATGGCGAGTCAGGGTACATGCCGGCGACAGCCTCACGGTGCAGGTGGACCTTCGCCCTGTTGCCATTCAGGATAACAATCTTCTCGACCAGACCTTTGTCCAGGAAGGTCGTTCGGAACTCCTGCCATGTTATCTCCTTGGAGTTCTCGCCTGGGAAGATGGTCTTGTATGTGATGTATGCGAGGAAAGCGCTGATGAGGATTGTGTTGGTATCCATTCCGCCTCCGAACATGGGCCCGACCGGTCCGCCAGCTCCGCCAGCGCCACCCTTGGAACCCTTGCCTGTACCTGGGCCTGGGTCGTGTGCGCCTGACTTCTGGTGTGGTTCCTGGGAACCATCCTCTTTGAATTTCTGCTGATGCTGATCAGCCGCCTTGCGGGCCATGTTGGTTGTTAGCCGCGAGATCTTGGCCGCGGTGGCCAGATCCAGCTTCTCGCCCCTCTCCAGCTTGTCCATCTCGTGTCGTAGCTCCGGTGGTATTCCGGTGCGCTTGATCTCTTCCATTGCTTCCTTGATATTCTGCTTCTGCGACTTGGGAACGCCCATTGACACGAAGGAGACTAATTGATCCAGCATCTTCTCCTCCTCGGGTGTAAGCTTGGACATCTGAGCCTCTCCTTCCTTCTTTGCAGAATCAGCAAGCTCATGCTTGTCTGCCTGGCCATCCTTCTTGGCTGCCTCGCCCTCCTTCTTGTTCTTGGGCTCTTCGGGCGGGCCGGTTGCGAATCGCCGCGCCCGTTGCTGGGTATATATACATTGTGGTATTGGTGCTCGTGTGCGTAATGTGCGTGGTGCCCTCGTGGCAGCGTTGAGGCAGGGTCGGGATAGTCGCGCTAAGTTGCCTGAGCGGCGGAGGAGTGTCGACATGGCGGCGGAACAGATGTGACAGGACTGCGGGGTGGGGTATAACGATGGGTTTGGGTATATTACAGATAAGTAGGGTGAGAGTAATACCGCGCCTGTTCAGACTGCCTCGGGCTGGCAGTAGGAGAATGTCTTGTGGCGGGTGCGCTTCGATGGCGAAAGCTAGGATATGACAGAATCATCGAAGTTCTACATGCCACCGACATGCCGACCTTACTAAGCGGGGTCGCCTGTACGCGTGAACATGTGCTAGAGCCTGGGCCTAGAATTTGACTTAGGTAAACCTTCATCTATTGAGCTTATTCTCTTCATCCCAATGCTTTGCAAAGAGACGCACTGGTGATGAATAACGACTGCTCTTCTTAGATTGCCTTCTGCTTCAGCCCGGCCGCCATACATGGCCACATCACACCTAAGCGGTCTATAATGTCATACCCATTCATCTCCATCAATGCACTGCATGTCGATCATCCAGATGCGCCTTCATGCACCAATCTACTAGTTTCATTATCTTATGTCCGATCAGCTATTGCCCCGAGGTCGTCAGCCCGCAGCGATAGCGTAGTACAGCACCAACTTTGTTCTTTCGCACCGCAATATATTTGAACACAAGAGGCTACCCAACTGCTAGTCATTCCGAGATCATAACATAGCCTTCTGCAACAATGCATCTCTCTGTATCTGCCTTCGCCGTGCTCTCCTTATCTTGCCTTATAACTGCGCAAACGTGCGATACATCAAACAACACCCTCTACCTTACGGCGCCTGCGTTAGTCACCACGCCTCAAAACACCTCCACCATCCAGTGTTGGCGTCTGAGGAATCCTTTCTTGATATCTACAACAGCAGGCATCGCAGGAAGCCGTGCATTAAACCTAGGGAATGTGACGGATCTAAGCTACGTTGTCCAGCCACCACGCTTTGAAGGCGGATTGCATAACGCTCCTGTGCCACAGTGAGTCGGATCTCCCTCGTACACTAATTTGCGCTGACAATGCCGAGGATCGTACAGTTGCTAGCTGGACTCGCGCACATCACTCTGCCTCAAGACCCGTCTCGGGAGCTGTGGTTGTACGGAGGCAAAGGCGGTCTGCTGTTCGCTGCCGACCTGACGGGCGAGGGACATGTCACAACGTATCCGAGTGACCAGGAGACAGTCACTATTACTGCGCCTTTCGAGGGTGGTGTAATCCCCGAGTATGAAGTGATCAATGAAGGGCCGTGTACTGGGCGACAGACTTTTGTCTAGTAGATTGAGAACGCGACACGGGTGGAAAGGAACGTGCATGTTGGTTGTACAGTCTATTCGTTGGCTTGATGCAAAGAGAATTGTCGTGTTCCGCTTCCTCCCTCCAACTCCTCTTACTATACACCCATCTTCATCGCTCTTCTTCTCCGCTCGCTTACTCCTCGTCGCCGTACAGAGCGCGGCCAGTCTTGGAGTTGAGGAACTCGTTCCTATTACCACTGTTAGCCTGCTTTCCCATGCACCAATGCCCTGCCATGTCCCTGCTATTCTCATCAATATCCATCAACTCACTTCTCGATAGCCCACTGCATGGTGCCATATGCGATGGCCAGAGGTGGGATGAAGTAGAGGACCTGGTTCCTCGAGCGGCGCACGACGTTCCAGAAGCCCTTGCCAATGAAGGTGGCCATGGGGCGCTGACGGTTGGGGCTCAGTGCGTAGGTGACGACGCCCTTTCCGGGTCGGCCACCGCCCTCGTAGGGGTTACCCCATGAGCCGATGTGCCATCTATGCCATTGTCAGCCTATTCCCTTTGCTACTCCGATGGTTGTGCGCTGGAATGTGGTTCGAGGACCGGTTTCATTCGGGGAAGGTGGCTGCGATTGCGTTCGACGGGGTTGCGGACATACGTGGTCTTGGTCTTTGCGTGGATGTCAGAAGGTCCGAGAGCCATTGTGACGATGTGGGTGGTGGTTGTGGAGGTGCAATGCGTGGGCGGCGGCGTCGACGTTCCCGTCAGAAAGCTGCGAGCGGTGCTGCTATGCCAAGCCTTTTCCTGTTAGCTGAAATAGGCAAGGCGTTGCAACAGCCAATAACGTAAACGTGATTGGCCGTCAAAGCACCCCATGCGCTTTCTCCAATCGTCCATGTGTACCTTGCAATGACCTCTTGCGTTACGAGATTCGAAGTCGTCGCGAGAATTCTTACTGTTCAAGACACATCCATCTCTCTGGATTCCACTGACATCTACGGTACAATTCTACATCCCCACAACTCCAATAAATCCGCCGTCAACGCGTCAGCAACGGCATACCCACGTTGCAACACAATATGGAACAAGGTCAAGATTTCCTTCATATCACGGGTAGTCCGAACACGCGCTCCTGCGACCCTCAAAGGGAAGAACAGCAGCACCCCTGCAATTCCAGTGACCAACAACTCACGACTCAACCGAAGGATTTCGTGTGTGTGCCACTCGATCTGAGTACGAGGTAAAATCGGCGCACGTGGCGCCGTAGGCTTGGTCCAGTGCACATGATAGTCATAAGTACCTGAGAGGTAGATGCTGGCGGCATGATAGTACACATGAGCGACAAGAAGCTCTGGGTCCAATGCACCTGATGCAGACTGCCATGCGTTGCTGCCATCCCACCATTCATGCAAAGATTGTTGAAGTAGCAAGCCTTCAGCGGCTAGGTACTGCGCTTGTTCAGTCTGCACTTTTTCCGATAGATGCTCTGCTTCTGATGCGCAATACTGGATTGCACGTATACTTAATTCGGAAAAGCTAGGCAGCATATCGAAGAGTGCTTCTTTGGGGTGCCAAAAAGCGGCTCCTTCGCCGCTCCAAAGATCTGCTAGTGCGCTAGTCCATGCAGGCTCACTTAAGAAGGTAGGCTCAGAGTAGATCAAGGCCCTCGATATCTCGAATATGCGGGCAGAGAGGAAGAAGGTACGCTTTCGCGTACTTTTTTCGTCTGCAAGAGCAAGGCAGGAAGGATGTTGAAGACGCAGAATCGTGCAAGTTCCGTGCAGGAAGTGCGAGAGCCAATTGGTTCCGCCGGCATCGCACATCAACTAAGCTATGTCAGACTATGATCACGTCTGCTCTAACATTTTTCGCATACCTCGAAAAGGCCAAGAAGAAATGTCGTCCAGAGAGTGGAAGGATCGTCTCCAAATTTGTTCTGGGTAATTTGCGATTGAACACAGCGAACCGATCCAACATAAAGCTGCATTGCACTCCGGTGCCAGTTCCTATCTTCAACCCCTGATCCTGAACATCGAATCTGCTGAAATCTGTGTAGGGACGCTATTGCGCAAAGGGCATCTCTCAAAGCGTTCGAGGAGTGCATTATGCTTTGCAGCTCCCTTTGCACTAGCAAGTTACCATGTGAGAAAGTGTTCATGGGCAAAAATGAGCTAAAGAAGTATTTCACCTCTCGCTCAGTCTTGTCCAAGCTAACTTGTGATAAAAGCCGCATTTCGGGCTTGGTTCTTGGGTTGACGAAGACGAAGCTCGAAGTCGCGGGCCGTGTGGGTACTATGCATGTTTGTTGTGTCCGTTTACAGCGGTCACATGGCACTCCTCCATCGCACTTAGCCTGTCAGCGAGGTCAGACTGTAGATGGCCAGAACACTCGCCTTGATCTTTCGCTTGGCACAGGCTCCGCATCGTTTTCGTCGAGCCTTACGACCATCATACGGCCCAATGCTCGGTGACATGTTGCTTGCGATCCCTCGAACGCTGAGTAGGATTGCGGCGGCAAGGCTTAATTGTTAGTGCACGGCACCCAAAGAGGGGTTGTTTCCAAACAACATTGAGGACTTCGGAATGTCAAGAAGAATGCTTTAGGAAATGGTATCGCTTGACGACGAACGAAGCATACGAGTAGCGGGCCCTAGTAGAGTCGGTGCCATTCGACTTAACCGATTTAGGAAGCGAAAGAACGCGTCTAGGCTTCGTTGAGACTAAACACTAATACCACCGATGAGCCACCGGAGAGAACCACCTGTACCAACCATATCGGTCAAACTGCGGCTCTGCTGCATTGTCATCTTTGGCTAATTACGATGGTACATGCTGCTATTTCTGCTTTTGGTTATGATAGAGCGCTTTGAAGAGGGTCGACCATATAACTTACACTCAAGCCGGAACTATAGATACCACTGCAGCACTGCTACGAATTGAATACAGCCAGCATTCTCTACCCTTTCCTTCCAAATCGCAGCGAAATTCCGCATACCATCTTCCTCATCAATCTTCGACATCATGCGTCTTTGCAATTCACTTTTACTTGTACTTCTGGCGTCTTCGCCAGGCATAGTATCTGCCAGAACCGTACTCCCCGTCCTCGGGTCCCACCACTACGATGTGACGATCGCTTCCGCATCGCTCACAGACCATAGTCGCTTAGATCCATACGCCAATAACAGCAGTCCTCGATCTGTCGTGGTGTCCAGCTTCTATCCCGTCACTCATTGTCGCCGCCGAAAAATCGATTCCTATATGCCGCCTGCTACAGCAAATTTCATGGATACCAAGTTTGGCGCATACGGTCTCCCTAACGGAAGCTTCCAATCACTGGGTCTCGAAACGTGTGTGACTCCAGCAAGACAAGACGCTTGCTCCAGCCACTCTTTGCCCGTCGTATTGTTCTCAGGCGCACTCGCCACGTCTCGACATCTGTACAATGCCATGCTCCAGAATATCGCGTCTTCTGGTTATTTGGTACTCTCTATCGACCACCCCTACGATGCCGACATGGTTGAGTTCCCCGATGGTACTATAGTGACCGGCGTCGAGATCGACAGCGACGCGGACATTGAGCTTGCCCTTAGCACACGAGTCGCGGACATTGAGTTCGTCTCTAACCAGATTTACAACGTCTCGGCTTCGAAAGATCTATTTCCAACAGGTTTGCGCCGTGAAAGGGTATCCAAAATGGCCGTTGTTGGACATTCCTTGGGTGGTGCAGCAGCAGCTACTGCAATGATGAATATGCCTTCTCTCAGAGGTGGAGTCAATCTTGACGGCTCCATGTTTGGTTCTGTGTTAACAACCGGCTTCGACGGTCCCTTCATGCTCATGGGCCACGAAAACAAGACACAAGAGACTGATCCATCCTGGAAGACTCTCTGGCCACACCTCGTTGGTTGGAAGAAGGAGCTCGAAGTCAAGAACGCTGCGCACTACAGCTTCTCAGACCTTCCCTTGGTCATGACCGCGTTGGGTCTAGATGGGAAATTGCCAGCGGAGGTTGGAGAGCTTCTGGGTAATATCGAGGGTCGCAGAATGACAACCCTTGTAACCGAATATGTTGTTACCTTCTTGGATATGACGTTGAAGAAAGGAAAAGAGGGCGCGTTCTCCAAAGTTGGTGATCAATTTCCAGAGGTGTCAGAAGTGGCTTGAGCAGCAGTTTACAGTAATCTATCGTTGCCATACCTATGGACATAAAGAATGGCCTTTTTGAGACAACCACGTGCCGAGAGGATGCAAGCTGTGCAAGATGCAGCTATGCGACACGCCACTTACATACTGATTCAGGTCTTATGTGAGTGTAAGGATGGTTGTAGCCGTTAACAACAGTACCAGGCGCAAAGGTGACGTTCTGTATGCAACATCAGTAGGGCTAGATTTGGGGCTTGCCGTGCGATAAAATGTTCTTCCAGTAGTCCCGATGTTTCTGGCGTGATGACGTCACATGCGGTCGTAGTGCTCCATCAATGATATGAGGTGCATCAGCACAAACGCAAGACGGAATTCTAGCAACCCGCATCACAGATTCATATTCTAATAGTTTAATCATGGCACCTAAAATCTTTCTGTACGTAAACCCGTCGAAATGTCGATCGACTTGCTAATTTCTCACCCCCTTCAGCACCGGCGCAACTGGCTATATTGGAGGCGACACCCTCTTTGCACTGTACAACAAGCACTCTGATTACGAGATTGCGGCTCTTGTGCGGACAGGTAGTTATTAGTGCTCTCTCCATGGGCAGTGCAGCATACTGATGAGGGTATAGAGGAGAAAGCCAAGTCTGTCACCGAGGCTTTTCCCAAGGTGCGGATCGTTATTGGTGGTTTGGACGACTCCAAGATCCTGGAAGATGAGGCAGCAAAGGCAGATGTAGTAATTCGTGAGTTACCTATGGGATTGAATGACAATGCAGTCAGCGTTAACGATTCGCAGACACTGCGGATGCATCTGACCACGAAGGCGCCGCGAAAGCGATCGCAAAGGGTCTAGCATCTGGCCACTCCAAGGAAAAGCCTGGATTCTGGTTGCACACTGGTGGCACTGGTATCTTGTGCTGGGAGACTATGCGAGACGACAACAAGTTGGGCGAATGGTCGGAACGTGAATACAACGACTGGACAGCCGTGCAAGACTTGACTGGATTGCCAAAGGATGCTTTCCACAAGAATGTCGACGACCTTGTGCTGGCAGCTGGATCTGAGTCGGTCAAAACAGCTATCCTCTGCCCACCGACCATCTACGGGCGTGGACGAGGCCCGCTGAACACTAGAAGCAGACAGGCATACGAACTTGCACACTTGATCTTGACTGGTCAATATATTCCCATCATCGGCCAAGGGAAAGCGCGTTGGAACAACGTCCACGTCTCAGACCTTGCCCAACTCTTCGTTCTGCTGACCGAAGCCGCCGTGAATAACAACACCGACTCCAAGCTCTGGAACGAACAGGGATACTATCTCGTAGAGAACGGCGAGCATCTATGGGCAGATCTTGCACGCCTCATGGGTAAGAAGGCAACGGAGCTAGGTCTCGTCGACAAGAAAGAGTTGAAAGAGGAAAAGCTTGGCAAGGACAAGGCGATTGAGCAGGCAGGTTTCGAAGCTGTAAGCTGGGGTTTCAACAGCCGCGGTAAGGCGGAGAGGGCGAAGAAGTTAGTAGGATGGCAGCCGAAAGGACCAAGCATTGAAGATAATGTTGAGGAGATATTGAACGACGAGAAGAGTAGGCTAGAAAAGAAGTAGAGCCATATGTAATGTCTACAGATTTATGGCAGTGTTAATGACCTCCAGCAAGGGATGGCAAATGCAACAAATCATATTACATATACTGTAGTAAACGAAACCAGTACTGCCAACCTCGATTTTGAATCTAGTGGATCTCGGCTTTTGCTCAGCATTTCGTAGAGGTGGGGAAGATTTGATGTTGGACAAAAGATAAGCATGCATGCAATCAATCGGTAGAGCAAGGCGGACTTTCGTGCTTTTGGGTTGGATCAATACGATATTCAAGCTGCGCCACAATCCTTCATATTAATGTTTCACATGCCTAGGCAGCAGCATTTGCACCTCGCCGCGATTTCGGGTCAAGACCACAGGGCACATTGGTGTTCCGTTTTCTTCCAACACTACCGGATGGCAAACCTCATTTTGCACATTGAATTACACCAGGGCTAATAACTCGTACTGTTGAGCAGCGTCACTGGCATGGCAAGTGTGGACAATCGCCCTCTTGGGCAACAGACTCTTCGGGGCTTTGGCATCTTCCAGGCCATCGTTTCAATACCCACAATGGTCATTTTGGGGTTCTTCGCATGGGAACAGATGGTGTTTCCTTACCGAGAGGACTTCTACTCCTTCTTGTGGGTCTTGCTTGCGCTTTGTTGCAATATGCGTGTCCTGCGCAGACTAACAGTCTCGACAGTGCACCCTCAATGACGGCATTTATGGCTGCAGGCATCGTGTTCATCGTATACGTACAGCGCAGAGCGATTGCGACGCCCTACCAGGTGCTTATGTTCGAGGCTGCAAAATCGGTGCTTGCAACGGGACTGTGGCTTTGGCTTATCTTGGATTCTGCATTCGGCCCATGGCGTGTCCAGCATCATGACCATGCCCCTGACACATACGTGGATCCAGACTATGTCAAGAGACGAGTTCAGCATGATGCGCTTGCAAGTCTGCTACTGATGTAGGATAGCGTTTTATCTGATAGGAGTGGATGGTCTAACATTGCACAGTGTATTCTTCTATCCACCGCTTGGGTACTCGTATATTGTTTGGAGGACGAAGAGCAGCCATGGAGGCGGCGAGGGTGAAGAGAGGTTGGATCGGGAAGAGAGGGCTCCACTGCTTTCGCGAACGAGTGGGAGAGTCTTGGGTTAGTGCTGGGATATCAGCGACACATCTCGAACATGCGTGCGGACAGACTGTGTAGCTCAGACGACAGAGGTGTGGATACCGGTGAGGCTACTACGCTTCCGGTGCGAATCACTGGTCATACCAGGGAGAGTCTTGCAAAAACATGTGTGTGTGTATGTGTGTGTGTGTGTGTGTGTGTGTGCAGATAAACAGCATCAGGGAGCACTTGTGCTTTCCATGAGTATGTGACAGGTGCCATTCAAATACTGAGTCTTCAGTGTGACTACTGGCTGCTCGCATGCCTGCCACTGCAAGCGTGCGTGGCTGCGGGGTGACATGTCCTTCCTTTGGACCATGTGGTATATTCATACAGCAACTAAGACGTCCTTCCTCGTAGTGCGAAGTCGGTCGTTTGCCTGCCCTCTGCTGGATATTCCCCATCAAAGGATATTCGCGCGTGTGTGCCTCCACTGATTGTAGTCCTGTCGACCATTCCAAGCCCAAGATACAATCCTTCAGAAGTCGTTTGGCCAGCACTTCTCCTTGGGCCACGTCGTGGCGTCGTGGCTGGCGGCATGGGCCTCGAGCTGCGCCTTGTTCGTGTTGACGATCTCGCGGCGGCAGTTCTGGCACTGTATTAAATGGGTGGTCAGCTGTGCGCAATGATGCCATGCAATGCAAAAGCATCAGGTAGGAAGCGCGAGAGTGCCTACGATGGACGTGGGCTTGGGCGGCTTCACGGGCAGGCCGTTTGCCTTGACTGGCGCGCGGGTGCCAGCCTTGTCCGCCTTCTTGTGCTCGCGCTGGATCTTTTTAAGATGTCAGTATATCACATCAGCAGCAGCCAGTGTTTGGTATTCAACGTACTCTGTCCTTCTTGGAGATAGGCATGGTGGTGGATCGAGTGGATATGTTGGTGTAGAAGCGAGGGGAAATGTTCTGCACATAGCGCGGGAGAGCGCGATCACTTTGATCAGGGTCTCGCTTAGCGCGTAGTCTGACAGATAAGCCCCGCTTGTCGCGATTCTTTCCTTCACGTGCTTCGCATCACGGGCCCTACCTTCACACCATCTGTATTTTCACAACACAGATTGTGGGGATTTGTAACAGCCTCGAGCACTAGGAACTCACTTGGTCAACAATCCTGAAATTCGTCGCCTACGAAAACTCAATATCTTCCAGCGGTACTCCGCGCTTATGTAGCTCCGGCTTCGTCAACCTAGGATCAAGATATGTCCGCGTACTCGACGCGCCATCATGGACGTATTCCTCCCAGAATTGCCTTTCAATATCTGTGACTCGCTGCCACCCTGACGGTAGCTCATCACCTAGCCTTGGATCTCCGACCTGAATCTTCCCAGTCTCAGAATTCAGGTAGACCCAATAGTCCATCCCTGATTGAGCGCTATAGTGTTGCACCTCTCTATAACCCTTAGGTAGAAGTCCTAAGAACCCTTCATTGCTGCTAAATCTGGGCACGTAGCTATATCCGATTATCTTGTAATGCTCATTCGAGTCTGAACGTATGGCTACTGGGACATCACATCCAAGTAATACGCAAATCTGGTCACCCTTGCGGGTATCTTTAGGGCATATACCGATGTGATTAGAGGACGTTGTAAAGAGTGCTCGGTCTCTGCACATGGTGAACACGTGGTGGAAGAAGTCCTTCTTATCCCAATCCGTGACAGCCGTACTGAATTCAGGCTGCACAGTGTTTTTAAGCACTGCTACTGATGATGCTAGGCCTGGATGTGACTTGAGAGTTGGCACATGGTAGTCTACCAGGTCACCTCCACAGATGGCAAGGCACAATGCTTCGGCAAGAGGTTTGCCATCGACGTAATCGGAAGCCATATCTAAACGATTCGCCCACCGTCGGATCGCAGATTCAGCGTTTTCATAAGACGCATCAAACTCATCTACCATGGTGATTTGACTCAGAAATATTCCGGTCATCCGCAGTATCCTGGTTTCCAGCAGTTCTACCTCACAGCATGACTTCCCAGACGCAAACGAGGATATGCGACGCCCCTTTTCCAAGTCCATGAGATAAGGTATCCAGGATGGCCAGTTTCCTCTCGTTTCCTCGTATCTGCATAGGGACAACAAGTCAAGACGTTTCAACTTCTGCATTGAGGCCATCATAAGGTCCATGTAGACGTCCACTATTGGCTTGCTGTAATCGGGTCGTAGGTCTGTTCCCGTGCCAATCTTGAATGATAATCCTAAGATACCGTATACCCGGTCTCGTGGATCGTGACATTGAGCATGTCGCATGTATGCAAGCAGATCCAAAAGCGAAACTTCCATGCCCCTTGCTAGATTGTACGCGTTCGACACGAACACACTTGCGTCTTCAGTCTCATCGCCTACAAATGGAACTAGGCAGCGCTTATAGGCAATACAATCTAGCAATGTGCGGAGTCGTTTTCATAGCATTGTGTCGGTGCCACACATAATGACGGCGTTCGATTTGGCTAGACTTATTTCCTGCCAGATCCAGAGGCGATGGAACCACGGCCGGCGCAGAAAATCTAGGATCGCCTGCCATGTTGCGAAGTCGTACGGAAGCGGTCGTCTCATGTCGATCCAATGAGCATCATCCGGTTCATCAGTCAGGCTTCTCAGTTTCTTTTCTCTGTTGAATTCAACCTCAACCTTGGTACCAAAGATCATGCACGTTTCCATAGCCACCTTACTGCTGGCGTCGTCTTTGCCCAGCCAAACAATCACTCCCGCTGCTAAACTGTAGATATCAGCCATCCGCTAGACCTGTTGGCTCCTCTCCGCTAGATCTTTTTGGTTGATACCAATGCTATCGATCCATAGTGTTCTGGGTGAAACACGATCGCGAAGATACGGTAAAGCTTCTGCAAGGTTTCTGGTAATATCGATACTGTGATCATCTTCTGACGAGACTCGAAGCCTCGTAGGCGATTCTGCGGAACCCCGGGTGTACGATAGTGCTATGTAGTGTGGGGCGTCCTCTTTTGTAAGTCGAACAATTTCGAGGTCGCAGATCACTTCGCTGTCTCGATCCGATGAAGGTAGCAACGTTACCAGCCTGATTTCACTGTTGCTTTCATTCAAAGGCTGATAGACGTACTGGGCCATCTCCACTGCGGTCGCAACTCTCGAGTTGCGTTAATCTACCACGACAAGCGTCAGACAAATATCATAGGACGATTGTGAAAGACATAGTTCAGTAAAGATTCAGAGAGTGCTGTGACAGAGGGCTGATGCCTAGAGACATAGAAGGAGAGGCTGTGTAAAGAAGCCTGTGCAGCCTTCTTATACAGCTGGCGGCCCAACCTATCTCAGAATTATTGGCGCAAATAGCGGGCTGTAGAGCACCGCTGCCGAAGTCGACCTTCAGCCTTATGCGGGGCGCTGAACGTGCTAACAGTAGCCACTGCCGCCTGATGTGCATTGCGATTCGCACGATGCAGGCTAGTTCGTGAAATGTAGCCTAATTTTGTCGTATATTTGAGCTTGCGAGATGTGATCACAGGGAAGAGTAAGCATTGGTGGTGCTGGGTTGTGATACAGAATGGCTCATTTTCAGAACCAGAAGTTGCTCGTGCCAGGCCAACAGCAGCAGAGAGCATATGCAGAACAACGGACGTCAAGTCCACAACGGTGCAACAACGGGAACTATAAGCAAAAGTAAACAGCGATCTCGATGAAAAAGGAAGATCGTGAAGGTCCATGCACGTGGCGAAGAAACCCCGAATCGCGGCTTCCCCTTCCACGTTCTAGCCCGTGGTTTCCCCTGCCATCGATTGGCCAGCGGAAACAAACAACGCGCTATTTTTATCAGAACTTCCGCCGCTGACTACCCAAACCTCTAATTTCCTCAGCACCCTTAAGGAGTATTCCAAGTCAAGACCTCGCACACTGCAACAACCAGCCCGAAGAGACAAACTCGGGAAACTTTACGTGCATCACCTTCGAAAAAGACGATAAAATGGCTCGTGGCAACCAGCGCGACAAGGCTCGGGAGAAGAATCTCAAGGAGCAGGCCGGAAAGGTATGTTCTGTCGCTGTTGTTACCACGCACAACTACACGTGCCGTGGTTTTCTTCAAAGAATCATTCGCTGACTTGATGAATAGAAAGGCAAGAACACTGTATGTGTATATGAGAGAAGCTGTTTATAGGGGTTTTGAAGGATGTTGGCTGATCACAGGCTGCAGCAATCCGGTACCGAGTTCGCACGCACCAAGGAGAACGTAGCGGAGATTATGCGTGCTAAGCAAGCTGCTGGTGAGTTGCCATTGTCGCATTCTGAGCCTGCACAGGCTTGAAAAGACTATGCGCTGTGTGTAACAATCCGATGCTGACTCCTTGTGTAGCTGAGGCAAAGAAGGCTGCTGAGGGCGCTAAGAAATGAGCGGTCAGACAAGACGTGCAACGCGATAACGACAACAGTTTGACACGCCACAGTCGCAGGTCAACCTGTTTAGAATCCTGTCATCATGGGAGCGGAGTTTCTTGGATTTGGATTAGAAGGCGAAAGAGTGTGCTTGGATTGATTTTCGATATACCGAATACACCGATTTCTGATTTTGAACGTTGTGAGGAACCCATTGCGCCTAGTTTCCTATGCAACAGAATATTTTGTCACCACTGGAAACCAACAGTAAAGTACAACAACATTTTTGAGGCAAAACATAGAGTTTGAAAGTGCGATCTCTTGGATCTAGCTCTAATACTAAAGGTTTACATCTTTGCAATCAAGTCCTAAATAGCACCACCGCGCGGCAATCATCGCAGCATGTGGATTACGGTATAATGCGAAACGCCCCAGCAAATGATAAAAATGGTATAAGAATCCGGACAAATGCTAAACCAGAAGCGTTTTTGCCGAATCCGTCATAAGAATATTGTTCTCGACCACCACCCAAGACCAACCAGACGCATACACCCAGTCGATCCATCCTCCTCATTACCGTCTCTCCAAGTTTCGTCGTCAGGGCGTTTAGGCAATCATGCCGGGGAATCCACCGAAGTTGTTGATGGCTGCGGTCTCGGGGAAAGAAGCCATACCGCAGAGGCACTGGCATGAGCAAGTCTGACCAGCACCATCTGTTCCCTGTCCAGCAACAACGGTGGCGGAAGCGAGAGCACTGCTGCCGGTTCCAGTCGCGGCAGCACCTCCAGCCTCAATGGTGACGGTAGTAGGGGCGGCAGCGGCGTTGGGGTCAACAGACTGGAGGTCACCTGCAACGAGGCTTGTACCGTTGGTCTTGATGGCGAGACCCTTGAAGTCGGCCATGGTCTTGTCGCCAGTCTCGGCAGCGTTGATACTGAATACCATGCCCTTTCCACAATGGATACCGTTTTGTTGCTTGCAGTAGAACCCTTGATAATGTTAGTCTTTGTTACACCTTCTCGATAAACGTGGAAAGCCTACAAAGCGGGTCTGTTGTCTCAACAGTCATGTTCCATGTGACGCCAGCTTTGCCCTCGGGGTTGGGCATGAAGCCAGAGTCCATTCCTCCCTCCATCTTCTTGCAGGGCTCAGCAAAGGTTGATTGGGTGGCAGTGTGGTTCTTCTGCATAAACTCGAATATGACCATGTCGCCGACAGCGGCCTTGATGGCTTCGGGGCTGTATCCTAGAACGGGCGCCATGCCGGTTGCAACAGGCTTCATTCCACCAACGACGACCTACAATTTGTTAAATGAAGCTCGATAATAGGGTTCGAGGATGCGCTTACAGTGTGTGTCATCGCGCCAGTCGCGGCGGCAGGAGCAAGGCTCATGACCTGCATCTCGGCGGATGCAAGCGCGGCTGCCAAGGGTAGTGCTGTGAAGTACTTCATTATGACTAGATTGCGTATCGTGTAAAGTGTCGTAAAAGTGAACGTAAGCCTGCGCTGCAAGCACTAGAATGTACGATAGAAGGTTGAAGGATTGAAAGGGCACTACGAGGGCCGGCTCGGACAATAAGAAGCTGATGAAGTAAGAGAAAGAGAGTGGAGCACTGGTATTATGAGGCAAGAGCGATGAGATGAGGAGAAAGTTTATGCCTGGGGATATTCTATTCCTTAAATCCACGCATGAAATTGTTGACACTGAAGAGCTTGCAGGCCGGTCGCGCACATGGCGAAACACCAGCCCCCTGCTCTCGGCATGGCACTGGGAGAAACGTTGATCGCCTGCAAGAATGGCGAGATTTTAGTGATGCGCACTTGGCTGGGCGCAACGGCGGGGGTGTTTGATGCTCGAACCGTTGGAGGTGGGTTCGAGACTGTCGCGGTGGTGTCGCAGATCTGTCTCGCTTCCGCCCGATTCGGTAATCTATGGACCACCAAGGCTATAAGCGCAGGGACACAACTATTCAAGATGCCTGAGCGATGGGGCTGGGAACTCGCCAGCCGCATGAAGGAACTGCAGAGCTTTCATCTCGCAGCCTGTGTTCCCGAAGTTTTGAGGCACAACCTGTATAGGTGGTCAGTCGCGTACAAGGGCTGGACCATGAGGTTTCTCACCCCATTGGTTCAAAATAATGACATTCAAGCCTCGAAGTGTCTACTGTGCCTTCCAAACGCGCTGGGCAGCCACAGTTTGACGTAAAATGATTTCAAGAGTCGTCATTCTGTGGATCTGCTACTGTGTTGATGGGGGCTCCTTGAGAGCCTGCTGTTGTCCAGCATGCAGACCAGTATAGTAACCGGCATAATACCACGACATCATAATGTTCTTCATATTCTCATCCTGCACTGTATACAGTCAGCATGTCATCAACTGTCAAGCTCCCCACATCGTCCGGAAGCAACGGCTGTCAAAATCAAGACTTACCTGTTCCAAGAATGGCCTGCGGCATGGCACCTGCAAGACTTCCGGCAGCATGTGGCACCGGAGGAGCCTCAGCCCTTGGCAATTGGATCTGCGGTTCTTGCTCTCCGGAGAGATCTGGTTC